TAAATAAAATCCATTGAAATTAAAATAATATTTAAATATAAGTCAAAATAAAACTTTTTAAGTCATACTTTTTACATATAATTTTAAATTTGGATCAGTTGGAGAGATATCAACGACTGGTTTTAAATTAAAAAAAAAAACTTACCTAAAACTCGCTAAAATAAAAAAAAAGGGAAGCCTTAGGACATTTTTAATCATAGAACATAACGGTTTTTAAGTAATGGTGCGTGAAGTATTTAATTTAACTGTTCTAATACGATCGTCCCAGTTTAAATATGAATCGCAATTATCATGATTGCATGCTCTATAGTCCATACAACGGCGCTTTCGCTCTTCGTTTCGACTTCCGCCATTTTATGGAACAGATAAAAAGATTTACCGGTTTTTTTTTTGTGGACAGAATAATATTAGATAAAATTAAATAAACATGATTATAAAAAATATTAAATATCAAATGAAAGATTACAATAAATACGGGCTATTTAAGTTGAAATATTAAAAACATGAACGAAAGTGATTTTATTATAGTAATTTATTGAATTATTATATTTGTAAGTATAAAAAGTTAAATAATTAATAATTGCGAACCGAACTTCAGCAGCAAATAGTAAGTAATGAAATTCAGATATCAGAGTTCATATTTACCCCAAAGACCGCAATGCAGCTTCTTCGATGTTTTAGTCTAGTTTTAAAAGCTATTATTTTTTAATTTTTATTACAAAATACCTACTTTTTATTACTTTTTTTTATTTATTCATTATACAGGGTGACTGGTGAATTACTATCGATATTTGAGGACGTGATATTTGACGATCATATACGACAAAATAAAAATTAATATAACATAAATATTAATAAACTTCTAAGTAAAGTCAACCAAAAGTTGTGTAATTAATTACGCATCGTGTGAACACCCTACAGATTAGGTATACACACACACTCACACACACGCGGCGGGGGCGTGGTTTTGTATCAGCACGCCGCCGCACGCGGCCACACTTGGAACACTTGGAACGTGTCAACACTTTATTTATTTATACGGAAATTTTGTCAAAAATTAAGTACCTATTTTTTTTATATAATTCGAATGAGAATCATGTACCGAGTATGCTCCTTAAATATTGATAGTAATTCACCAGTCACCCTGTATATAACTTTCTTCTGCCGGTCAATTGTCATACGTGTTGGTATATATCTATAAAATCGTCGTTGGCTTCAATCCAAGTCATTCCTTACGTCTCAAATGTATATTTAGAAGCATTTTTTTGTCATTATCCCTAAGACACGTCCGGCGAGATGAACGAACTGGCGCCATTTTTTTTTTCATTTAAACATTTTCAAACTTAAAACTGTCTTACTATTGAATCTATGACTGTTTGGAAAAAAATACGAGTGGGTGTATAAAAAATGGATCATTCAATTTATTTAGCTGGTAGCGACGTGATCGGAATATATCAAATCATATCCTGTTAACGTCTTGTGATTCCGATCGCGTAAACATACTGTTACAACAAAATGTGTGTCGATGGCCCCTTATATGCACTGCACAAATGAATGGCTTACATTAATGGCGAAAACGAATTCCTTCATAATGCGTTTAGATTCAGAAGTTTTAATTTAACTCGATGAAGTTATTCCTTATTCCTGATGACTGAATGAATGATGAATGAATGATGAATGAATGAATGAATTTACTGCATTCACATTAAATACACAAATTAATCATTGGATTGACGTTTAATAGAAGTGAAACTAGCGATTTGTGATTAAGTCATTTCTAAATAATATTTAACAAGAGATGAATAATGAAGAAGAAAGCAGCAGCAGAGACATAACTTCCTTCAATCTAAGAAGCAATAAAATACATATATTACTGCTATATGAAATTTTAAATTAAATACATTTACATATTAACTTTCGCATAATTTTCTTGTACCAAAATTAATTAGATACGTAAAGAGTGAAATAGTATTATACATAATAGTAATATCGACCTTGCTGTGCGACTAATAGAGAAATACTTTGTATGACCAAGTGACTTGATCTGTTGACTTAGTTTAAAATGTATATATTTAGTAAGGATTTTTCCAAATTTTTATTTGCAAATCCAACATTTAAGTATTACATTTAGTATGTAGGTTATAGAATGAGAAACGGTAAACACTTTGTATGTAGTGACGATCGAATTATAATCATATTGATATTAAAATAATAATAAAGAAATAAAACCTAATACGACAGATGAACTCTTAATAATTTTCTCTTAGATTTATCTTGAATCTGATAATACTAAAGCCATTTTTTCCTGATATAGAATGACTATTATTTTATTTATATAAAACCTAAACTATTTTGTATTTTCTTTAATATACTTCTTCTACCTGGCAATTTCCCAGCTTTAGCCAGGGTCTGCCTTACATGTTGTGAATAGTTTTGGCTAATTGTTTTTCCGACCGGCCGCCTGCCTGACATCAACCCTCTTTGGAAATGCATTAATCAGTAATGTCTAAATACTCTTAGAAAGTACATATGACTCGGAAAAATCACATTGGTACTTGCCAGGGCCAGGATTGAACCCGCGCTAGGCCACCATTGATTTTCTTTAATATACTAAGATTACAAAATGTTTTTAGTCGATACAGCAATGACATATTATGTCCTAAGGCAGATTCTAATAAAGAAAAGGTTAATTATATAAAAAAAACCTCGCGAACCACACATTATATTTTTTTCTGGAACTTCACGGTCGGATCAATTAGCGTGTTTCTGACAAATCTTACATAAACGACAGAGCGTTAAGTAATTTGCCTCAACTGCCGACGACCAATTACCGACATTTTGAATTGTCGAAGTCACGCTATGAAAGAGGAACTGAATTGATCCAATCATACTCGATTACGTTTGGATAGTACTTAGATCCAAGTCGAAGTATTTAACAACTTTTTACTGACGTTTCAAAAAGACGCCGTGTACCTATTCGTCAACAATTTCAATATATGACGACTATTTCCACTACTTCGCTCTTTCTATGACAGAACTGTGATTAATCTAGTCATTTAATCCAAATTTGTTTTATATGATTAGGTAACAAACAGACGCACCAACAACTTTATATGATTAAAACATTAGCACCATGAACTTAAATAATATTTTCCTGCCTATAAATTAGTTCAGTCATTTGGTTTTTAAAATTTGTTATTTTCAAAACTCCTGGAAAAATTTTCAGGTAACCCCCTTTTGTTCCACCAAATGACTGGTCCAAATATAAAAAAATAACAATTAGAAATAGTACGCGATTTAAATTCCACTTATATTCAAGTTTACCTATATCATTTAAATTCATTATTGTATTGAATCATAATAAGAAAAAAATATATATCAATACGAAGAATTAAAGAGTACAGCCTTTTATTGAGACAGGAAAATCGTACAAATGTGATCTTATTCGTCATCTCAGTTCAATGATGAGAAATCCCTGAGGTTACAGCATTGAGGTCAACGCGGTTGGCGAATGTTTTTGATAGCATGTTTAAAAACAATAATGACACACAAGCGTTGCTAACGATACGAGGAGCTATTTCAGTTATTAAACGAATTTTGAATAATTACTAAGACTCATAAATGTCTGGAAATAAATGTCATAAACATAGATAATACACTATATTAGAAATATATGTCATAAAACTTTTTTTTCACACTAAATAAATGTCATAAATGTCATAAAACTTTTTTTTCACACTAAATAATAGTCTGTTAAGGTTTATACAGCCACAAAAAAGTAGCCGAAACGTCGGGAGTATGTAGTTTTCTAATCAAAAATAAAACGCGAAGTAAAATTCGAAAAATATTAGTTTCATTTAAATGAGTACTCGCGAAAATCTTAGATGTCATTATATACAGCCACAAGTCGTAGGAACGTCTACACGTGTTGCCATATTAATCAACATTTTCAAAGATCAACAGTTTAAAAACCACAACCGCAGCCAGTAATTAATATAGACTTGGATATTTTGATTTACTACTTGATTATTATATTAGAAACTAATATAGAGTTGACATATATTTTTATAAAAAATAATAATAGCGTAACACTTTGGTAATAAAAGAAAATATTCATAAATCCGTACGAACTCAAATGCTATATTGCATAAGGTTCGTGTAAAAAATTCAAATAGTAAATACTGTTAATTAAAATTCCGTTTATTTAACAAATTACAAAGAAAAATTTCAGTATATTTTTACATATAAAAATAACTGCAGGTTCACGTCACTTTGACAAATCAATTTATAAAATATTCGTAGACATCAAATAGAATAATCCATCAAAATAAATAACAAGAAATACGAATAAAGGATGTCAGAACGAAACGAAACAAGTTGAACGAATATTGGCATTTTGTCAAAAATGCATGCTCGCACCATCATATGCAAGCTTGTAATAAAAGCTGTTTCAGTAATAAAATGTACGTACTATAAATGTCGCGAATTTTATGACTGACGTAAAAATTAGTAGGTTTTGAAATTTTCACTTCATATCACAAAAAATAAATATGTATACATTTCTTAGACCCTGTGTAGCAGTCAATATGTCGGAATTAAGTACATATTAATGTTCTTTAAAATATATTTAATTCTTAAAAGAATCTTTATAATTATGACACTGGATAATTAATAAGAAGATTTATTTTAGTTAAGTGTAACTGTTTAACAAAAAATAATAATAGCACCGCTATATAATCTCAAATTTATTGCAAATTTGTCACATGATAATAAAAACAAAAATACGTTGTTATCTAATAAGTGCGACTGTAATATTTTTAAAGTCGAAATAATCATGTGTTTGTGTAAGCTGATGTCATACAGCTATGATGCTGCAATCAATCTCATTCACACATATAAAGTATTCGCACTCACACATCCATGTTTGAATACAAAAAATACCTAACAATTATATATACTGAACGTTTATTCCGAACTTATCAAATATTTTGTTTTTAAATTCACGTATTGTTAGTATAGTGATTAACATGTAATTGATAATATTTTACCTGAGCTCTTCCAATAACGTCGTGGGATCCTCGCCACGTCGCAGTAGCTGGGGATTTTCGTTTAGCTAATTCTAATGTTGCTTCGCTGGGACATCTTTCGAACATGAGAACCCGCTCAGCCACGGAGCCTCTCGTCAAGAAAGGACGAACCGGCCCTGCGCCTGATGAAGAGGAGGCCTCGCCGGCTCCTGCACTAGAAGCGCGACGAGCTCGTGCCTCAAACTTCGACCTAGCCTCTGTAACATGAGAACCAAAAGAAGCCCTTCTTTCTCCACTAGCTCCCGTCGCTGGTTTCTTCGCACCAGTATCTAATCTATCCTGATATCTACTTTTAGCGTAGTCTACAAGCGAAACTGGAGGCACGACATCGGGTCTCTCTGACGGTCGTTCAGCAACAATACCACCTGTACGGAGCGCCCTTAAGAGTCTTTCTTCCTCACGCGCCACCTCCAGCCTCATAGCTGCTGAATCTGTGCGTCTAGTATTGCTACCCGACCCGGGATTGTTCCGTTCTGGTACTAAATCTGGGGGATGAGATATCTCAACGGTTTCACTTTCCGGATTGAGCCGAATATCTCGTCTTGGCTCCGATCTCTGTTCAGTACGTATATTGGACCGTAACTCCGGCCGATCTCTCCGTATCTCCGGACGTTGCTTTAAATCAGGCTTCGGTTCGGGCTTCGGTTTGGTCCGTAGGCTCTCGGCCAGTTTCAGTCCGGGCGTGGGTCTGCACGACAGTATCTCCGTGGGCGCGAGGCCACGAGCTTTCCATGTTTGATAAATAGCTTCCGCATGATCCGAAATCTGCTTGGCGATGGCAGCTATATCCTCCTCCCCCGTGTCAATTTCACGGCGAGCAGTGGCCGCCATGGCCGTACCGCTGCGTGCTCCGTGTGCCACACTCAAACACTCCCAGCCCGGTCCCCGAGCCCCATGAACACAGAACACAAACACGGAACGGCCACTGATTCTAATTGAACACAGATAGCGCACTAAGATTAATGGCACTGCGAACAGCTGTTAGTTGCGCGTGGGGAGTAAACAAAGGCGACTGAGAGTGGTTACGGTATTATACGAAAGCCGCCGTCCGTACAAATATACGCGACCGTCAGACAACAAGCCGACGTCGGTAGCTCGCGCGGACTGCGGTGCCGGCCGGGAGTCGGCTCTGGTACGAGGACGGCCCCTCCGCGCCTCTCCCTCCACACGTACTCCTTGCTCACTCGCTTAGCACCTGATAAAATTACAACTTACTAGTCTAGACAGCGATGCTTTAATTAATAACATCTATTGACAGTCTCAACCGCAGTTTAAACAGTAGTTAAAGTGAATAAATAAAAAAAACAACGTGTCGTTGATTCCCTAGAACGTAAATGATATCCTTAAATAAATCTAAAATATTTTTAAACTATATGTATGTATATTGAAATTCGAATATAATATTAATCTCATAATAATATCGTAATAGCTCATATTTTTTTTATAATTCTATATAAGAACTATTATAATAATTATTATTTCCATGTGATCTCCAACGCGTCCGTCGTAGCGTCGCGTGCCCGCGTCGTTGAACGCACGAGCCCACGAATAGCGATATTTATTTACGCTCCCCTAGTTTTTTTTACTCGTACCGTAATAACCGCGTCATCTTTATCTCTAGATCTTTTTGAACGCGGTTTATTACCGTATTACAAAATTTTAGATTTTACATTGTATTGTACGATCACCGTTTCAACTACATACCATAGTGTTATGAGTTCGGGAGCTCAAGATGGTGGATAGTTACAATCTATTTTTAACAGTTTGTATTGATCTAAACCGTATTAATATTATACGCGAGAGTGAGTGCTACTGTTCGTTTATTTATATATAAGTTTATTATACTCTAAATACTCGAAAACTTTTAAAGTACGAAGGAAAATAAAGCTATGAGCTTTTCAGTTGAAAAAAAAGCAGGTTTAAAAAAACATATAGCAAAAGTTAAAATGTTGGGTCATAACTGACTTGCAGAAAAAACTATGGGGTTGATGTAAATATTCTCGTCACATAGAGTTTTTTGTCCTTCGATACCTCATTAACAGACCTCGATACTAATTTCCAAACATTATTGACAGATTATTGAAGTATGTCCACAATTTATATCTTTGAGATATCATAAATATAAAAAATAATATCCATTCTCGTGGAAATATGAAAAGAATTAGTGCTCTATCAAAATCTAAGCATCTGTAGATTAAGTGAAAGATTATATATTGAATTTAGATTGAAAGCTTGTGTGATATATGAAAACAAATTCAATATTTATCAATAATTTATACGGTTATTTCTTCTTTTTTATGAAGGTTTAAGTAAACCTCACTTAAACAAGTTATTCCTTTTCATTGTGATTGTACCATGTTTGAGGGGTGATTTTTCATGTATTTTTACACCAATGTTATTCACCTTAAGGGTGCGGCAAATGACTGCCTTATATGTCTGATCCTTAAATCTAATGATAATGTTACTACTTACAATAATTCAATACAAAATCTGTATTCGACTTGATATTTTTGAGGACATCAAAAATATTATTATCTCTACTAACAAAAAATTAGCAGACATCTATTTTCTATTTAATTATCGGGCAAAAAAATTCTACTAATATTGGCTGTACAAATTAATTACCAATTCCAAGAATCTAAAAAGAACATGTATTGTCAAAAATGACATTTTACTGTATACTATCTACATTCTAGGGTATAGAATTAATTAGTATTTGTTATGTTTATACAAAGAGCAATAAATTAGAGTAGTGCGTCTTAGAATGTTACAGAATTTCCTAAATTGTCTTCTTTAATACCTTAAATAACATGCTTCAAAGCTGATGCCACTTGGGACGAACGTTAACAAGGTTAAATTGTCGTATGAATGAACCCAGAGTCCCCCAAAATAATAAGGGCTGGCAGGCGATGGATATTTATTTATTTTCAAATGGACAAGAGAATTCCCCTCCACGTAAATATCACCTACAAACAGACGAATTACAATTTTGGCAGGCTACCATAAATCACTTGGCACGTTCACAGTATGGTCCCACGTAAGACATTTTTTTCCAATTAATTTTCATATATATGATATAAAGTAAATTGAATCTTTATTTGGTTGTATTCATTAATAAGTGTTCTCATCAGGCACTCTACTATAGATTTATATACTTTGGATGGAAAGAGAATTGTGAGTCCCCTTGAACTAGTTGACGCTGCCACGTACGTAGCTGTGACACCACCAGATGCGTTCATTCCCGCGGGATATGAACAATACCTTATTAAGGCCACCAGGTACGAAAAACAAACAGCATAATTTCAATTGAAAAAAAAATTGTTTATTTTTAAAGCTTCATCGATATTTTTACATGATTTCTAGGTCCTGGGAAAGAAGACAGGAGAAATTAATAAATGCTGCCAATGGAATAGGTTTCTAAAAGCTTTTTCTAGTAATATTTCCTCCATCGATTTCTTCACTTTTGTTTTATTTTTCCTGTTCTAGTGGAAACCGAAATCAAAAAGGAGCAATCCAAAATAACTGCCGATGAATCAAGATTAATACAAACGTCGACCACTCAAAATCCCCAAGTTACTAGAGATAAGGTAAATAATATATATTAAATTTAGACATATACTTTTAAATACATATATAGACAACCATAATGTAAATTATTCCGTATAACATTGAGGACTTTGAAAACAATAATAATTCATAGGACCAAGACAGCATAGGTACAAATAATACAATAATATCAAGACTTCGAAAAGAAAACGAAAGATCGTTGGATAGAAATATATCCACCGCCAGGGTTGAACAAGTCCCCAGCAGAAAATATACTGACATTGAAAAATGTAAGAGCATTAGGAAAGTAACTGCACAAATGAGCAAAACCAATAGCAAAGAGGATGCTATAAACAAGAAAAAGAATATGTCAGTATTTAGAAATTCCAAAAATATGTCAAGCAGACGACAATCCTTAAAAGCCGAACCGATTTTAAACAAAAACAACAACGCCGTCAAAACATCTAAAGAAATACCAACAAATGCTGAAAAATCTATGAAAGACATGGAAATAAAAGATACAATAATGTTGTCAAAACCCGAGGACTCCCATAATGAATATCAATCAAGAGAACAATCGAAGAGTGGATTTGATAAAGGGATCATAGTTATATCCGATGTTTACAAAAATCCCGAGAGCGAAGTTCAATCCGTATTCATTGACGCTGAACGCAAAAATCCACGAGATTTCTTGCCCAAGGAAAGATTTAAATCCAGCGATCTCCAAAAAATTATTGAATTAGAAGAAAATGATAACGCAATGAAGACTAACAAAGCCTCGTCTGCGCATAGCGTCTCTTGTTTCAACACGAGACCAGAAATAACGACATCGTTCGCAAGCAAGAATAAAGTATTCAACATAAAACTTAACATCGAATTACGGGATAATAGAGATTCAGTTGGTGAGCAGAAAAGCGGTCATTTAATAAAATGCAAGTCTGTCACTGAACTGTTGAATAGAGATCAAGGGTCGCAGGCGACTATCGATGTTTTTTTGGACTGTGACTATATAAAAACCCATGACAATAATTTAATTCGTAAATCTATGCTAACAGAAAACGCATATTTGTGTGACAGCAACGATCCGAAAATGTCTATAATGAAATGTGGTCTAGAAAGAAACAGCACATTCAGTAAAGGGAAGGAAAATTACGTTCTATTTGTTCCAGCTGCGTACGTCGATAAAAACTTTGAATGGTAAGTATAGACTTTTTTTAAACAGATAGCAGCACGGTAATGTAAAGTTTTAACAGTTGTAGGTGTAATCCTGCAAGCAATCAGGATAAAGATGGATCACGACGAAGTTCGATCGTCGCTACCGATATTATAGACATAAAGAGTAATCCAGTTTCAAGAGATAATTCCCAAGTAACAATAAAACATAAAGTCTCTATATGTCCCGATAGTCCGGTTAAAATCAGTGCAGAGTTGCCTTCCGTGTTAGATAAAGATTTTGTTGATTCTATACCAATACCTCCAAATCCTCCACCACCCAGTGCAATTATAACCAAAAGAGATAACTATTCGCAGACAGAGTGGTGTAATGTCTTGGTAAGAAATACTAAATATGAACATATATTTTTATTTATTTATTTTTATCAAAGAATATTTTCAGTTACAAGCATGCCCTCAAGGAAACGGGTTGTCTTCGTTTCATCTGCCTCCATTACGAGTTTTGGTTCAATATAACTTATTATAAATACACTGTTTTCTTTCATATCCTTAGAATATTTAAAAACAAAATTGAAACACAAGCAAATGATCTACATCCTTTCGAAGATTCGTACAGTTGTTTCTGATCCTCGTAAATTTTCAGTTTTCTCGTAAGAATATTGAACGACTTGGGACCCAGGTGTTGCATTTGTATATCAGTCAAGTGTTTTAAGTTCCTCGCTGGTATATGTAGCATTACCTGAAAATATACATAAAATTCAGAAAGAAAGTTATTGTACACACCTAACTCATAATTCTTATATATTATTTTGTCATCGATCTCACAAATAAAAAGGAGACGTAATGAAAGTAATAAGAAATTATGGGTCACCTTAGAGGCGATTCCAGACATTGCTTCTGGTTTAATGGAACTGAGATCCTCCCCATCCACTTCAGCCAACAGAACACCCAGCCTCGAAACATCTCTGGCATCCCAGCTATAAGATTTACCAAGCGCCTGACCGAATAAAATAGTTTTATTAATATTGCACGTAATAACAACTTATGTATTTTGTATTATTTTTTTTTTCGTACTTGCGTCCTTGTCATCATTGATAAATAGAAACGTCTTTGGAGTGGATCGCAGGATTTGATGTGATAAAAGACCTAAAAGAAAAGCAATAAATAAGAAGTCTTCAAATAATAATAATTAAATGTTTAAATGCCTGAACTGAAACCTGATGTGAAAGCTGCAGATATGAATTTTCTGGAATCTTTCTCATAAAAGTCATCGGTACGCCGCAGAGTAGATTATTCATCAGATTTAAATATTTAGGTTGCGACCAAAATGGATTGATCTCAATATATTTACTCGCAACAACACCAACCTTGAATTTATGAATATTATAAAAGTTTTTATTTCAATATACATATCATTACTCAGTCAGTGATGGCATAGTGGTTAAGAGGCCCGCCTCTCATACACGAGGGCGCGGGTTCGATCCTGGCCCGGGCTAGTACCAATGTGATTTTTAAGAATCATATGTACCTACTTTGAAAGATTATTTAGACATCACTGATTAAAGCTGGTTCCCAAAAGAGGGTTGATGTCAGACAGGCGGCCGGTCGTAAAACAATTAGCCAAAACTATTCACAACATGTAAGGCAGACCCTGGCTAAAGCTGGGAAATTGCCAGGTAGAAGGAGATTTTTATATAACTTATTAAATACTTTTCATTAGCTACTACTTTAAAATATAATATAATTTATCAAACCTGATGTCTGTCTAGATCGGAATGAGTACCAATATATGTTAAAATGCTTTCGTCACTTAAATTCAGTCTGGCTATTTCTCTGCCATTGATATATTTAAACAGGGGACGGTAAAGCTCCAATACGTCAGACGTTATCTCCTCGGTACTCCTATTGCCTTTGACGACTGTCCAAGTCACTGCAATCTTTTCTCTGGCTATCTTCATCATGGCTATAGTTCGGCTCTTGACATGGAATAATAATATTCAAATCATTTACAAGTAGAATAATAGTTTAAGTTATGCTGATTTAATATTAACTCGACTTTTTCCTCGAAAAATTCAATCAGTCTCTATTACTTTGACTGCGCTTTTAAGTTGTGCCAATTTTACTAATAATTCTATTGCAACAAATATTTAAGAATATAACCCACAGATCTCAACACGTAATCCGCGGGCATTTGTTGTATGTCTTCAATGGATCCGTAGAGAAAAATCGCAAACGCATTAACAGCGGTCTGCATATAATCCCTGGTTATATTTAGATAGCAATGTCCACGTTGTACGAACTCTAGCGGCGGCAAATGTACAGCGCTTTTATTGTTGAATGTCTCTGCGCTAAAATTGGATACATACAATATTAAGTCTGTTTTAATGTTACTTAAAACATTCTGAAGTACTAAATAAGTCAGAACCCTCAACGAAAATAGTGAATTACTCTAATATACTATAAATACGTACAAATCTTTAAGATCCCTTTAAAAAAAGGGCATTAGTTGCAGGCGTTTTTTACTCTGTTCCTAAAATTATGTCTAAGTTTCTGTATACATGTGCTTTTGCTATTTCCTCAGCAAAAAAAATACTGTACAATTAATATGAAATTTTGTATACAAGCAGCTGTTTTTGATCCCAAAACTCGGTACTAACTGAAAGTAATTTCCTATAACATAATGCTTGAAAATATCGGTGTCGTTTCCCTCTTCATGTTTTAGTTTATTTGGGTCGTCAGTGTTTTCTAAAAGAAATTCAAAAATATATATTAATTACTAAAAATAGACGGCTAATAATATCACTTTTATTATTTAAACCACTATATTATAATTGTGACTGAGCTATGCACAAAAAGTTCCATGTTCCCATTAAAAAATTTGTGAATCTATAACAATTGTTTATATCTAGTCTCGATAAATGGAAATGGATCTAGATTATTTTAAAGCCCTAAACTCATTTTGCGGCTTTTTTTTCATTATATATCACCTATATGTCACTTAACGCTTTTATATTATTTATGCTATGGCATAATTCACACACTGATTGCCGTAATATCATACCTTCAATTTCGACATTTTCCCCAAACAGGAACTTATGAAGATTCTGCTCAAACATTTCAAAGGGATCTGAAATTATAAACAACCAGAAACAAGAAATAAAGACGAAAATAAGTTGAAAAATTACAATGAATAAAGAATTAGTTAAATCAATTAATTGAGAAATGTAAAAATTTAAATGATACTTTTTACATAACGCTGAAGTTTAAATTATAGCTATCGTTTGCCAAAATCTAATTGACTTCTAAAATAATACTCTTGAAACTGTATTTATTGTAACAGATTTAAGACCAAATGTATATACAGTGATCAAAATTATTATTTTTATACGACATCCGATCTTAGTCATAAAAGTAAGGATCATTTACTTTCAATTGTTTCATTGTCTATTGGTTCCGAAGTGCCCCGCAGTTCTTTTTCCTCTAGAATACTTAAATCTTCTTTGTACACCCATTGCCCGTGCTCTTCTCTAAACGTGATACCTTCGTACACGTCGCATTTGTATCCTGAGATAGGTTGTTAAAATATTAACGATTTATTCATATATATAAAATACCAAGAGATTTTAAGTACAAAATATTTCATGAAATGAAAGTATTAGTAAAACATTTATCTATATTATTAACGAAACATAGTTTTAAATCAAATAAAAAAATGGTCAAGAAAAATAAAACTTCTAGCTAAGTCACTTATACAAAAACGATTTAGTAAGAAGACATCTGTTAACTTTATCGCTCATAACGACAAAAATACTTTCCGTACCACAATCTATAATGATATCTAAGACTTTCACGGTTATTCATTCAAATAAAATTAATATTTTCGTATGTCTTACGAGTTTTTTTTTATTATTTTAAACTACATACTCTCGAAGTTTAGGTCACTTTACAATAACTATCCTCTTGTTATTTATCCTCTTCTGCCAAATAACAACCATATGACAGATATTTTCATCTCTTCTGCCTTTGATCACGGTTGCTGTTAAGTAACCGAAACCGAACCGAACCGAAGCCGATTATCTAGTTAAAGTAATAAAATAACCACACGGGGTTCATCCGAAAATATAAATTTTATTTATACCACAATCTAAACAAATTGACAACTATTGCAATGGCTCAATTTTATGTACATTTTATACCATTGAATTCAAAGCTGATAATTATTTATTACCTCGAGTTCGACTCTCGTCGAAGTTAGCTATCGTATATAAACGATTTTTGTAAGCTTTGACTTTAGCTAAAATATCCAACAATAATATACATATACTTAAAAGCTTAACCATTTTAGCCATAATCCATAAAATCTAGATGGCTATGGCGATTATAACAACATACTTGCATAATTATTTTTATTATTTTTATCCATTATTAAAACTTTAAAATACTTATATCTATATATATTTTTTGATCGCATTTCTTATCATTATTACATATTTACATATATTACAGTATATTATAGTCTATTTAGCTATTAATGTGTAAGCAAAAAAATTGATAAAATATCAAAATAAATGCAACGTTCTACAACATTTACATTTAAACATATTTTACATTCAAAAACTATAATTTAAATAGAACCACGTTACATTTTGATATAAATCCTTCTTCATACAAAATGTCATTCTTAAGTCATTAGAGTATAATTTTATTTTATCAAAATTCTTTATAATAACAATGTCTACATCATCGAGTGATTATGATTACGGTCTTTACAACGGCCACATGCAGCCTTACTCACACATACAGCCTTTGTATCCGGGATTGGAACATCCGCTGGTTTACTACGCTCAAGTTGTATGTACTTATTATTATTGTTATAGGACTTATAAAATATTTATATCTTCTTCTACCTGGCTATTTCCCAGCTTTAGCCATGGTCTGCCTTACATGTTGTGAATAGTTTTGGCTAATTGTTTTAACGACCGGCCGCCAGCCTGACATCAACCCTCTTTTTGGGAATGCAGTAATCAGTGATGTCTAAATACTCTTAGCGAGTACATATGACCCGGAAAAATCACATTGGTACTTGCCAGGATCGAACCCGCGCCCTCATGCGTGAGAGGCGGGCCTTTTAACCACTACGCCACCACTGACTTCTAAAATATTTATATATTACAATAAAAGGGACTATAAATTAAGCATCATTATATTTTTTGTATAATTATCATAAAATAACATCTTAAAAAGTTACATAAAAAGTTTAAACTAAACACAAAAGTAGGAAAGACATCCAATAGACTCTTTGGTGACATTTATCTAGGAAGCCTTTCTGTTTGATATATACGAAATATTCAGTCAAATATTTTTTTTCTTCTTATGAACTATCTTCTAAGTTATATTTTTATGTAACTCAACACAAAGTAACACATTGGTGTTAAACAATACAAAAAGTATTTAATTAATAGATATTATACAACGTTATCTTGAAGTAACCGCTATGTTGACATTCTTATATATAATATGTGTTACATAAACATTAAGATAATGTTTTAAATATCAGGAGAGAAAACAAAGAAACCAGACATATGAGAAGATCAAAGACAATTGTTTTGTTAAAGCATTTCGGTGGTACACTCAGGTAAATATAATTTATAGTTTCTATACTTAATTTCATCAATAATGAGAGATAATTTTACATGAAAATAATCTTTAAAATATGTTTAATACACAGGAACATGTGCCTCTAAGTAAAACAGAATCCGCTACGAATAAGCAGGAATTAAAGGGATTCGCTACTTGGTTGGACGAAAAATACGAGGAGTATCTGCGAAGTAACCAACTCATGAAGCCAAACGATGTTAAAATCAATGACCCCGTTGACAAGTATACGACCTATTCTTTTATATTTTTGTCAATATCAAGTTAAGTACGGGTAATAGCAATATTTTTTAATTATTGATACTTCGCTTGCAGCGCCAGCCGCCAACAATTGGTCAAGAGAAAAAAGAAATTAAAAAGGTACAATTATTTGTAATATAATGAAATTTTCTTACAATTATCATACTTATTAATATGGATATTACAGTCCTTGGAGGAGACGCCAAAAATGTTTAAATAAACAAAATGGTGACGCCATATTGAAGTAAGTTATTTTTCAACCTACCGAAAAGTTTTGTGTCATAATTTTTTTTAAATAAAATATGTAAACCGATAACATTTAATTTAAGGACGGATCAAAGCATCGAAATAATATTAAAACCGAAAAATTTATCGCTTTCTACTTCAGAATGCTGTCCAAAGTAAGTTTCGATACATATACAGGGTGACTGGTGAATTACTATCGATACTTGAGGACGTGATATTTGACGATCATATATGACAAAATAAAAATTAATATAACATAAATATTAATAAACTTCTAAGTAAAGTTAACCAGAAGTTATGTAATTAATTACGCATCGTGTGAACACCCTACAGATTAGGTATACACACACACACGCGTGCGGCGGCGTGGTGTTGTATCAGCACGCCGCCGCACGCGTCCACACTTGGAACACTTGAAACGGGCCACGCTTTATTTATTTATACGGAAATTTGGTCAAAAATTAAGTACCTATTTTTTTTACATAATTCGAATGAGAATCATGTACCGAGTATTCTCCTTAAATATTGATAGTAATTCACCAGTCACCCTGTATACAGTACGTGAGTCATGGAAAAACTGGTCCAATTAATTTGTTTATTTTTGTGTTTTTGTCTAGATGTAATCGCTCAAACACTACAATAACTATAGATATAAACACACCATCCACGCTTAAATCAAAATCCGAGAGCATACTTTATATTCTAAATGAAAAAGAAATTTATGTTGTTCCATCAGATGAAAAAAGGAAGCTCGATGAAATGGTGAGATTTCTTAATTAATTTAGTTGATATAAAGTTCGATATTCTCACCCACCAAAGCCGTCTAAGCAAAAACAGTTTTGTGCTATTCAATTGAATATGTTTTAATGCAAAATCTTGTCATTCGTTAGATCCAGATAGTTGACGAAATGAATTTAAAAAAAGGACAACCAAAAACGAAGAAAAGTCCCCAAAATGATATATCTTGTCAATGTTCGGATCTCTTATTAGAGAAAGTCAATGCGTCGAGTCAATTTTCACAAACTAACGTCAAACCGAACCTCTGTGGATGTGTTGAAACTAAGGTTTCTGATCAACGAATAATTACGGTTGCAAAATGTCCTTGTACTGAATCTAACACGAAGTTGAAGAACGTAAGTTAAATATTTTGAAGTAGTTTTAAGCCGCTTTTAATATAATAATGGGTATTTAATCTCGAAACGTATGTAAATATAAAAACAATAAATTAATTATAGATTTTTTTAAAATATCATAACTTGAAAGCTAAATTAAGAATTTTTCATTTAGTAATACCAATTTAAGAGAACACAACAGTAGTTTTTGTTCGTTTGAATGTGCCCCATTGTAATCTGCTCATTATGAAATTTATATTCACTTACTTTACTTATTTACATACAAAAAATATATATATAATTCTAAAGGGATGTTATGGATTTATATAATATTAATTGATTTAATATCATTAATTATTATTAACTTTAATAAAATTATGCCTAACTATAGATTCCAAAGGAAGAGTCAAAAATATTTCTACAAAAAGTCGATTCGAGTACAGTCTCCAAAAAGAGCGTGGCAGTGCCTGATGCAAATACAAACGTGGAGCCTCGGAAATCAAGTTTCTCGTCTAAAACAAACATTGAGAAAAAAGAGCCTCCGTTTACAGTTGTCAAAGTTGCTCAAACCTCCGATCACGCTATAAATCTCGTAAGTCAAGTAAATATTTGGTTTCCACTATGCTTGTGTTCATGAATAAGCAATACTAAAAATTACTTAATTCAACAGGATGAAGCCATACACCAAGGATGTCCGATATTCTTAAGAATTATATGTACTGACAAATTACGTTAATGTGTATACTGTGAAAATAAACGAAAAAAATATCTAAAATACTTTATTTACAAAACTTTATTACAAATACTCGTATTTACAAAATAAATTTTGATAAAATTATTTAAGATTAATTTGGTAAACCGTATGATGCGGCCGGTTTGTTTTCCGGCAAGAATGCTCCCCTTAATTCATCGGATGACAGACTGTAATCCGAAGAATCATTTTGTTGTTCTACTGATGATGATGATGATGATGAAGATGATTGGGAGCTTTGACTAGATTGGCCAGACACTGGCGAATTGTGAACAAAAGACAAGATTTCTCTGCTTGGCTTAGCTTCTCCCAAAGACACTCCAGAAACGAGGGATACATATCCTGACTCCTTAGCTGATGAGTGTTCGCTGTCCTTTAGAACATCTTGTACTCGACCAACAACGACGTTATCTAAAGCTTCTCTGTGAACCTGATCTTGTTGGGCGTTGTTGTACTGAATGGAGTCGGCCTGATAACTTGACACTGCGGAGCTCGACTCTTGAGAGACTTGAGACTGAACTGACACTTGTTGGGCAGGTTGTCCTTGTGGGTAAAGGTATCCTTGAGGTAAGAGTTGTTGTGGCTGTTGTTGTTGTACCTGCTGCTGCACTTGCTGCACCTGCTGCACCTGCTGCACCTGCTGCACCTGCTGTACCTGCTGCACCTGTTGTACCTCTTGCTGTTGGTATTGTACTTGTTGTTGCTGCTGCTGTTGGTATTGTACTTGTGGTTGCTGATATAGGATAGGAGCTGGTTGGGGCTGAGGAATGACTGAGGGAAGAGGCTGGAATGGTTGTATGGGGGCTGGCACTCCGTAAGATGTGCCTGGTGGTGAAATAGGTTGCGGCTGTGGTGCTATTGGTTGAGGATTGTGGGGTAAAGGTTGCGGTTGAGGTTGTGGGTAGTAAGGAGCAGGCTGGGGTTGAGGATAGTGGGGTACCGGCTGTGGTGCTGGCCTAATTGGTTGAGGGTAATGAGGCACGGGTTGTGGTTGCGGGTAGGAAGGTATAGGTTGTGGTGCTGGCCTTATTGGTTGGGGGTAGTGGGGTACAGGCTGTGGTTGAGGGTAGTAAGGCACGGGTTGTGGTTGTGGGTAGTGAGGCACTGGTTGTGGTGCTGGTCTAATTGGTTGAGGGTAATTCGGTACAGGCTGTGGTTGCGGGTAGTGGGGTACAGGCTGTGGTTGCGGGTAGTGGGGTATAGGTTGCGGTGCCGGTCTAATTGGTTGGGGATATTGAGGCTGTGGAACCGGGGCGGGAGGAATTATAACAGGACTGCTTGGTCTTTGATAATTGTATCCATTGGATGGATATTGAGGACCCTGTGGTTGAGGAATCTGCTGTGGACAGCCTCCAGTACAGACTGGATTAGGTTGGTAATTGATGACTGGCGCATGAGGTGCTGGCCGGGGTAAGTTATAAGGTGCCTCGCCCACTACTGCCGCTACCAACGATAACAACACCACCTAGTGAGAAAAATATGATTATAATAACATAAATTGTACATTATTACATTTCTATGTAATTATTTGTCAACGAGTTGAAGATCACACATCACAATGTAAATTTGAAAGTTCACCGCGCCCGTTTAGTTGACATTGGGCGTCTATTTTCACTTTTGGTTTGTTTTACTCACCACGTTCATCTCTCCGGTAGTCTGAGGTCAGTGTGGGATGTCATAGACGATGTCGTGTTTTATATTCACCACCTCTCCGTGTTACCATCAATGAATCGTTTTAGCGTTTATGTTGCATAAACCTTGTAAGATGCGATGTCAAAGGCAAGCCGATATTGTTGATCTTTTCACTTAGTGCCCTACTATGAGTTAGCATAACAGGGTTTTCTACAACTTTAAATTATATATAGTACTGTAATAATTATGTGATTTCATAGTCATTTATAATAACATATAATCTTCTATTTTTAATATCTTATTTTTGTTGCAAAGTTACTCTTTTATGGGCTGTTTTCCAATATTAATTTTACATTTTTTATGACTATTGCCGTTTATAAGACATCATAATTATGAAAACGGAGTTTAATTTGCAACTCGAGAGATTAAATATATGATTTAACTATATAAATCAATCAAATAGAATCTATCAAAAAGGTATCCAACCTTATTTTATATATAGTTTAATTTAAAAAACAAAGTGAAATAGCATAAAAGACAAGACTCGAAATAAATTGCCAAATACTACGGAAGTACTTAAGAGGTCCAAATAATCAGTAAAAATAATATTTATACAATTATAAAGTATGACACTCAGTTTTAACGCGACTAGTTCATCATATTTTTTTGTCATAACGATATGGTATCAAATTTAACTTTCGAGAGGTCACAGTTAACGGCCTTATTATAATTTCTTACGTAATGTCACCTTTTATTAGCAAGGACTATGGAATTACAAAAGTTAATTATATTCATTAGTTATTGTCAACATTTCTCAATATAATATTGGTGTAATTATAAAAAAGGCACTTATTCTAATGAGAAGTGACCTCATGAAAAAGATTTAAAAAAAAACATATGAAACAGGTACATACGGTTCATAAAATTAATGAATCAATATTACATAGATGAAATACAAATTCAATTATCAATACTAAATTACATACACATAAAAATAAAAGGTAGGTACCTGATGAAATCAGATTGCAACGCTATACAAATGTCTTTTGAATTACTTCATATGTACATACATACCTTGTATTGTACCATGACTTTAAAAATAAGTACGACAGAAAAAAATATTAGAAGAGCACTATGTATGCTATTAAATATTAAAGCATTTGACAGAAGTAGTATAATTGACTCTAATAAATCGACTCTTCGTTCGAAAGCCCTTAGATAATAATATTTTAATTTATTAATTATAATTTATATCTAAATGAAACTAATATTTTTCGGATGTACTACGTGATTTTTATTTTTGATTATAAGCTACATACTCCCGACGTTTCGGTTACTTTACAGCAACCGTGATCACGGGCAGACGAGATGTCTGCCGAGACTCGACAAAAATATAAATCGCGTAGTAAATCCGAAAATATTAGTTTCATTTAAATGAATACTTTCGAAAATCTAATTTTGATATCTACCTAAATTTGTTTCTCTTTAAAATATTAAATTTGGAAAAAAATATATTTGTCAAAAATGTATGCCATACTTAAATACGTCTAAATATTATCTAAGAAATATTTAAATTTCTTTCTAAGATATTAACTGGTTAATTTAACCTTCAATACCCTTACCATCTGTTTGAATGCTCAACACTGATAGTGCGTACGTAAAATAAAGTCGTATACTCGAATATTTATGTCGTCAAAACGATCATTCTGTTCGTATTTAGATGGGCGGGAACTAGTAATAATGTGTGCAGTACATTGGGAGTGTTTGTAAGCATGTCAGTGGTATTGGCTTATCGCACAGCCAACAATGAAGCAATAGTGAAATTCAAGCACAGTTCAGTGTAAGTTAGATAATATGTGTACAATATGTACATAATGTAAATGCATCTCAAATAAACACAGTTTTATTACTTACCGAGGATTTTTAGTGACAATCATTAAAACCAAAGTATAATACAAATATTTGATTTATTTATTAAAGAGAGAAATAAGCTCTAAACAAATTATTTTCATGGTTTAATTACTAATAAAATGTAATAATCACGTTCTATATATATATATATTGATTGGCAAAAATCAACTCTCATAAACTTAACCTACTATTTTAAGAATATATTAATATTAAAGACTTCGAAATTCCATTTCAATATTATCTATAGCCAATCCTTATCATAAATAGAATTGATTCGTAATATTAAAGAAAAAAGCGAATTAAACATTATTTTTCTTTACTGTAGCCATATTCTGTGTTTTGGTGATAGGATAGTCCCTGGCATGTATTACACTGCGACCTTCTTTGAGTTCCAACTCCCTCTGGGTTCTTTTGGCGACTATCTTCTCATGAGTTCTTTTCATCTCCAAGATTTCCTTCATTTCCTCCTTATCTTCATCCTATGATAATATCAACAATATGTACAAACTTTTATTGATAAGAAAATGTTAAATCTTCTAAGCTGTTTAAGAGTTTCAAATTTAAATATTTAATTTAGAAAAAAGTATTTATATTTAGGTTTTAAATTTATTAAATATCGTTATAATTTATGTTGTATTTTTGCTAAATTATTACGTTTATAACAATTTAACAGTTCACCGATAAACAAAAGTAGCATGTTGCGAGATGTGAATTTTTATGCAATAATTTTTCTTACGTACTCTTGCAAAGAACGTGACATAATAGATATGAGTAGAATAATTCATAACAAAGTATATACGACAAAAACTTTTTTGCATTATTTTTTTTATTTCAAACAAACGTAACTGATCAATCTTGCAAAGAAAAAAAAATACTAAACATTTCAAAATTAAATCTTATTTATCTTATTTATCACACAATAAATTCTAATAATTATGATTTTTCGTACAACATAATTTAATTACTCAAACCTAAAAGAAACAAATAAAAATGATCAAATCAAATATTAATCAAAGAAAATCTAAATATAAAAGGAACTCTAAATAGCTTGTAGTGATAAGGCCGACCTTGCCTTAAATTTTCTGTATTTATATGTAATGTTATTTCCTATGTTTTTGAGTGCATTAAAGTATATTTCTTCTACTTCTTCTAGTACAATTTAAACCTACCTTCTGATTAATTCTCAATACTAACGCCCTCTTTCCACTAGCCATTGGCTGACTGTAAGCCAGAAGTTGTTTCAATCTTTGTGCCGGCGGGACTCCTCTTTCAACTACCAATACTATCCTCGCCCACTGTCTCTGCCACTCGTTCCTAGTCTCCGCTATCTTCTGGTAAGTGTTACCCATCATTGCAATCAACATGTTCACCAGCAGTATAGCTACTATTATCATATATATCACAAACAGAAGCTGAAAGGAAATAATTACGTTTTTTAAGTTGTGCCGCGCATTAAAAAACCGATTTGAACATAAATAAAAGTCTTCTTTTGCACTAAATTAAAGAGTTACTATAAAAATTATGGAAAAATTTATAGTTTAAACAATTTATTATGTTAATTTATGGATTTCTTGATCATTTCGAAACAAGATTCGTCTCCAAAAAGTCCTAATTAAGGTTTATAAATCGGTTGCGTCACCAACAAACATACAAATATTAACTTTTATTCTTGTACACTTCATAAACGTTCATTATATTTATTAAATCGTATAAAAACCCTTCAGTAGTTTAGACTTAGAACAGTTATAAATATTAAATATTACTTAAAATATCAACAAGACAAAAAAATTTACATGCAATACTATAAGCTTATAAGTTATAATGTTTCTGATAATACATAAACATATATTTCTATCACAATCACCTTCGCAGCGATCTCATGATCAGTCTGTTCAAACGCTCCATAGTAATCAGAGAACGAGGTCAGTGACATTAAGAACATGGCCATCACACTCTCCATGGGAGAAGGCATCGGGTTAGATACTGAGTCATCCACACCCTCGGGGGTATTAGGGTTGTCGAACGATAGGAATATCACGTAGTACGCTGTGGATTTATGTTCAATTATTATTTCATCATCTTTGTAATCAATAAGTATTATTATTAAGGTAGCCAGTAATATTTAGCAGTGCTGTGTACGTCTATAATTGGTACACACATCAGATAGGTGTCAGTTTTAAATGTTTAGTTTTAAGTGTTTAATGTATGTACTGTTGATGTGCCATTCAAATAAAAAATAAAAAAAATCATCAGTCTATCAGAGCTCACTGCTGAGTAGAAGCCTCTTTCTCACATAGAGAATGTTTATTATTATTTAGACAAGACAGTACATATACATATAACGATAAAAGGTATTATTGATTTAGATTTAAAATCACCTCATTAATTGCACTGGAATGAATGTTCCACGATAGCACTGTACCACTTATTCTAACTTATAAACTATATGCATATTATTTACTAAAGAATAGTTATACCTCCTCTCAATTACAATAGGCTTTTAAGTATTCTAAGTATTGTACATTGAACAAAACTCACCCTGAGAAAATCCCATGACAAAAACTAAGTAAATGGCAACAAATCTTAGCAAATCACCCATCACCATCCTATATATCATCACAACGAAAGGACCAACAGTTTTGAAACCGCTGCAAAGAAATGTTATAAAAGATATATATACATATGTTAACAATAACGTAATTTGAATGAACACATAAGGAGCAAAACGAAATAGTCTTCTATAAAGAAAAGTGAGAGTCTTATAACTAAAAATCTAACCGGCAAAAGAACAAAAAGTATGGAGCTGTGGTCAGCATGATGATGACTGCAAGGTGATCTTCCTCCTCATCAGCACAGGATAGACGTAGTGTTGGCAACGCCAGCATAAGAAGACACGAGAATAAGAACATTACTCTGGAAAGAAGAGATCATAAATAATTAGGTCATCAACTCTTTACAGAGACAGTTCTATAAAGGTATATAACTTGTATAAAACCCTTCACATTTAGGAATATCGATTCATTTAAAGTTTAAATAATTTGAACGGAAAAAAAACGAAATAAACCGAATTAAATTACTGCGAAGAAAAAAGGTTGTCAACCAATTATTACCAAGTCATGTCGGAAAAATGTTTCCGTTTGGCAGATTAAGAACCTAATTAATAAAAAAAATGCATTCAAAAGTTTCGGGATAAAAAACATTCTAATTTTAAAGAAATCGATGTAACTGATTACAGTATCGAAATTTTGTGGCTTAATAACTTTTATAAGCCTTAGAATACAGTATTTTATTCCTCATTCACTTATACACAGAGAAAAAGGTTTAGGTCTCTGGAGAGCTATAAAACTGTACGCAGTATTTGATATTAAGTGGTAGAAGATAAATGGCGTCAACAATTGACAAGTAAACAATATCATTATCGGATAGTCGTAAACATAGTATTATTTAAGAAACTAAATAAATTAAATGGAATAATATATATGTAATTGACTTTTAGGGCAGAATAAAAGAATATTTAAGCAACAAACGATTTACGTTCTAGTGTTGCTAGTAACAAAAATTTTCAAACAAAGTACATTATAAATCTCAATGATCATTAATTCTTACCGTGATGGTACAGTGCTTAAGTTCTCAATGAACATCTTTAGTCCTAGGAACCTCGCCTCTCTCATCGCCGCCCCGATGTACGCGAGGGCTCCAAACCACAACATTAATTCCGATGCTATTCTTACCTTATGTACATTTAAAATAATTGGCTATAAAATCTGTTTGAAGCCGATAAACCTTTTAGTTTTTTTATTAATTTTGTTAGACTTCAATTAACGTCATATTTTGTGTTTAAATTCCTTGACGAGGATAAAACTTTTAAATTTTTATTTAACTAACCTTTAAGCAAATTATTATTGAAATCGAACTGAATATTTACTGGTATTTAATATTATAAAATATTTATAATTTTAAATCTTAATTACTAACTTTAGCGTCCCAAGTCTCTAGTTTCATTAAACGACAGTCCTCTGTTAAGTCTTCCCACCAGCCTTCCATATCGTTACCTTTTGGCATTTCCGTAGCTATGATAAATAAATGTATATACATACATAAGCTTAAGAATAGAATTTATTATTAAATGCTGACTTTTAGCAAATATAAACAAAGCTGTAAGCGTTAATAGTTAAAAGCTCGTTAGTATTTTTTAATATTTTTAATACGTGAACCAAATGTCTTACGTTTATCTTTGTCCTTTGGATGGCTTTTGAATCTTCCACATTGAACTGACGGTTTTGTCCCATTGAAGACTTCAACATCTTTATTTTCTACTTCAGCATCACCGTTTATCGTACAGTTTTCTAAAAAAAACATCCCAAAAACCCTTTTAAATTTATATATAATAATTCTTTTCACAAATACGAGCTTATAAAAATGTAATGAAATGGATACAAACAATAAACGGGAAATTAAATTTGGCTTCCAACAACAGTTGAATTTCCTGAATTCAAGCTCCCTCGGATAATAAAGATACAATTTAATATAAACTTTTAAGTTGTTTTCAAGTATTTAACATTTAATTTCTTTAAAATGATATGGATTCATTGAAATTAAAGGGTAATTTGGATAATTTAATATAGAGAAGTCATAGATAGACGTGTGACTTAATAAAAAGTATAATTTTTTAAGTTCCGATTAATTTTAGTGTAAATTGCAGTCGTTATTTTATAGTAATATTTATGTTGGATAATTTGGATATTTTGTGTAAAATAAAATATCTAAATTTCTATACAAACAAACTTGCACATACATAATATAATGATTTCGCTTTAGTTAGGGTTATGACTTATATGGAAGATGTGATCGTATTAAAATTTATTGTACCACTGAATGAAAATGTAATTAAAAAACTTGTAATAAACCGTCTATATTATAATCCTAGATTATAGTTCGTGTACCAAGAAAGAAGACACTTATACTTAGAAGTGTTTTCTTTTAATATTTTACTATTAGTATCAGCTGTAAACATTTAAATATCAAATAATCGTCACGCACATATCAAACAAATCCTTATTTAATTCTTTGTTACTTGAATTTTAAGAAGAAATTTTCCAATAAATATATATGTATGCTATATAAATAAACAATCACCATTTTTAACGGCTGTATCTGAATTTTGGGACTAATTCTAACACCTACATATATAACAAATACGTACCAACTTCAGATATAATCTCAGTTTCATTAATGGGTCTAACTGTTGAATTCACAGCCGTCACATTAAGAGATCTCTCTGGTGGTCCGGGACGGAGAGTGAAACAGATGAGGGATATGAGGAAATAGAAAGAAAATAAGATGAACTGGCGATAGAATCTGAACTTGACGAAGGTGTTCCATTTCGTTTTGAGAAGATCAATAAGCATTCCTTCCAGCAGCTCCAAATGTTCATCTTTCTCCTGAAAACGATTCATGAATTTTATTTAATAATAAAATAACTATTAAAGGCCCATTGAATGTGACGTTTAATTAATTATATACAGTTAATAATGTTAAAGTACAGAATGAAATTAAATGGATACCCACGTCAACCCTTACAAAGGTTTATTACGTTATGTAGGTTACGGCCAATTAGCTTAGATACTCTGATAACGCGACCACAAAACTTAATATAAACAAAGCACTATATTATATAAGATTTTTGGATATGACTAACTTACTCCAAATACAACTAAATTCAGCGCAGAATCTTTGCTAATCCTTCCTGTCTCTGTGTCAATAGTGTCAACTTGTCCCAATGGATACGCCGCGCAGGTAGTGGCTCCTATTTGCCAATAGATCTCCCTTTCAATGTTCAGTATATGGAAGAACAGCTCAACTCTCGCCAGTTTAGCAGCCAGAGTAAGCGGTGTTAGGTTCTGAACATTCCTGATATTCAATGATGCACCAACTTCGTACGCCATGTCGAATGTGCTCTATGCATACAATTTTGTGTCTATAATATTCAGCTCTAATATTTTTTGATTCAAAATAAGGAAGAATGATGGAATTATGACTGAAAATTATGATTTATTGCAAACAACACTAATTCTACCTTTATTCTTACCATTTTATCATAAATGATCAACATATGCAGCACGGTGTTACCATTAGTGTCTTGTTTGTCAGGGTTCGCTCCTCTTGCTAGTATCAATCTATAGCATTCTTCCTGACCGAGACACGCTGCAAAACTTAACGGGTATTCCCCCCAATATACGTACCTAAAATTTTATTTAACATACAAGTATAATAAGAAAAAATATTGATGTAAAATCTTCGCTTTTCATAGGACACAAGCATTATGTGTAAAAGGAATAATCGATGTTTCTTGAGATTTCAAGAAACAATCACTCCACTTATACACATAAGTAACTTTCTATTTGTCACAAAAAAATCCCATCTGACTTCTATATCCGATCTTTAAGAAATTGTTACTTAAAAGCGAGGTCAAAATGAGCAAATAAAGAATAGGTTATATTTCTAATTGTGTACAAAATGTTAAATTACAAATATAAACCTTTTTACTGATATATTTATAGTAAATTTATTTAATGGTTTTTTACCAGTACATTTCGTGTACTTTCTTATGTTACACTCCAAAACTAAACCAATTCCATATAATATCTGGTGTCTAGTCAAGTGAGCGTGTTTCATTTAAATATATTTCAATAACTTTACAAAAAGCAGGTAACATTTAATATAAATTATTATATTAACCCATCATAATTGGTGTCTGGTTGGACATTAACCCACTCGTGGTCGAAGGAATCTGTTCGGGAGGCCTTCTGATCTTCGGGACACATGAAGTTCCCGAAGCAACGCTCATGATAATCGGCTCCAGAGTCCAGGAGAAATTTCACCATTGTCGGGTCTTCGTTTACGATAGTCATATGAAGTACGCTCTCACCTACGGTCATACGATGAGCATTTATGAGACGAAACCTCTCAGGATCACCGTACGGGTCCATTGTTGCAGGGAGAGGAGCTTCAACAGTGCCTGGGACCTGCGACCCAGATATAGGTTTAAGGGCCCCCTAAAAAAAGCGCGTTAAACACTCACCTTTACCGTCCAAACTTCTCTCTCTACCTATGTACCTCTTTATCTGTACTTGTCATGATATTTGTGAAATATTATTTGAAAATTTCGATTATATATTAAAGTAAAATTAATAATTGACTTCGGTACATAAATATAACTCTTTATTTAAAATCTTTATAAGACATCAATATGCTTTGAAACTCAAGATTATAATTAAAATTTTCATAACGCGTACTTATTCATTTTCCATGTAGAGTATATTGCTATTGTTTTTGAAGGACCTGCAATTAACTCTTACGTCGTAAACAGTTGTTATACTACAAAATATTTATATTTATTATGTAAAAAATGTAATGTTGAGACTGTCAAAGTTTCAAAGTGATCCTTTTTTCCTTGACGTAAGTAAATATTGTTTAATATTCCAAACATTCATATATATCTATCGTTAAAAGTAATGAGAAAATCATACCAAATTTTCATCTAGTAATAAAACCTATGTAGAATTTAAATAAAAGATTTCATTGTCACATATTTAAAAGAGACAATTATTTCAAACCGTGTAAATAAGCATTCATGTCAATATATGATAATATTAAAATCCCATAAAAAAGGCAAGTGGCAACCATATATGTGTCATTTTATTAAAAGGCAATTCGTATTCAAATAGTTACATTATAACATCAATTAAAATAGGCCTACCATTAATATATATGTAAAAAAAAAACAGTTTTTGCAATATCTGGAACTAAATTATTGAGCAACCGAAAGTTTACTTAATGTGAAATATATTATAATCAAAAAGATATTATGAATAAACGAAGAACGTACATAAATCTTATATTCCGACATTTTAGCAAAATTGTTTTAAAGCTATTATTTGTCTTATATTTTAAATGAAAATAAATATTTGTATTCTTTCTACAAACCTCATTAGGGCAGTGCTATTACCACACGTTTATACCCTCACACTACATACGCAGTGTTTCCAGTTTTCATCCATAAATCTTCGCATATTTTCGTGTTAATGTAGTTTTTCAATAAGAAAGCTAAGATGCTACATATATTTGTATAGATAATTATACAAGCTTTAGTAAGCATATCGATATTTAATTTGACATAATTAAAAATGTATAAATTAAATTATATTGTAACTAATCATTCAAGTAATAAGAAAAGTAATAAAAAAAATTGTTTCCGAAAACTATAAGTCAATACGAGTCATATAAAAGAGAATTACAGGACAAATTAATACAAATAATAAAGGAAAATTTATTTTTTTATGCATTATATAATTTTCATCATATAATATCATTATAATTACTTATTATAATGATTCATTATTATTTTCACGGTCATATATAGACATGACAATGTATGGTTATAATTAATAATAAATCACTGCCAAAGTAACCCGGCACTATAATAAATGGATGTAAGTACTTAATTTGATAGAGTAATAGATACGTTATCTAATGCACCGGCATAGCGTAAAACAGATTACCATACAACACCCGCATTATGCTTTAATGGCTGAAACTTTTAGTTAATAATATGAAGATAAGCTTGTAATTATTTTAAACTATCACTCCAATTACTATAAAGAATATTTATATTATTAAAATATATATGAAACCTTTTTTAGTCGTTAACTTTTTAATTCAAAAAGGAGGTGTAAGTTTCTATGCGATTTCACTTAATATTTCACAACTGGCAACAATATGACATTTGTATTAAATTAGTAGATAATTTATTGATCGTCCTATTCTATTATAAAGCAGGCCTCAACCAAAGGTCAGTTACACAATGTAACGGCAAAATGTCAAATACTTTTTAATATTATGTAACACATATAAGAATGAGTGTTGCCTTAATATGTTAGTAATGAGATTATTACTCGCGTTCATTATATATTACATAGTATGTATGTAATATATTGTATAATTTCAAAAATTATAAGTTCGAAATCACCAACCCGTCTTGAGCAAGCGTGGTGATTAACGCTCAAACCTTCTCCATGAGAGAAGAGGCCTTGCTCAGCAGCGGGCTCCGATAGGATAAAAAAAAGTATGTAACTTTATAATAATAGTTTTACTATTAATTTACAAATAAAATAACTAAAAATCTATTACCGTAATACTCGTCGCTCATGTAAATGTCGTTTATGAGTTTTGGGTAAAAACGTAGCAATCTCTTGGCCAAATCCGCTAATAGGGAAGTAGCGTTTAGAAGACAAAGATGTAGAATGGTCTCTCCGACGGCACCGCGTTCCTAGAATCAATAAAATTGATTTACTTTCAATTTAATTACATAATATGCGTAAATATTACTTAATAAACAATCATTGATACATTTAACTGGTTTTATACCTTCAGGTCCCAGCAAAGCTCCCTATAAGCGGAAGGATTAGCCTCATATTCTTCCTGAGTCACAACCGGCCAATCCTTCTCCACATCAAATTCTTCGTCAGGATTCTCCATGCCACGTAACGGTGGCAGCTTATTTAAGATTATACTTTAGTGAAAATTATGTACTATATAATAAAAAATTTAACACAAGACAAGACAAGACTGTATAAAAGATCCTACGTAATTTGCATTGATGCTTATTTCAAATATCGATTTAACATATTTTTATTTCTTAATTATACTTTTTTATATAAATTAATAAGACTCATACTGAAATTCATATAAATTTTGACAATGAAAAGTATTTTAAGGTTCAATAACCTCTCACGGCTGCATAAAAGATCGTAATGTAATTTGCATTGATATTTTATACAAATATCTATGTGACTTACCTGTATTGCTTACTAATACGAGTTTATATCCCTACTAATATTATAAATGCGAAAGTAACTCTGTCTGTCTTTTACGCTTTCACGCCTAAACCACTGAACTGATTTTAATGAAATTTGGTACAAAGATAGAGTTGACCTTGAGAAAGAGCCTAGGATAGTTTTTATCCGAGACTTTTGAAAGGTTCTCTTGAAAACACGATATAACCGAACTCCACGCGGGCGAAGCTGCGGGCGGAAAGCTATTAATTTTTATAAAATAATAGGTCTCATACTGAAATTTATATTAATTCTGAGAATGAAAAGTATTTTAATATTTTATTTATTTAGTTTGTATTACCAATTTATGCCTCGCTCGTTCCTTATTTCTCAATAGCACGAGATGTGATATCGGTATATGCCTGCCTTTGCCCTTATTGTAAAGGAACGGTTCCACCTTAGTCTTGATAGCGTGATCTATCTCAGCGTACTGCTTATTCTGAACAGCCCTCTTCATCATATCAACCAATAAACCACCACCTGACTCCAGAATTATATCATTTATACATACATCTTCATATATAAAAGAAAGTCGTGTTAGTTAAACAATTTAGAACTCAAGAACAGCTGTAGGGATATGGTTGAAAATTGGCGGGAAGTAACTTAGAACAAGGGAAAGGACATATGATACTTTTCATACGATCGAAAAAGAAAAAAGTAAGTTTTTCGAAACCAAAATCTTATCTACTGTCTTTAAGGATAAACACCGTTCAGAGATAAACAGAGTTCCAGGTCCAATAAATTACTAATTTTGAATGTAACGCTGACGAAGCTGCAAGCAATAACTAGTATATACCATTGATATAATGAGTCTTTGTCTCTCTATGGTTATCTAATACATTTTTAAAATAACATTGCTTCTTTGATTGGTGGAATATTTTACACCACAATCAAAACAGAATTATGCAATTTTAATGAAAAGAATATCCAAAATTAGGAACAGATGTTTTAAGTTCACTTTAATAAAAAAGATATCTTAAACTTTTCTTCGTAATACGAGAAAAATACATCGGAATCTTACAATCTGCATATTGAAAGCTATATTAAATAAAATTATGGTTATCATTGATTTAGTAAATTTGTTTAAATCAAGAACTCATTATACCATAAATTACTCAACCATAAATATTAATATAACTTGCCCTTGACATCTATTAGCTTGTAGAGCTTCTGTTCAGAAGTGCCAGCTTGTTTCTTAACACCGCTGGTAACGTTGCTCTCAGTATTACCCATATTTACTTATTTTTTAGCGTATTAACTCTGATGTGATGTGATTTCCACACAGCCTTGCAGTCATTGACCAAGCGGGACGGTTGCCATAACATTTTCGACACAGTTTTATTGATCAAGCCGGTGATTTTTGTGCCACAATCATGTGTGAGAATTGATATTATCAAGTATAAAGTTTTATATTTTTAGACGATATCTGTTATGTCCTTATACAGCACTGATCAATGGTTAATGGTATGTAATGTTTAGGGATATGAAATAATAATTCAGTCGATTCGTGATTTAACTTTATTGAACATTATCGTATAGAAAATACAGAGTACAAGTAATAATACTGTTATTATGTTATGACCTGAACATAAGATATATTATTTCCACTAAACTCAAAATAGAAGCGCTGAAGAAGAGTCCCAACATGCCGCCAACTGTAACTATAAAATATATATATATGTGTATATGTGTGTGTGTGTTTGTGTGTTCCGTTAGTACAAGTAACAAATCAATACATAAATTACAAAAAAGATAATTAAAAAAAACACCTATTATAACAGTATTAGTAATACATAATGTAACTTTTGTTTACTGATTTATTTAATCTGTGTCATTTGACCGGTAGCTTACCACAAGTTAATAGTTTAAACTGTTTTACATTCGTTATTATTCGCACATTATTAACGTTGGTTATTTAATAAGAACAGAGCAACTATCTGTATGTAGTGTGTAGTGTACATGTATATAATGTATATACCTAGTCATGTAATGTACATATAAAGTGTAGTAGTTTTTTGTACATGTTTACCGTCTCATGATTGATCACTTACTGAGTATCGTCACATGCATAATATAAAAAAATATTTATGCATGATTTTATATGCACGTAGAGAAAACTTACATACAACTTGTGTTGATTATTATGAATTCAGAGTTAAATGAATACAAAAAAATATCTTTTTTCCATCTAATAATTTGATTTTCGCGAATATTCATTTAAATAAAATTATTATCTTCGGATTTATTACGGATTTTGTCCATATGTCCAATTATTTTCGAGTGTCTAGGAAAGTTATTGAAAATTATTACAATGCTTTAGTGGAACGAGGGTTCTTCAAAAAAATCTGACTCAAAGAAGAACTAACTGGGTTTGTAATAAATTGAGCTATGATTAAATTTTCCACACGTTTTAATCATTGTCAACTTAAAAGTTACATCAACCATTTTATTGTATCAAACAACAAAAAAATTAAAACATATTTTGATTGAGTGCAATATTTGTTTCGGTAAAAGGTTAATTGAGATTCCATTACGCTAATTTACTTGCAACCACATTACGTAGTCAAAGCGCAAATATCCATTGACTAACGAGAGTGTAAGTTATGGACGGTTTATTATTTAGTTATTTATATTTGAAAGATGTTTCTTTTTTCTCTACTGTCCCTAATTATTAATATTACGTTGATGTATTTATCTCAAAACAAAAAATTATGTTGACTTTAAGAAAAATTACTTTCTTCGGTAATTTTCATATGTTGTTTACACCCAATTGTGAATCATATTATATGTTTTTCATGAAAAAGTATGGTGAAATAATTTTATTATATTTCAAATTTGATATAACTCTGTACTATAGTACTACTATAAATGAAGTAATGATGGATACTAGACGAAAAGTTGTGGTTTAAAATAGAAAAGGATTAGTATATATATCAGCTACATTGCTTTAATAAATAAAACATATTTTCACGAAAATAAACAATCAAAAATTAATACAGAGACATAGAAAGTTAAATCAGCAGTTCTATAAAAATTCATAACATAAAAACATTTTTACTAAATATCCAAAAACTTCTACAAATTTTAGAATATGACTTGTAAAGCTGACAATCTTCTATATATATAAAAATGGATTGCTGTTCCTTAGTCTCGCTAAAACTCGAGAACTGCTGAACGGATTTATCTTATCTTAGTCTTGAAATGTTCGTGGAGGTTCAGGGAAGGTATAAAAGCGGAAAAAAATTGATTCATTACTGGGAAAAACATAAAAACAGCCCTTTTCTACTTCCCATACAAACGTTTTTTTGACATTAGATTTGACAACTAACTAATATGTCAATCATTCTGTCGCACTTCAAAACACAGAGATTTATGGCTTACAGGTAAACTCCAAAAATTTAAATAAAAAATACGTAATAGGTATTTCTTGATTATAGGGCGATACGAAGTTCGCCAGGTCTTCTAGTTAATTGATATTATCTTTAACTCTATACAAGAATGTATGGTATCGCTCTAAATTTTATTGCAAACGTAGTTTAAATGTTTCAGTGTTATCAAAATATTTTTTTTTATATTATATATTTTTGTGTTTCTTAACTTACCAACCAAATCCAACTTGGTTCTCATTAACATTCTTTTATATTTCAATGTTGGTAATTCAGACATTTTAACATCCACCAAAGATCCCATATTTTCTTCTCCACTGTACGGCGTTCTAAACATATAAAAAAATCTTATTAAATATTAATAGATACTATCTCCGAGCATCGTTTTTGACTTCAATCTGTTCATCATCATAATCATCAGTCTATAAGAGCCCACTGTTGAGCAAAGGGCTCTTCTCACATGGAAAAGGATAGAACATTTATCACCACGCATACTCAAGACGGATTCGCGATTTCAAGCTTATAATTTTAAATAATAATTACAAGTTTCCTTACGATGTTTTCCTTCAATATGTAATTTTATTGTAATTATAACACGACTTTTAATATCCATCACTTATACATATATGGAAATTAATGTTTTTTAATCATAGCACTTACATATTATAGTGATTTTTTTTATGACAAGATCTTAAACAAGTTTATACTAACTTGGAAAAATATATTATACTCATATGACTCTCCTCGCACGAGGGTAGACAGTCGTTTTGTTCACTTTCATCATTTACACCGAACTTAGTCCTTTGTACTATAACAAAAATGACCTAAAACTTCTTATGAAATGTCTAAAGTATTAAATATTGTACAAATTACCTTTGTATTCCATCAGACAGTTAAGTCCTGTGTAATTGCAATATAAGTCCTTATCTATAAAAAAAAACAAACTCTAAATACGAAAATAAAAGATTTTATTAAAACATGAATTTTTGTATAATTTTAAAATCTAGTCTATTCTTTCTAAACCTATATGTATATTGAAAAAAAATATCATTAAGTATTTAATATAGAAGTGAAAAGTAGCAAAAACACAAAAAACGAATTAAGTTACACTAATTTTGTTTATATGTTAGTGCTCAGTACAGTTAATTTTACATATTCATTAAGAAAACAAATTAATTATATTAGTTTATCTTAATGCATCTTAATACTCACAAGACTTAGCTTGAATAGGATGTACACAGTCACATCTCTGGTACTCTTTATAAACACGACGAGACAAACTACACGATCCGTGAGAATATACCTGCGAAGGTTTTAATTACTCTAATACTTATTTAATACAAATAATACAGTGAAATATAAATATATTGAACAATCCAATAATTCTCTTAAAGTAAAACTTGTAGGATGCACCTGTTAGATACCTATTTTTATATCAGAAACTTGGCAAAGGAATATTTTAATAGTGCACAGGAACTATAAAAGTTAGCTAGTGTTTTATCTTAATATATGTAAAAATAAGATAACCGGAAAAAGAACTCTATTATAATTAAAACTCAGTTAATAAAACGTTCTTGATCCAGCAAAAACATTTCTGAAAAACGAAACATTTTTAGTCCAAGCTTCATAAATAATAAAGTTTTAAGTTACATACAAAGAGTTTACAGTCACAATGATTTATACAGGCTTAGAATATAAGGTAATATTGGCGAATGAACTATATATATAGATAGAGATAGATAGAGAGTGAGAGAGACGAAACATCCTAGCATTGTACATATTCACCGTGGGAGTGCCGGGTCCATCATTACAGAGGATTAGGAGAGGAGCTTCAACAGTGACTGGGAATTAAAACCCAGGTGTAGGTTTAAAGGGCCCCTTAACTAACGCGCGTTATACGCTCACCTCCACTGTCCAAGCTCCAAGAATTCGTAGCTTAATTACTTACGTGATAATAGTGCAGCGGTTCCTCAGGTATTTCGAAACTCCGTCTACAATTTCTAACTGTAATATCTTCTTCAGCGAGACTTGAACCAATTTGTATTTGTTTCATGGAGAATAATATGTTGGCATGTTTTACTGAATTTATTTTAATATCGAACTTGAATTTCTGTGGTACAACAGAAGATATTTCTTCCCTGCTGTGTAGAATGACCTGATGGAAACATTATTAGTGATAGAACAAGCAAAGTATTCATATTTTGGTCGGTTGGTTATTTTTAATATAGCATTCATCCGTGCAAAGATGTGCATAGTATATTCTTCCAGTATCTTATAGAATAAGATACAATCCACGATTAACTTAGGAATTTAATAGAATTGAACAGCTTCGACTGAAGTCATAATAATATTTGTATATATTCGATTAAATAAATTTATGTTACTCTAATCAAACTTCAATCGAAAACTAAAATTGTATTTGTTTAGGATTGTCACTTTATTGCATTGCGTTATGAAGGTGTTTGTGGTGTAAATAATAAAAGGTTTATAATTTACAGTCATAACTATAAGATTTATAATAAAATACCAATATGTTTTATTCAACATACATAAAAAATGTAGTTTTCAATCATTCTCATGTTATAAGTTAATGTTGCTATATTTATTCGAATTTTGTTAATTAATTACCTGCGCATCAGCCAATAGACGAAACGATAGCATTCCAGGACCAGAAGTCCTATTAAGAACAAATAAACCTCTTTCGCTGCACCTACATTCAAAAAAGTAACAATCAATTATATCTCCTTATCAGTGTTGATAAAGCTATCATAACAATATAGATAAGAGAGCGATCAGTGATGATCCAAAAACATAATAACATACACGTGAAACGGGCAATAAAAGTATTAATAATATTACGAACGGCCTAAATAATAAGTTTTACAAGTTTGTACTTAAAAAAATATAAGATTATCAGAGTTTTTGTTACAATAATTATATATTACTTGTTTTGTAAACCGTTTAAAGAAAAGCATGGTCCGGACGTAGAATCAACGATGCAGAATTCGTCACAACACCGAAATCGAATTCCATTGAACTGGCAATCAGCCAGCATTTCGGTACAGCTCTTGTGAACCTAAAAGTATATTTAGGTAAGTAATTTATTATCCAAATTAATATTAAATCGATAATTTTATATCAGAATGAAACTCTAATCCGCTATTTTATGGAAAAGAGCAATAAAAATATGTTTTTATACAAATTTGATTGGTTTATTTTTAACAGTGATTTAAAAAGGACCATACAATTGTCAATTTACAAATAATATTAAATAAAAATAAAGAAAAGTGCCTCAAATATAACGACCGGACTGTCTTTGAAATTAAGTTTGCCAAAAAAACACAAATAAGTTTCTTAGTTATATTATTATGGTAACTTACTCGTTCTATAACTTCTCTCCACGGTACATTACAAGGCACAATCCCCCCACAATCCACACACACTGATCTACTGCAACTTCCATGACCAAATGTCAAGTCGGCTATATATCGACTATAGTCGTAATTAAGATTTGAAAATACGGCTACATGAAATAAAGTAAATAATATATTAAATATAATATAATTAATTACTACGGAACTCGTATCTTAATGGAAAGTTCAACTCACGTATACGGTTAACTAATTAATTAAATATCTCTCTTGAGAGTTCAAGATGAAATGGCTTTAAGCACGTAACGTACAAAAAAGAATCTTCAGATTAATAATCAAAAGTCTTGGAAGAAGACATAAAACATACATAAGTTATAAAAAAAAACAATATTCTCACGAAATTCCTTAGTCAATATCCTCTTCACTCTTTTATAAGAGTAGATCTCGCAAACAGTTACTGCTGGAAAATCATTTTGCCAGCGCAAGTAATCTGTGTCAGCTATGAACCTCACTGAGGCACTGCGGTCAACCATCGTCAATAGTAGATGGTACAGACAACAACATAACAAAAGAAGGATGACGGACCAAACGCATCTAAAATTATTAAAATTATATTATATATGCTATCTACAACCCACGTAAATAATTCTATTGAATGAATTTTACGTAGCCTTATATTTGACCACCTCGTGTAAAAAGTGTCTAAACTTTAAAGTTTAAATCTCATTCTAAAATAGCCACTTTTACAAACTTAGTACTAATTAAAAGAAATATTTTTAAAAAGGTTCTAATGTATTAAAAATAAAATACAATCTTAACTCTGCATATTCCTGATTTAAATCTCACTCGAACGCAAAACACCATTTCAAATCTCGTACATATTAAAAGAGGTTTTATTCCAAAAAGGTTTTAATGTATTGAAAATAAATTACAGTTGTTTTAAACTTTTTTCTACCTGGTCATCTTGTTACATCTCTTATCAAAGACGTACTTCAATCCGTGAACTCCACTATTTCGTCCAACATTCATTAAAATTACTGATACATTTTTTAAAAAGGTTTTAATTATAAATAAAACTTTTTTCAGAAACATTTTTGTATTCGACACCATATTGTGACTGAAGCGATTGAAATGAACTAAGTGCTTTTCAAATGAAGTTTAAAAAACCCATAACATTATTACATATCTGTATTCAGTAATGTAAATATTTCACCACTTACTCTAATAGTTTTAATAGCTTTTTAAATTATGGGTATCAATTACCATTTAGTTAAATACTCTTTTATTATTAACAGAATACAAAAATCACTATATTTTGACTAAATTAATATCATCTACCGTGTGATAAATAAATTGTGAAATGGAATATTCTCGAAACATTTTTTAAAAAATAAAGACTTTATTATTCCTTATTCTGAACACACTTTTATTTATAATTTTTTTTATATAATTAATTTTAAATTAATATAATAAATTCCAATTTATCGCGCATATAATTTGAAATTTTTGATAATTTAACTTAAATAATAATCAAGAAATGTGGAACTAAACTTCTTTTAATTGAAAATCTCTATAAAACCCAGATTATAGGTTTTTCATGAAGCTTTAAATCATTTTACAGTATTTTTAATATAAATTTAAATTCAGCATTATTGGTCGCCAATTTTGAAGCATCGCTGTGTTAGGAAAAAAAGTTAGATCAGTTATTTTATGTTCGAATAAAGAACTGTATACTTATCACTTATGTAAAAGATTTCCTTATAAAATTATATTGAAATAATACACAAAGATAAGTTACTATAAATTATATTTATGCCTAAAATTAATTACAGTCTTTGTTAACCCAATTTATCAATAACTCTCCAGAACCAATTCTTCGCTGTGGTAGTAGTGATTATGTCTTGAGGGTCAGCGAAATCTGGTGCTGATGTTTTTGCTTTGGAAGACCGGTCTATTCGGAACCCTTTACGCAAGTCTAGTAATAAATCTGGCTGAGGATGGGTTCGCTCGTAGTCTGTTGCTATAATAACATATACATATACTAAAAATGAAAAAATCATTTATTTTCTAGGCGTTTTTTAACACAAGACGGTTTGACTTCTATATGTAAACTATATAATATAATCTTTCAGAATTATATTCATATAATTTTCTATTCACACACAATCAGTGCCGTAACTAGGGCGGTGCCAGCAGGGCGCAGACCCTGGAGGGGCGCAGAAATGACCAGACTAGTATCTAGTTTTATCTCATGCATGAAAGCTATCTACTTATATACTTTGTTACTTTGGTAAACAATAGATAGATTTATTTGTATGCACATTCGTCCATTTTATTTTCAGAGCCTGGTTAGAACATTTTTTAAGATCGCAATTTTGAAAGCTCGCACCGAGTACATAAGAGGCTAGTTACGGCACTACACACAATATTGGACACTATTCATATGTATTCAAATAAATTACAGAAAAAGAATAAAGACATATCTCAGTGTTAGTCTTTATACTTACGGCAATAAGGTTCCTTTTCGGTTGTGAGAACGAAGTAAGCTCCTTTATAGATCCGTTTCTGATCAGCTCGGATGCCCATCTCAGAACATGGGGCGGCTCTATCGCATGCAGCTAATATGCTTGCATTGACCCTATATTTGCAGTATAAACTTTGAATTATAATTTTCTTTTCAAAATACGAATTTATCACATAATATACAATTTTATATTAAAAAATTACGAAAAAAAACAGTGTTAGAAATAATTTGGGCAGCACTTAAATGTTAACTACTCCACAACTTGTAACCGAATCCCCAGTCCAACACTTGTATAGTATTTTCAAAAGTAACGTTTAGTTGAGGGAGTTATAATAGGCGCTTGTTTTTCTCATAAGAGTTTCCATTAAATAATAAAACACTTAACATTGTATAAAACATGCTAAGGCTCTAATTATAAATTATGAAACCAATTGTTTAATATTTGCACATTTAAATTACTGTACAGAAGTATTATTAATATTTACACTAGTATAACTAATATATAGGTGGCGCTACTTGACTGGCATAAGAATTCCCAATAAATATTAGCATATAAATATTTAAATCTTTATAAATAATTATTACTAACATTAGTTATATTTATAAAATAGGTTGTCTATAGTACAATATTTTTTTTTATATAGTTTAGGTAAATAAGTATTTTACCCTTCATATGTTAAATTCCAGTTATGCGCTATGAAGCTACAGTTGTTGTTGATCAGTGATTCTGTAAAGAGGAGATACGCTCGCCCGTGGCTGCATATAGCTTGTTGTAATCCTATGCATTAAAAAATATAATTAAAACTCCCGAAATAATTTCTATGAAAAGAATTGTGATATTGTGATAATGAAACTAATATTTTCTGGATATAATATGTGATCACATCTTATTTGCCCGTGATCACAGTGGCTGAAAAGTAGCCGAAACGACGGGATTATATAGTTTTTTACAAAAATAAAGCACGCGTAATAATCCGAAAAATATTCGTTTCATTTTGATTGATAAAACTCGCGAGTTTTAGATCTCGTTTATGATACTCTATTTTACACATTATTTAATTATATAGTTTTATTTTCACTGAACTTCGTAATGGAAAGAAAATAAAACTAAAATAAATGAGTTTTCCTTACTAGCAACTGAGCCAGGGAAGAGTGTGGACCAAATAGTTCTGGTCTCATTCCTACAGCCAGGTTGTTCCATTCCACCATTTGGATAGAAATCTGCATGACCTATAATGTTATTTCATTTGAGCTTATTTGTCTTATTAACCAAATGCTATAAAGTATAATAAGTCTACGGGGGAAATTTAATTAACTGATATTTCAGAAATTTACTTTTATCAGATAAGATAAAGCAAAAAAATCGTTAAATAGTTTAGAGAAAAAATTAATGGAGAGATTTAAAAATTTCTAATGAAAATCTCAAAAACATAAAAGGAAAAAACTAGAACAAATGTCAACAAAAACTAATTTTATTTCCTAATTCTTCTTCTTCTACCTGGCAATATCCCAGCTTTTAGCTAGGGTCTGGCCTTACATGTCGTGAATAGTTTTGGCTAATTGTTTTTACGACTGGCCGCCTGCCTGACATCAACCCTCTTTGGGAAGCTTATTTCCTAATTTGAATCTATAAAATAGTTGTATTGATTCCAAATACGTTATAATATATAACTGGCACATTGTTTTACTCACCAATAGGGTCTGGTAGTCCAAATCCAATCTTTTTCAACAGTCTCCCGTTAGTGTGTATAACATCTACAAAGTCTGCGTCGGTCTCATCCAAGCGCTCCACGCGACTTGATGTTCTGAAACATGGCTGTGCTGGGTCTAGACCTACAGGAAATATAAAGCTTAGGACACACATAGAACATTAGAGAGATTAAATTTTAGGAATATGTTATATATATTCTATTTGTATTTTCTTGAATTACTTGCGTTATGTTATATGTAGGTAAATTATACAGGGTGACTGGTGAATTACTATCAATATTTAAGGAGCATACTCGGTACATGATTCTCATTCGAATTATGTAAAAAAAATAGGTACTTAATTTTTGACCAAATTTCCGTATAAATAAATAAAGTGTTGACACGTTCCAAGTGTTCCAAGTGTGGACGCGTGCGGCGGCGTGCTGATACAACAAGACGCCGCCGCGCGCGAGTGTGTGTGTGTGTGTATACCTAATCTGTAGGGTGTTCACACGATGCGTAATTAATTACATAACTTTTGGTTAACTTTACTTAGAAGTTTATTAATATTTATGTTATATTAATTTTTATTTTGTCATATATGATCGTCAAATATCACGTCCTCAAATATCGATAGTAATTCTCCAGTCACCCTGTATATACAGTGGACCCCCTGTAATCCACCCCCTGTAATCCGACATGATCTTTTATTTATTATTGAATACATATTTTGTATTCGCTAATGCATGATTGAACAAGTTACAACTTGTACGCACCATCACTACATATTGTGCTCGACGTGTACGATATTGTTTTGATTCTGATTGCTTAATTGGAATTTGAATTTGTACTTCAGAGTACATATAAGCAGTGGCGGCTGTACCTTAAGTGCACTCGTGCGCTGAACCACCAATTCAAAAGATTTAAAAATTACCAAATATTACTTCATCTTTATTTGTAAATTACCACTTTAATATTTATTTTTTAAACATATAAAAACGTATAAAAAATTATATTTCCTAATTATGGTCAAAAAGTTTGAGCGCTTTACTAAACTAATATCGTGCACTTCGGCGAATGCACGAGGACTGCTTATACATCTTGTATGAGATACGCATTAATACGCCTGACGCGTGAAACAAAAGATAATTTATAGAAATGTACCGAGTAATATACATATTACTCGGTACATTATTTACAAATAATCTTATCACTGAATCTGTAATTTGTCGGATTACAAGGTACTCTTTTGGTAAAAAATCCAGACTATAGGGTCTTAGGCAGTACTCTATAATCCGACGAATTCGATAGTTCGACACTGCCCTGCAAAATGTTTGTCGGACTACCGGGGGTCCACTGTATTACGAAGTTATATTGATAAAAAAAAGAATATTATAATAAATGTGAACAATAAGTGGGGACTCATTAATGGAATATTTAATTTTCATATAATTTGAGTATCTAAGTCTGAAATTCCAAGAAAACTGCGTACCTGTTATTCTAGCAACTCTCCCTATATGATATGACACGTAGGACACGATGTGAGCGCCAAGACTGTGACCTATGAAATGGAAATCCTTTACATTTGCACCAGTCGCTGACATGAGCTGTTTCATAAACCTATGGAAATGGAAATTAATTTTTCTTTACCATATATAATAACTTTACTTATATCCCTACTAGTCGATACTAATATTATAAATGCGAAAGTAACTCTGTCTGTCTGTCTGTCACGCTTTCACGCCTAAACCACTGAACTGATTTTAATGAAATTTGGTACACACAGAGTTGACCTTGAGAAAGAACATAGGATAGTTTTTATCCCAGATTTTTGAAAGGTTCTCTTGGAAATGCGATATAACCGAACTTCACGCGGGCGAAGCTGCGGACGGAAAGCTAATAACATAATTCCGATATACGTTATATAAAAATACATCGTTATACATTAATAATTTCATCCAAAATAACTTCTTCTTTCTATGGCAGTATTTAAATAAGTTTGTATATATACGGAACCTATTAAACATATTGGAGACTCACCCAACAACATCAGACCCTACTCTCCGAGTATTGGCCACCGCTCTCCAATACTTCCAAGTGTTGCCACCTTTACTCCAGTCAACAGCTATAACGTTCACATCCCTCTGACATAAATGAAACGAAAAATAACAATAATATATTACGTATATAAAATAATACGTCTCTTTTAAAGGAAACTGTACTCTAAAACTATAATCCATTCAATAATTCAAAAGTTTATTTTACTCTGTGCCACATATTAAAAGATATCTTAAGAAAAAGTAAGTAAGGAATGATCTTTAAATTGAAGAAAATTTTTAAATTCGCTTATTACTAAAGAATAAGAAAAATAAACAACTATAGAAGAATATTCTAAAGAAAATCTACTCCATTTATTTAGGTTAAAAGTTCGTTCATTTGTATTGTATTTAACAAGTGATTAAGAGTTGGAAAATGTATTGTGGCAATTTTAAACACAGGGATTGCACTAAATTTGGTCATAAATCTTCAGTTTTCAGCTATTTAGTTTCATTTATTTAGTAAAAAGGTTTTAAGCTTATCTAATTTATATAAAAATATGTATAAGTACTATCATTGTAAACCTAATAAAATTGGCATATAAAATTAAAATATTGTAAAATAATTTAATACCCATTCTAAAAACGCTCGTGTCATGTCTAAAACCCAGGACGCGTTGCTGTGACTCATAAACCCATGTACAATCAATATGGTCCTTCTGTCCGGTCTAAAATCCACCCATTCCAGACCAAACTGTGTTCCAGGATAAACCTGGAATTAAATACCAATAAAAAATCCATTTAAATTCCAATAAAATTTTATTTGACTAACCCATACCTGTACTCTCTCCGGTTTTTGACGAGACGAAAAATAGAAATGTGTATTGACATCATTTGACGTGTCTGGTCTCATGTTGAAAAACCCAGCGATGGTGCCCAAGCCGAAACAGTCTACTCTTTCTGGTACAGGAAGAACTGTGGTCGAATCCTATTATTACAAAATTAGTATTTATTTTAATAAAGACCCCATAAAAATCGTTTGTATATTTTGGATGTAAATATGAACCTACACATGCCGTAAGAAATTTAAGGATATTAAAAATAAAAAAAAAACTTATATTAATTTGTTTTTTTTTGATGTTCCTCATTTTCTAAGTAGAATTTTTAATATTAAATAACAAGTGTCAATAGTGTGGTTAGAATTTCCAGTTTATCTACGTCTGAGCTCAAAGTTATTCGGCAATTACGTATAAAAAAGTCTCACCTCGAAACTGGCGTAATCGACATCATGGTTCGGGGAAATTTGTGTTGCATTATTATTTTTGCACCATTCGAGGAACTCCTCAAAATCTTCAGGACTTATGTGGTTCTCAACTAAAAAAAAATACTTATAATATAATAGGTATACAATAGAGGCACAAGGTAGGCAAAAATCAGTGGTGGCCTAGCGGTTAAAAGACCAGCCTCTCATGCACGAGGGCGCGGGTTCGATCCTGGCAAGTACCAATGAGGTTTTTCCGAGTCATATGTACTTTCTAAGAGTATTTAGACATCACTGATTAATGTGTTGAGTGTGTTGATGTCAGGCAGGCGGCCGGTCGTAAAAATAAAGGCAGGCAGACCCTTGCTAAAGCTGGGAAATTGCCAGGTAGAAGAAGATACAATATTAACTTAAGATGGAAACAATTTGATATTTCTCACTTATTTTCAAATACATTTGTGTTAAATAAATTAATTACAAACACAATTCGATTTTTTTTAAACTAAATCTAGCAAAGAACTCAAGCCATTCAGCCACTAAAAACAATGTCGGAGAAAAATAATTGCAGTCATAAATATCTATTGTCTGTCACGTTACAATTTGTATTAAAACGATGTATCAAGGACTAAACCAATAACAAATATTTGATTGTAACACTGCCCTCCATTTATTATCAGGGTTAGTGATGCCAAGGCCCTTTCGTATATACATATACATATATATAATATCTGATCGTATATGTATATCAAGCGATAACTTTACTATTTATAATCATCAAAATACTATTTTTTAACATCCATTCATATCATATACATAGAATTAAATAACCATAATAACTCTAAAAACTATCGTTATTCAATTAAATGTCAAAGACTTCATAGTTTAAATGAAGCCATAGATAAAAAATACACATCTCTGCCACATGTATGTAGTATAACATGGAAAAATTATGCATTTCTTTCCGACCTGACCCACATTCAGCGTGTCAGTGGAACAGGTAACCAAGGCAACCCATCAATGAGCTGATTAAAGTCACTTTACAAAAACACGCGATGCATTGTGTTCAAAATAGAATAATTGTTGCGCCAGATATAGTGAAAATTGAATTAAAATGATTCTAAGGTAGATAAAGGTCAATATTTGTATGTCTTTCATACGAGAATAAGCAAAAAAAGTGATTTATCTTTTAAAACGTGAGAATGTAGCTGAAAATATAATGTAAGTATTAAAAGTTCCTTTATAGCAAGTTAACTTTCAATTCATCTTTGTCATTGGGTAAGTAAAAAAACTAACTAGCAGTCAAAGACTAACTTAAAGTTTTCATTTTCTTAATGACTTATTTAATTTTGTATTATAAAGCACATATACCTAGAGAATACTTAGAAATATTTCGAGAAATACTTATTATAATATTAAAAGTCACCTACATGATAAGTAAATTAAATAGTTAAAGAAAAAATAAAATTTAATCACTGGAATGACTAAGTAAAATATTACAAGTCTTTTCTGGACTTTTTTAAATATTATTTCGATATTTAAACTCCTTTCTTAAAACCTTCGTCTAACGGTCATTACTTAATTGTTACCTATATACATTCTTAAAACAAGCTAGTTGTAATATTATGTTTGTTAAATTAAATTAAAGTTAATTATAATATATTTAGTATAAATTAATGGCCATTATGTAATTTATATCTATTAGTTAGATAATTGTTACTTTTAAATCATTAAAATATTGACTGTCATAAAAATTATTGAAATGTTTATTTAAGTGTGATTTATTATGTGCCTAAAAAATGCGAATTATATTGGCGGCAATTCAAACTAAATTTCTATCGCAAACGTATCTTATAAATTATAAGAAGCGAAATTATTTTTAATGGACAAGCAAGTAATATTATCTAAATAGTTATAAGAAAAATATGAATAAATAAAAACGTGATCACTGTTGCTGAAAAGTAACCGAAACGTCGGGAGTATGTAGTTTTAAAATACGCATAGAAATCCGAGTAATATTAGTTTCATTTAAATGAATACTCGCGAAAGTCTCAGATCTTGTTAAGATAATTTTATTTAGATTATAAAATTATTGACAAAAAATATTTATCTTTTATTTATTTTCCATATTTTTGCTTCATTTTCAAACGAACTTGTAGAATAATTGTAATTAAAGCACCAATGGTTTGTTTTTCGTTGAATACTTAACATGAATCAAAGTTGTAACTTCCTACACTTCCTTCCTTAATAATAAAAAAATAAACGATATTTTAGAAATATATTGAATAAAATTCATCAATACTTACGTTCATCAGTCGTCATCCAATGTGTTAGAACACCGGTATTAAAGAAACACATAAAAATTAAAAATAAACTTTTAAAAAATTTCATTCTCAAAAAAAAACTGTCAAATTTAAAAAAAATTAAAACCGAAGATCGTCTTATTCAGCCTTCTGCCTTCGTCCAATAACACCAATAAAACAATGGCAATAAGTTTTAATTAACACCATTAATACTAAATGGATTTAACTATGACGTTCTCTATAGTAACAGGAAACAGGAGCTCTGGCTGCGCAAGATAAATTAATATTTATCAATACAAGCGGTCACCTATATATTATAGTAACTTATTTTTTATATAATTAACGTCACATGAATCATTATTTACCAGCCCATTGCTTGAGTCATAAAATCATTTGCAGTAAACAAAGGTATTTCCTGCTGTGTTATTCAAAGATCCTATTAGAAACTTTCACTTTTATTATTATTATTTAAGTCAACTTCTGGGTTTGGTCTCGTTTACAAAAGAATCTAAATTCAGATGCTCCAACAAAAAATTGTTTTTTAATATTGAGAATATTTCTACCTTATAACCATTAGATCAGCGAATTTTAGTGCCAAAAAATGTTACCTTCATACTAATTTTCCATGATTTTTTAAAAGTATTTTTAAATAAATTCTAAAACAAATATGCAATAATTATATTTTATAGGAACGTAAAAACCTGTGTTAGATATATTAAATGTAATTTGCATAGGGAATGTCCACTCGTTTACCGGACAAGTTGTTTGTTCTTTGTTGATACTTTAAGTTACACTGACATATACAATTATTGTTCTAAAATTCTCCGCTTGAAGAAATATAACTTCCAAAATATGGAATACTGGCTGGAGGGTATCTAAATCCAAGAAGGTCAAATAATGAGGATAAAAAAAACTTAATTTTAATTCCATTTTTAACTCATACATACGTTGCGTTATTGTCAATATTAATTGCAAATAAAAACCTATTTAAATACAATATCTTTAATACTTTGAAGAAATCGTTCCTTTTTGGGGACATACACATTATATGTATTTAAGGGAAAAACCACTTATCCCGTAATTTTCTAGACCCAGTTGGATATATTATAATTCGTAAAACTATTCAGTGTTGCTACATTATACACTTTTACTATAACATAAAGGGGAATTAATCTTACTTTTAAACCGATTTTAAAATAGATAAAGTTTTCAATTCCGTCACATTCTTATATATATATTTACTCTATTTCAAAAATTTTCCAAAGAGACTTGATGTCGGGCAGGCGGCCGGTCGTAAAAACAATTAGCCAAAACTATTTACTTACAACATGTAAGGCAGATCCTGGCTAAAGTTTGGAAATTACCAGGAAGACGAAAATATATTTCAAAATCATCATTGTCATACAAAGAACATTCTGAAGTAGTTCCGTCGTTACCAATTCAGGATCTGATGACCGAATAAACATGAAGTATAGTATCTCAAAGGAAGTTTAATATTATTAACTACGTGGACTGCTTTAGATGCGACTAGGTTTATTTTGTTTTATTCATGTTTTTCCAAATTATCTTCAACCATTTTGCAGATAAAGGGCCATCTTTAAAGAAAGTCCCACAAATTTTAGGAGTTTTCAATCCCTCCCCCTGTCCTGTAACAGGTTGTCACATTTTTATAACCCCAACCTGATGTGACTTCACATTTTTTTTAAATTTATGTATGTATTTATAAATAATCTACAGAAAACAGTTAAACTTATAAATGAATGTGTCACTTAAAACGCCGCTCTAGAAGTTGAATAACGTTTGCATGAGATTATGACAGCGCGAGAAAGCTTAATTATTATTATTAAACATAGAACAATTTCGCATTTTTTTTTTCTTTTAAATTCACATACAAATTTAGATTTTTAGTATTTTTAATTTTATATGTGACATCACTACTATTGACATCCCCCCACCCCTCCATTCTCTTTGTCACACGATGTCACACCGGTGATAGCCTCCCTCTCCATTAACGAGTGACGTACTTTATTGATGGCCCCTAAGATGACAGTTGAGAAATCAATTAAATGTTTTCATATATGCCCTATAGGGGCGTCTAATGAAAATATATATTTTTTATATAATAAATAAATAACGTGATGATGGTAGTGATGACTCTGTTATTGCAAGATAGCCAAAAATTATTATATAATCAATTACACCACCTGATCGTAGGTACTTCTTACCTGCTCTTTATTCAGTGCCTATGTATAAGCATAGCACTAACAAGTCTATACGTATAATTGAAAATTATACCTACTACATATTGGAAAATTTTATGTATCATTTATAATGTGGAACTCGGTTTTGTACATATATTAGAGTGTTGCCAGTTAAATTTGTTAACCAACCAATTATTAAGGATATAGGTACATTATTTAAAGAAAAATTGATTGTCCGTTTCTAATGTTACAATAATCTCTATCAACTTAATTCAAATACCAAATCCGTATACCAAAAAAATCTATTTTCAATGTTTATCTGTCTGTCTATACGTTTGTTTATTCAGTTTAATCTCTATAATTACTGGACCGCTTTTGACGGAACATTCAGAGTCAGATAGCTGATGTATTAAGACGTGAGCTAAACTACTTTTATGATATTTGTATCAATAATACTAATAAAAATACTTATTTCGCACAGAATTAACGGTCATAGATATGAATATACATACATTATAGGGTACATATACCAAAATATCACTATTTACAATTTTTGTCTGTCTGTCTGTTTGTTCCGTCTAATCTTTGAAATGACCGAACTGATTTTGACGGAACTTTTATTGATAGATGGCTTATGTAATAAGGAGTGACTTAAGTTACCTTTTATTCTGATACCGCAATTAAGCATCATTACCTATGCGGCGCTTAAAATTTTAAGTCTTTTTTTATAAGCTTATAAAAGTAGTTTTACGCAAACGGTGTCGAGAGTAAAAGGTAGTAGCTTACCTATAAAAGTCTCTAAGTAACTCCGTAACATTCTTTTTAATTATCTACATATTTTTTCCTAACACCTAGCAGAGCTCAAAAATAAAAGTTAAGATTAAATGACACTTTTATGATATTATTATAGTACAACAAGTTATTATGTTTTTTGTGTTGATATAAAAAAATATTATTGTGTTTACATAGCTTCTATATTCGTTATTTTAAAATAACAAGAGTTCAGAATTGTAAATGCAAAACCAAACTTAATTTACAGAAAGGAACGCAAGAAAGAAAGAAAGTGTCGTAGTGACAACTGTATATTTAAATTATAAAACAGGTTTAAATTTAAAAAAAACGGTTTAACGGGTGGAGGTTTAGACCGGATAACCATAGTCCTACAGAAAGTTTTTGTTTGATAAATTGAATAGGTCTAAGTGCTTAAATACTTTTAGGTTAATTAATACATTAAAGCATAATAAAGAGTAACTTAACGATAGTAATACAAAAATAACGACGTCTATCTTCGCCAATCGACTATTGATACTACAACAACTTCCTTGCGTACACCATATGCATAAAATCTATTAATCTTATTAATTTAAATTTTGTTACAATTATCTGGTAAATGTCAGTGAAAACGTCATGAAGTACCACTAATTAGTACTGACCAAGTGACCATTCATATCTCTTTTTTTCTGTTGCGGCTTCGTTCACACTGGAATTTTGTAACATTTTGCCAATATAAAATCTTTTTATTTATTGAAATTATTATATAATTTTGAATCATGTGGAAAAAACACGAATGAGTCTTTCTTATTGTATATGAATTCCATTTCAAACTGATATTATCAATTTATTTAGATACGGTATACTTGCTGATTATTTGACTTTCGGATAAAACATTAATTTTTTTTTTTTTTTTGTTAAAGTATGCTTTAAATTAAAACTTTCAGGTGAAAATATTAAATTAGGTTGAGTTATACCTAAATAATTTATATTGCAGATTTTAGAGGTATTATACACCAAAATATATTTCAATACTTTTTTATAATATAAGTTTATTCACAATGGAACTACAGAATGTTTTGCCAATATTAACGTTTGAATTTCTTAAACGAATAATATATTGTTTTAATTTAAATATAATAATTTTTCTTAAATTTAAATATGAACGTAATTAATTATAGTTTTTTTTATTTTCATCCTGTCAACATCTCTAATAAATTGTCTAAAAGTGTTAAAGTTATTATTGTAAAGTTTTCAAATAGGTACCTTCTACCTTTAAGTATTATTTTACAATAAAATAGTTTAATTAGATTTTTTTTCAGAAGAAAATAAAGATCCGCTTATTTTATTAGAAAATATTCAAAATAATAAATTACTAAACTTTTCTAAATTTAATGATAAATCATTAAAATAATAGAACTTTTGAAGAATGTTAAAAAAAATAAGGTTATTAATAAGTATTCAGAATCTCCAAGTTTATTTACAAGCTTGTTTATTTTACAAGTGTCTAAAATTTAATAACCACATATTAAGTCGTATTAGAGTTGCCATAGATAAAATTAGTTTTAGATTATAGAGTAGCAACATTTCTTGTTACGAGAGTACTATTCCGCTATTGGCTCACACAATAAACCGTTCAAAATTCATTACAACTGCCTTCAAAGTTCAAACGATTTGCCGTTTGAAATCTCTTTTGTGAATTTGTCAACAATCATCAATATCTTTGCTTATAATTGTTATCGTTTTATTTGATTTTACTTTATTTTTAAGTTAATTTATAATGACTTCGATCAAAGAAGACGAAAAGAAAGAAATTCCTGAAATTATTCACGATCCTCAAACAAACAGCACATATCAGAGATTAAGATTCTTTGGAAAGGTAAGTTAATAAGTTCTGATACTACAATATTATAACAGAATATGACCAATAGTGAAAACTTTCAATCGTACTTCATCGTGTTTAATCTTGTTACATAAATAGCGCTTTGAAAGCATCATATGTTATTATTAGCATAAATTAAGGTTAGCATCAGGCAATGGTTTTGCATTTGTAACCGTTACACTGTTCATTAAATCCCACTTTCTCTTAATGAAACTAATATCCTTAATTTATCAGACAGTGTCTAATATACGCTTTCCATTAGTTAAACGTATAACGATTATTAACTTTCAAAAGTTTCAGTTTGTCGAAAAAAAATGTTTACTTCGTTTTGAATTCTATTGAAGTTTCGTTGCCTATATTCTAGGGTGGATTCGCAAAATGTTACGAAATACAAGATATAGCTACGAACCAAATCTATGCTGGAAAGATTGTTTCAAAGAAACTTATGGTGAAATCCAGTCAGAAGGAGAAAATGTCACAGGAGATCTCAATACATCGGTCGTTGCAGCACAAACATGTCGTTGGCTTCCACAGCTTCTTCGAGGATTCTCTTAATATTTACATTGTACTCGAGCTGTGTAAGAGACGGGTTGGTATTGTCACAATAGTAATTACTTACATTATTATTCGTTAGGTTTCTTATATGGGTAACTTAAAAACTTACAAACTCCTAAATAACTTATAACATCTTAGTTGCACATATTTCAACTAAGTTGACTTATTAATTACTATAATTATTCTAATCTAACTGTCTTTCACAAGCAAATAACAAAATTATAAGTGTAAATCAAGTTTTTCATGCTATAAGTATAAGACAACCATTTTGAAAGCAACAAATTTTCCTACAGTCCATGATGGAGTTACATAAGAGAAGAAAAGCCATCACCGAGCCAGAGACAAGGTTCTACATGCATCAGATATTACTGGGAGTTCAATATCTGCATAGCCGAAGAATTATACATAGAGATCTTAAGCTTGGTAACCTATTTCTCGACGATGATCTTCATGTCAAGATAGGGGACTTTGGACTCGCTGCTAAGATTGAATATGAAGGTATTAAAAATTTCAAGAATATAAAAAATAATACTTACTCCCAATCTGACTTATGATATAGTAAAACCAGTTAAAGTTTTAGATTTGTCTATTGATTCAGAACATTTAATTGCAACATAATTTTTTCTAACATTCCCAATGTTATTCATATTCACTAAAAGCTTTTATATATACAACAAAAATATATTGTACAAAATAAGTAAATTGTTCAATTATAACTATCTTATAGGTCCAACTTTTACTATGGCAAATTAATTAAAGGCATGATTTAAAACAAAATATTATATTCAAGGTGAAAGAAAACGTACATTATGTGGAACACCAAACTACATAGCTCCGGAAATATTGACTCGAGATGGTCATTCCTTTGAAGTGGACATTTGGAGCTTGGGATGCATCATGTACACACTTATGGTCGGACGGCCACCATTTGAAACATCTACTTTAAGAGACACCTATAAAAGAATCAAGCAGTGTGAATATAGGTATTGTATATACACATATATATAACAAGTTTTAAGTCAAAATCTCAAAGCTGATCTTAATTAACATCATATTATACCTTATTTTGTACACAAATTGATTACACAATACTTTTCTCACACATAATATCCTATTATATTATATTTATGTATATTTCTACTCAGAGAGGGGATTTCTCTAGCTCTGCAGGCATTGTCTGGGCCCTGGCAAGAGATTGGCTCACGTTATGCCCAGGCCGTAGTCAACAATAACACAATCAATCAACGTTACAGGTTATATAGAAATATGGTGTCGGAGAATTAAGTGCATTGTGATGTTTAATATGCATTGTGACTATGTATACAGCTTCAATATATACTGCAGCTCGTAACTAACAACTTACAGCAGCTTTAAATTTCCTCTGTGTTAAAATAAGCTATTTACCAATGTCTATATATGTTCAACTACTAATATATATTCTATGTATATATTTATTCAATTTTTAAATTATGACGACACTCAAGAATCAAGGAATTACAGAGTTAAGCTATAATATTTATGTCTGTTTTTATTATGATGCTTTATAAATTATATTTACAACATTAGGATCAAGATAATACATAAGTAGAAATTATAGAATTATAAAATGGTAATGAGTAAATGTACAAGCAGAATTTGAACCTACAATCTTTATTATATCCGATTCCTTATTTGAAACAAGACAAACATTTGCATATATTTTTTTTTCTGATTTTATTTTGGGACTTTTTAGCAGCAAAGCTAAATGTCAGTCCCATAGTTCCCTTAATAAAAAATCCCACTACCAACAATAAATATAAGCCTTAAAGTATCTAAAATAATTTTAAAACTTATAAACTATGTCTTATTTTAACTTGCATATATTTATAACCGAATTCATCTTCCAGGATCCCATCATCGCTCCGTAAGCCAGCTATCTCCATGATAGGCTTGCAGCTTCAAGCTAAGCCCTCCCAGCGTCCCTCCGTGGACAAGCTGCTTCAACACGAGTTCTTCTCTTCTGGCATCATGCCGGCAGCTCTGCCACTGTCCTGTCTCACCACCGCCCCGAGAACAGATCAACTAGAAGGTGTTACATTACACAGGCGACCTCTCAATGAAGTCAATACTAATGGTAAGTAAAGATCTGGCAAACAATATATAAGAGAGCAAATATGCAGTAACGTTTGATAGTGTATAGATAATTAAAACAATATTTGGAAATTGGGGCTTCACTGAAAAGAACCCTAAATGAGTGAGATTCTTAAAGGATGTTTGAAATTAACTTCGAAATATTCTCAGTTTTGAATCTAATCTTTTCTGAATTGGATGCAAATGAAATAAATATTAATACATTAAAAAGATATGAATTAATTAGTTTACAATGGCGTTACGGTATTGGAAAAGTTTGTTCATTCTCAAGTACCTCTTTATAAAATACTCTGAACTATGATGCCAACGTCAACTTATAAACTCGGATTTCGAACATTATCAAATTGTTTAAAAAGCCTTTTAAACCTAGTTCAATGTAAAACCTTACCTCTTTAGAATGAAATACATATAGATAATGTATAATATCAGCAGATCAGATAATGGCGGTTGACTCGCCAGTGAAGCGTGGCCCGGGAGGAGAACCTCGCGCCGTGGACCCGACCTCACACAGGCTCAATCTGATACTACTACGCGATCAGCTGGCTACTTTACTGGGCGGCAAGGTGAATATTGTATATTAAGATAATTCTAGAGTAACGAAACAATACTACACATAATATATGTATTATGTACTAAAAAATAGTTTGAAATCACCAACGCGTGTTGAGCAATTGTGGTGATTAATGCTCAAACCTTCTCCATGTAAGAACAGGCCTTTGCTCAGAAGTGGATTCTAATAGACCGATGACGACTAAAAACTATGAGAGTTATCAAATATGGTAAAATGTATCACAAGGAGATAGAAGTATAAGATTGATGTTTGACAGTATCAATATTTTCATGAACTTATTTGCTAACTCATAAGTATGTAAATCATTGGCGTGTAACATTTCAAATTTTTAATGATATTATTATACACCTAATGAATATGAAATAACGGAATTTATACAAACGTGTCTGACGCGACTCCCAAATTTATTAGTGACCATTTTAAAACAAAGCTATAACGAGTACGTCGTATTCAAAATGTTCATGTACAGTAATTTCGTTAGCTCAAAATTTCATCTTTCAACTATGTTAGACACAGCTGTCTTTCCCAAATACGCGTGGTATTATGTATAAGGACAACCTAAACCTCATTGCTACCACCATGAAATCATATTAAGGATACAATATTCATAATATTTATTTATATATTTTCTAGCTGAAATGCCGTCGTGATAGTCTGAACGACGACATGTGTGACCCGTCATCTCAGCCGCTAGTGTGGGTTGGTAAATGGGTGGACTATAGTGACAAGTACGGCTTCGGCTACCAACTGTGTGATGAGAGCGTCGGCGTTATGTTCAACGATACTACCAAACTTATCATGCTCGCTAATGGAGTGTAAGTATAGGAAATTAACTGTAAAATCATCATACATAATGATATCTAAGACGTTTGCTAGTATTCATTTAAATTAAACTAACATTTTCGGATTTACTACGCGTATTTTATTTCTTTTATAAACTACATACTCTCGAAGTTTCGGTTACTTTGCAGCAATCGTGATCACTAGTAGATGAGATGTGAATACTTCCCGTGATCACGGTTGCTGCAAAGTAACCGAAACGTCGGGTGTATGTATTTTTTAAAAATAATAAAATACGCGCAGTAACCGATGTAATCAGTTTCATTTAAATGGATATACCAGTTCATCATTCACACTATGTCAATACAATCTTAATTTATTTAGTTATTTAATTTATAATCAGAATGATTAAAATTTTACAATATTGACTTGTATGTATATTTTCTGTATTCTAATACAATATTGTCCATAGACAGAATCTTAGTTTTTTTTTACTATTTGGAAAAGCTAAGAAAATATGCATTTTTTAAATGTTTTTTTTATTTTTGCAGGAATGTCCACTATATTAACCGGCAGGGCCAAGAACAGTACATGACAATGCGCGAGTATCCGCAAGAGTTGGACAAGAAGATGAAACTTCTCACATACTTCAGGAGATATATGACTGAACATCTCATGAAGGCTGGTTAGTATCAGGGTTATAAAATATTTAAAATATTCATATTTCATATAAAAAAAACCGTTATTTTGTTTAGCCCAGCTTAAACTTCCAAGTAAATAGATTTTTTTCTCTGTTTTTATAACCATAACTGATTAAAAAATATGACTTGTACATATTATATGTACAAGAAAATACTTTGTGTCAATGAAAAAGCTAAATGTGTTACAACTCAAGTATGGTGAAAAAGTATCCCTTTGATATTTTTCCTATTTTTACCCAATTATTCCTTGGTCAATAATATATATATTTTATTTAGGGGCGTCTGTGCCGGTACGAGAAAGTGACGGTCTCTCGAGATTGCCGCATTTAGACCGATGGTTTAGGACTACATTGGCAGTTATCATGTACCTTACGAACGGAACATTACAGGTAGAATATCAATTTCTCTTATATTTTAAATATTTGGTTAGTCAGAGAGGAGCTTGGACAGTGCGTTCCTTAAATCTTTACCTGAGTTGCAAGTCCCAGGCACTGTTGATGCTCCTCTCCCTATAACGCGATAAACCCGGCTTTAACATCGTGAATCCAGTTAATGCTGAGAAGTTTCGTCTATTTTGTCATTCTATAAAATACTCTTAATAATCTTCCACAGATAAATTTCCAAGATCACACCAAGATAATACTCTGCCCTCTGATGCAAGCAGTTACATACATCGACGTTGAGAAGAACTTCAGAACATTCCGTTTTAGCACAATTGAGAAGCACGGCTGTGATAAAAAGTTGTACGCAAACCTGACATATGCACTGGAAAAAATTAAAAGTGTATTAGCAAATAAACTATGCTAGTCCCAAATATTAAAACTCTTTGACTATGGACATAGTATTTGTTTATATGATATAATGAATTGTTTCTCCGCACAACTCAATATGTAAAAGCCGCTGTGCTTTCTGTGCACTTTTATGTATTAAATTTTGTTTTTCTTATTTCATATATATTCATCTTCTTTAACTGTACTAGAACGTTAAAGATTTATAGATTAAATTTTTCATATCAATCCGTTTGGATGCGTCATAGTCTAGTATTATTTATTTCACTAAAACATGTGGATCATTACCATGTGGCGTTGTCAGCAATCAATTTCAATGCACACATACAAAATTATGATTTCTCGACATTTAAGGAATTGAATTGTTAGATTTCCTCATTATTATTTACCGATTAGGATACATTGAATGAACATTCATATAATGTGCCTTTGTATGTTGTTTGTTAGATAAGTTGAAATTTTTAGTTTGAATACGTATTTTGGACCTTTGTAGGAGTAAATAGTGCACCATGACTGAGCAGCCGGGTGCTAGCAGTTACGATTATTTGGATCTTTTTATTTAGTTTTAGAACTATTTTTTTAACATAATGTGCTTCACCAGCATCGTTGCTTATCCGATTTGAACAGAAAAAGTTATGTATTCATAAATTTTCTACTCGCTCTAGATATTTTTAATATATACATATTGTTTGGTTGTTTGAAGATTGTATTGTAACACAAGGATGTAAGTTACTTGTGAAATGTATTTTTTCATATAATAACTTGACCAGTATTAATATAAATTGGATGCTCTTGAAGCACTTGAAATTTGTAACTTAACATTAATTAGGGGTATGTCACCTCTTGTATCAACATTTGACAATAAAGTTATTAGTAACAAAAATGTATAAATTAATTATCACATCTTTATTGACATAACCTGAAAGGATATTACCACAGATAGAAATGCTTTTTTGTTGGCTGTTGAGGTACAAAAAAATTACTTACAAGTTGCACAATTGAATAATTGTAAAATATATCAAAATAAAACAGGTTAGGTAATCATATAAACACCATTTCTTATTATAAAATTATAAATAAGCTAGTTTAATTTCACTAAATTACAATTCTGTATGGATTGCTTGTTGTTGATGTGGTAGAGCATCACTCGGATGAACAAAAAGTCCTTCCTGGGCCTGCCAGTCAGTATAAGCACCATACTGAGAGCTAACACCAACCACCTCCCCTTGGCCGCTAATTGGTCTACCAAAAGTCCTGCCGGAACCAGCCAGGTATCTGGAAAAATTGGTTAAATTAGATATCTTACAAACAAAATTTGTTTTAAATATATGGTTCATCATCCTCTCTAAACTCATTAAAAAATAAACTGCAGCAACTTGTTAATTAAACAAATAAATTGATGATGCAATCTTTTGAAACAATGATTTTAAATACCACAAAACATGGAAAATTGAAGAGACTTAAAACTTTCAAATATTGTCCATCTATTTAGTGTCAGTAAACAATTTAAAAAGTAGAATTCTCCCAGAGACTCTTTCAAAGCCACAGTGCTAACATCAAAATACAATACAAAAGGATAACTATATATTTTTATTGAATACTCACGCAGAGGTATCAACATGTCTAAACTTGACCGGAGTGTCCCGTCTCCAATAATCATTATTACAAACAACTGTCCAGTTGTCTCCGCTGTCTCCTTCGCCATCTTCATCACCGTAGCAAGATACCTCTTGATTGCCAGAAAGTGGTGACGAGAAGTAATGCGAGTGCAAGTTCTTCTTAGTACCAACATGTTGCAGTCTTATTTTAGTGTTGCATTTTATCGGAGCTCTAAAAACGATTTTGTTTCATTGAAAATTATTATTATTTCAAAAGTAAGAAAGTTATTTTCATGACCTATTAGTTTGATCTCGAGGATAAAGAAGAATATGATGGTTATTATTATTAAAAATTAAATCGAGCATTTTTTTAATAAATATTTTTTTACCCTCGTTTGCATGTTTCACCCATAGCTGCTCGAACTGACCAATGACTGTTATGGTCATCGGAAACATCCACCGCTGTAACAGACTGTTGCCCCGAACCAGACCCATACTTTACATCATGTGAATGAAGCCGCAGTTTTAAGTCTGTGTTAATTAACTTTAAAATTGTACCGCAGGTGACAAATTCAGCTCTTGACCCTGTAAATATTACAAAATAAAACTAACTCACTGATGAAATTCAGTTTAGTCAATATTCTTTGATATCCACCCCGAATAATATTATAGGGCCACGTAATTGTTATGATGATATGGTGATAAAACAAATGCTTTTAGTAAAAGATAAATCTTTACAAATATTTTGACAAAGAAAAACTAGTACCTTCACACACACGAGCAACCCATAAGTTTAATATGCATAATACAGTAAATACATGAAAATAACCGCTGAAAAACTTTGTGAGAGCCATTTTCTACGGATGGAAATTCAATGTGTACTGAAGTCTGAATGTTGTCAAGTGTCACCGGTTACTATTATCCTATAATTTTGACTTTTCTCATAGGTTCTGAAATAAACTTTTTTTTGTGTAAATAATTATTTTTTAAAATAGTATTAAAAAAACAGAGTCATAATGACGATTAATATGAAAATTAAATTAGAGTAATTTTTATACAACATTTAATACACACAACCAGATTCTATTTAGTACTAGTGCTCGTACATTTATTCATAAATATTGAATTATAATGTAAAAAAATACTTATTTAAAATTCAATGAAACATCATGTTTTTATTACTCTTGCCATAAGTCGACATGTACTAGTTTGACGTTTTCATTTTCACTTTTCAGTGCTCATAGTTGAACGAATTGATATCTAAATAGTATTAGTTAAGCTTGATAAAGATTGAAACAATTTAGTGATAAAGGAATAAGTCTTTTTGTAGCCAGTCTTTTTATAAATTCTTTAAAAAATGGAGAATTGTGACAGTTCTCCTGCCCCTAGCAAAGGTAAACATTATACTTTATAATATATTTATGGAAATTTTTTGTTCCCTAATAATTATGATTACTAATTTTGCAGTGTCCTACGACCCTGGATGGAATGATCCACCCAGTTTTGCATATAATGCACAAAGTACAGCACCTAATAGACCGCGAAATATTCTAAACAAAAGGGTTGCTTTTCCATTATCAGGAAATGCTACGAATTCGATGCCACCACCATCCATAAACTTACCTCCTATGCCATCTACATTAGAACTACAAACTCCCATACAAAATATTGTACCAGAAACAAAATCTGAAGAACATATTGAATTGGATAGTGAAAGTACACTGAAAGAAGTGAAGGACATATTATTACAGTTACTGGAATCAAGCAGTGAATTAGGACCTAAATCTGAAAGTATTAAAAAGAAAATAACCACAATGGAAGATATGTGGCGGAATGATAAATTAACTAAAATAGTTCAGTTACGGATGAGAGAGTTAGCTTATGGTTGGTATTATTTTTATTTATATTAATTATTATTTTAAATTCTAGATATGAGAAACCTTCATTTCTTTTGTCACTTTATAATCTTAATATTAACTTTTACCATAATTGCTTGTTCTGAACTCTTGGCTATTGTTTAACAATAAACAGTTATTACAATCTGCTCTTCTGGACATTACGAGTTTTTATATCCAATTCTACTAACATATATTAACGAGTTTAAGGGAACACCCTCTGTTACATAACATACTGTATATATAAGAAACCTTCCATTCCTTAATTATCTATAATCTTAATATTAATTTTGCAGCACTTAGGGATGACACTCCTAAAAAAGCTGACGACATCCATAAAGCATTAATGGTGGATCATGTGAGTGCTGTTTGTAGCTGGATGCCAGGAGTCAAACAGCTTATCTACCATTGTATTGCTCGCTCGGAACTATTGGCTATTGATAAGGAATAAACTTTAAAACAATCTGCTCTCATAACCATATATAAGCAAGTAATGGTATCAATACTATATTCATAAGCGTAAACTTTCATTTTAATGAAATTAAACATGTCATTGCTCTGTTACATAGCAATTTGTATATGAATGTATAAAAATTTGTAACAAATTATTGTGAAAGATTTCTTCTATAGAAACTTAGACTTTTTTTTGGTAATTTTTGGTTTAATTCTAATGTAATGCATGTAAAAATGATGAATAGTTGTCGCTGTTAAACAGCAAAACATGGTAATAGGATCTTAGATTTTCGCGAGTTTTATTCATTTAAGTAAAACATAATGGTCATTTATAATATCTAAATAATTCATGTTTTAGAAATGTATAGAAAAAAATACTTCCAGACATGTGGGTTGGTAACAAAGTAATATATAATATACATAATGTCCTTAATTTTAATGTATAACTATGTGTTGTATAACTATTCCCAGTGTATAAAAGCAATGATATACACAGAACTGTTATTAAAATATGCATATATTTATTAAGATGCCAGTTTAAAAATTTACAATATTTTATTCAGAAATCCTATAATATGTTTGATATATGTATGTATGTTTCATTATAATCGATTTATTGTTATTTTCAAAATTATTGCTAGTCATAACAGTGATTTCTAAACATGTTATTCTCCTGTGTATTTTTTTATAGAAATATTTTTACATAAGTGATACTCAATTATTTTAAACATCGATATGTACAAAACATGATGTACAGTGAATATATTAGTGTAAATAAAAGTATTAAACAATCATTTAGTTTCTAATTAAAATTTAAACTTAGCGCTACATCAGAAAAGTTTTTTCACTGAACTCTTAATAATTGATTGAATCAATTGTTTGTAGTGTTTTCATGGCTCCGAGAGTCTGCTGGAGTTTTGATAAGAGCTTTTCTTTGTAAGCTCTGTAACAGTAAGTCCTATATGCCACGTTTAATTGGTTTTGGTGCTACGGTGACACGGACAGGTCGACATAGCTCTACTAAAGGTGCTGCTTCTCGACTACCTCCGTCCTCAACAGCCAAACAAACTGATATATCAACTCCACACGGCTCTGTCCACACACCATGAGATATCAACACTTTCGTCAGCAAACGAACATTCTGGGTTCCATCGTCATCTGTAAATATTTATTATATGTAATCCCTGACTTTTTTAGTTCCAAACCATAAATCGGTAGAATATATTATGTAAAAGCTAAATGAGACGAAATTTCTTAGCATTCACCGGATGGATGGAATGGATTCACCGTGTTGTCGGGTCCATAGTTGCATCGATAGGAGCTACAAGCTCCTCTATCTACTTAATCAAATTTGAAATGAATCTAATAATACTCAAATGAAACTAATATTTTCGGATTTACTACATACGCGTTTTTATTTTTGATTATAAACTACATACTCACGCCGTTTCGGCTACTTTTCAGCAATCGTGATCACGGGCAGACGAGATATGGTCAAAAATAAAAAATCGCGTAGTAAATCCGAAATATTACTTTCATTTAAATGAGTACTCGCCCAAATCTTATCTCTCTCAACTAAGACTTGTGTTAGAAGTACGTTCCAAGAACGAATTGATGTTAGTTCTAGAGGAACCCAAGTCTTAATAGTTGCAAGCAAAGACAAATTAATTTATACTTACTTGTATTAGTATGGTCCAGAGGTCGCAAATGATCTCTGGGCGGTACCAGCGCGTGTACCCTCGTATCAGGGTACGCGACCTTGACCCTCAGCTGAGCGGGGTCACTGACCCTCACCACTTCTGCCTCTAACGCCACACCGGTTATTAGACCGGCACAGAAACGCAACACTGTGTCGTTATCTGTCGCCGGTTCTATGATACTCGCTGAGCACATACGGATCTGTAACAATTAAAATTATGCATAAAACTAATCTTTCAAGAATATTAATTTAAAGGTGAAATGTGAAATACATTCATACATAATACGAGTATGTAATACGTATGTCGATGGATCCTATGTATAAGGGCCATTGTGGCAATTAAGTCATTTTCATTTTTAAAGACTTCATAATACTGTATTATAGAACATCCATTTAAAAAAAATGGGTACTTGTTGTTTTAAAGACTTTAGTTTATATTGCAGTAAAAAAGCATGAGTAACAAACACTCTTTTTACCGTATAAGGACTTATATAATGTATATTATAAAAAAATATACATATTTCAAAAACTAGTAGGTTTACAGAAAAGTTTGTCAAGCTTTAATGACGTACATACATACATGTATATCATAGTTGCTATGCAAAGTCGTATGTACAAGATACATTGAAATAAAACTTAAAACGACTTTACTCAAAACTTGACATTTTGCACATTGACCTTTATACATAAGAGCCATCCATCTATGTATTTCATAGTTAAATCAATAACTGTATAAAAACAAGATTCTTTTAATTTTTTACATAGTAACGTACCTTGAGGTTAGGTTTAGGTATTATTGGTAGTGGTGCTGATAAAAGCAGCGGCTGCAGCGCTCGAGCCAGCGACGCCGGCTTGTGTTCACTCGCTGACAGCTGCTGGAACACCGCTATTGTGAATGGATCGGGTTCCACACCTGGATAAATATAGAAACTGATTTATATTCTGGTTGAAATAAATAAGGTATTTTTGGAAGTGTGTTGCTCTTGCACGTGATGAAAGGTGATGAAAGGATTTTGATGAAACCTTCTAATAATGTAGTCCAGACCTCAGAATAACGTACGTACGTACTTTAATTTATCCCTTAAACCACGCTTGCTTGTACGAAGTATGACGTCACAAGTTCATTTAACATATCCAAGATACTCATTATATAATAGTACACATTTCTTTATCTGAGCTCAATAAGAAGACAGAAAACATGTACAATGTACATTCTAAAATTATAAATAAACTTAAATACACTAAAAAAAAAACCATTCAGTCTATTAAGTGACAATTCTTCTATCTTTAACGTCGAGTTGAGATTAGGTAACAAATATTCTAAATTAGCTTTCCGCCCGCAGCTTCGCCCGCGTGGAGTTCGGTTATATCGCGTTTCCAAGAAATCTTTTCAAAAGTCTGGGATGAAAAATAATCCTATGTTCTTTATAAAGGTCAACTCTATCTCTGTACCAAATTTCATTAAAATCAGTTTAATGGTTTAGGCGTGAAAGTGTAACAGACAGATAGAGTTACTTTCGCATTTATAATATTAGTAGGGATTTATAAATATCTATCTCACCGGCGGATGCCAATAATCTGTCTAGTACTTCAGCGTGGTGTGTCAGCGCGGCCAGTGCGGACAGGGCGGCGGCGTGTCCGGGCCCCCCTCCCCCTCCCGCGGCGGTCGCTACCCCTCCCCCCGCCGCAGCCACACCCCCTCCTCCCCCCTCCACCGCGGCCGTCAGCCTCGCGGCGCACACGCGCAACGCCAGCTGATACACGCAGGCCGTCTCCTGTTCAGTCACTCCGCTGAACTGGTGCTGGAGTCTGGAAACATGATTCTATTTATAATCAATAATATTTCATTTGGATACATTTCCACATATTTATCACCATAGGTAAGGGGCCGTTCAAGTATAACGTAAGCACTATGGAGGGGCGGGGGGGTCTTTGCTTTGATTATTTTGGATGACATGGGGGGTAGGGGAGTTTAGATGATGATTACATCATCGGTACTTATTTACTTTGTTATCATCACATCCATGAAAAATTATAATTATAAATTTCATACATTTCTTCTGTCACAAAAGTCTGGGTTCATTGACCTACAGTTGTGACGTCATCGGCTCGGTATGGTATATAAGCATAATCACCTGAGACAGTCCGTAGTGAGGTGTTGCAGCGCGTGTATCGGCGGGCCGGAGGGCGCGGTGAGGGCCTCATTCAATGACACCACGCCGCGGACGAACAGAGACGTGAAGTTAGCAGCACCAGCTACCAACGGCTCCATCTCTGATAACCTGATAGAAATACAAACTTAAGACTTCCTATTTTATCACAAAATAGTCATATTGGTTTTAAGTTACAGAAGTTGTCATGACACAACACAACAAGACAACGAATGTTACGCGACGGTGTTATAGTGATGGTTGACTATACATATTATGATAAAACAATTACAGTGTAATTACAGGTCACTATAACTTAAAGTAACTTAAGTAAAATTGTTCATTTTACACGGGTCTTACTCAACAGTTTCAGTTTTATATTTCTTTAAGATTATTATGTCAAAATTTGTTCACCCTTAACCATATAGTCGGACCAATTAATCTTAATTTAGTTTAGTTTCACTGCATCTACCAACCATCGATATCATAATTCGTAACACAAAACAACACAATGCACCACATTACAGCAACACAACATAACGCAACACATTACACAAAACAACGCAATAGATTCCAACAACACAAAACAACACATTACAACAACACAACGCAACGCAACACATTACAACAACACAATATTTCTCCAATCCCAACTCTGTATTCATACTTATTGAGCTGTTCCTCCACAGTCTGCATCATCTTGAGCCTCACGTTAGCGGACAGCGACACATTATCAATGTGTTGTAACACACTCTCCATGAAGCGACGCACGGCGCTGTCATCAACTTCCAGCTCGCTCAGCTCACTCCTCGACTGTTGATTGTCACCTGGAATAAACATTCATTAGCCGATTGTAAAAAAAGATAGTTCTGTGTTTGACTGTCAGTCTGCATGTCAATATATGTTACAATGAAAATCTATGCTTGTTACATAGAGATATTAAAACTTATACTTCATATATAGCACTGAAATTTACAACAATTTTGAATCTCATGCAAAAAAGTATAACAAATAGAAAAGAACCAGAAAAGTCAAAATCAAGTTTGGGTGGTATTATTAAAATATTCTAGGGCTCAAACATTATCATATCAACACCTAAAATGTCATTAATATCAAGCAATACAATTAAATTTGATAGAAATATAATAGATAGTTATATTAATTTTTTTTTTATCATATTCACTCAATTTTTGTATCAATATTCACCTATAGGTAAATGTGGTACCAAATGAGGCATGGTATCCCTTAAGTATGTGTAATGTTTGACTGTGTAGTCTTCTAAAAGAGGCAGCATTGTGGTGCAGTGTTGAGCAGCGTTCAGGACCAGAATCAGGACACACATATCTGGATTGATAAGGATATCTAGGTTAATGGAACGTTATCACCAGTAAAAGCTACTACAAAGTAACAGTTTGCTTGTATTCATGTGTATGATGTATGTTTGCAACAGAAGCTCTTTGATAATAGTTTCTTGTTACCTATATCTTAATTTGAAGTAATATAGCTGTACACTAGTTGAAAAATAAATTGAAATATTTGCAGACTTCAAATATTTTTGTACATAATATGACAAGCAAAACAAATATTGCATGCAGAAAATACACAAAAGTTTAATATATTAATAACACTCATGTATATAAACATTTTTTGAAGGATATAATCAAATATATGTTCATACAAGCGGGATCATCCACATCCGGTTCCGGCATGTCGAAGAACGGATGAACGGCCAGTAGTCGCGGAACTAGCGGCAACACCAGAGACGCGTGCTTGATGCCCATTTGCTGCACGCAACGGAACGTCGAACGCTTATCCTGAAATAATAAACATGAAGTTTAAAATTAATATTATCAGCGCCATCTATCGTATCGCATCTCTTACTAACAGGCACACACACATGCACACATTTACAAAGGATATATTATGCATAAGAGATTCATAAGAGATACTTAAGAGATACATTAGAGCAGGGGTGGACAACCGGTCGATCGCGATCGACCGGTCGATGGCGGTCCTTAGTCCAGTCGATCGTGGCCAGTCAAAAAATATAAATAAATAGACCACACTGCGCATTATAATTATCAACAACTGCAGCACCGTCTTGTATCATTTTTCAATCGCTGTTCCGTCACGTTATATATGCTCTATTCTACAAAGTATAGTGTTTTGTTTTCGACACACAATGACCAATAAGCGGGAAGCGTGTGGGTTACCGGGGAGCGCCGTGTCTCAAGTGTCAATCCGTCCCGTGTCACCAAATAATCGGTCAGGTGACAGTTAAAGACATTAATTTCTTTTAAAATTGTAAATTTCATAAAAGGAAAATCCCTTCCCAGTCTACTCTTTAAACAGCAATTGGGTTTTTGAATATTTTTTTTTTGTGATAAATGGAAAGATCATATATAAGTTTTATAACAAAACTATTTTTATTTTATTTTTTTTGCAATAATTAAAAAGTTATTTCAAAATAAAAATTAAATTTTAAATTCAGTACCGAAGACCCGCCGACAGCTCGCGAATAAACCCGAGCGCGTGTGACGTCACAATGTTAGTTTTTGCTCATTGTAGCATACAGAAATATAATAATTAGTACAGTGTTTTGAGTTTTTATCTAGTAAATTCTGTTGGCATTGTTAAATAATCAAAAAGGTCAAAACTCAAAAGTTATCACTCTTGTTTTGTACCATTATGTACAAATACTACAAAAACAACTCCTGAAAAAATGTTTTTAAATGTTCCACAAGACGAAAAACGTCGAAAGAAATGGTTTCCAGCAGTGCAACGAGATTATTCAAAAACAAAATCAATTTTTTTTTGTTGTGAAGATCATTTCGTTGTAAGTATTCATAATAATATTGTTATTAATTATTATTTATCTAAGTGTATAAATGGAATAAGTATAGTTCAATAATTAATTTTTTTACCTGGGCTCCAAATCATAACCTTTAGAATCGTAGCATTAAAAATTTTTAATTGATAATTCAAAGCGATTAAATAGTAAATCTATATGTATGTTTGTCTAATAATTGGACTTCAATTAATAGATATTTTCATAATTTTATAACATTCTAGGTTCTGTATCAGACTACATTTAAATTTTTAAAGTATATGTTATTTTGGTTTTTTATAATAACATTTTATTAATAATGATTTAATGAAATAATTATTAATTATATTTAATAGAGAATAAATACTTATTTTCATTTAGAATAGTATTTTTAACAGACTTACCTTGATGCCTTAGCACCTTGAACTTCAGCAGAATTAAACCGAACGTCATTTTTAAAAAAAATAGTTATCATAAATATATCAACATCAGGAATATTATCCGATTTTGCTTTTATAAATCCTTTATCACACAAAGTTAGTGAAAATAAACTTTTCAAATCGTTTTTCACTAATAAATTTGAGATATTTTTATCAAGTCAAAGATAATAGCCATAAACACTGTACTATTATGAAATTGCTTTAATATTATGACGTCACAAGTATGGCAACCAATCATGGCGCGTTTACAGTCACGTGATTTTTTTTTTGAATTTTATCAATTTTTAATTGCCTATAATTAATTTAATTTTTTTTTTCAAGTTATTTGCAATAAAAATCAATATAATTAATAATAAAGTTTTAAAATACATAAAAAAATCAATACTTTTTTTTTTCAAAAACCCAATTAGATGAAAAGCAACCAGAATTGGCATTGCACATTGACGTAAGGTGGTTAAGCCGAAGCAAATTTTTGCAAACATTTCGATATCTCTAGGAAGAAATAATAATATTTCTTGATGAAAGGGGTCATGATTGTCATCAATTGTGTGATTTGGACTGGCAGTGTGATTTACCTTTGTTGACTGATTTTACTGGTAAACAGTATTTGTAAACATCAAGGATCATGTGGAAAAACATCCTACCTATAATTTCATTTCCGAGAAGTACACGACAAAAATTAGTGATAGTAGACTTTGAAATTCGGTTTAGTTATTTCAGACAAATTGAGAAGTTGGTTCAATTTATAAGTTAACCGTTTAATGATGCCATTAATCACAGTGATATATATGAATTAGCTACGATTATATGAATTAGCTTATAATTTGCAGATACATTTCAAATGAACCAGATGATGTTACAAAACGAAATCATTACTCTGCGATGCTACATATTTCTAAAAACAAGGTCTTCCTCAGGTCAAGATTTCTGGGCACTGGTTTCCAAAGAAAAATATCCAAATTTGGAAAAATGTGTTGAACAACTTCATTCGTGTTTTGATTCGACATATTTATGTGAATCAGCATTTTCCTACTTAAAACAAACCAAGACTAAACACCGTTCTAGTGGAAAATGTTCAGGCGCAATGCTCACACTAATATATAGGACCCATATAATGTTAAGTAAATTTAAGAAAACGATCTCACATTTGATATGAAAAGAAACTACTAAGACTGGTTAATAAAAAATACATGATTGTGTACTAAACTATGCAGTTCCATTTCAAGAAGTATGTACTTAGTAGATCGCACAGGGTTTCTTTAGTAAACAGTAGATCTTAGCTCAAGTTGGCCACCCCTGCATTAGAAGTTTGACAATTATAATGATACAATCGCGTTATCAGTATTATTTAACAACAAAATTAAAATGTGGCAAAATATGATAAATAAGGAATGGTGAAATTATAATCAAATTTAAACCATATTAATGAAAAATAAATTATAAATATATACCTGAGGATAACGTTTGAGATTCTCTAATATTTTGTCTATACACATCTCAAGGCATGTCTTGGAAGCTACGGTACATGATCCCAGCATTCTGTGTAAACCTTCCCTCACGTCCATAGAGTAATCCTGTAATGAAATATATAATCTGTGACAATTTAAATTGAATAAAGGAAATGGTAGTTTAGTTTTTTTAACAATAATTTAAAACTTAAGAAGAATTTGTAAAGGTTAATATATATATATATACATTTTGTGTATTGTTCTAGTTGTTAGTAAAAATTTAAGTGGACTCTCTTCACTTGACAAAGTTCTTCATATATTCTCCACATAGTATATTTAAAATTATATTTTATTACAATAAAAAATTTACTGACATTGGCACAATATTATAAATTTCAGTCCGAATGAAGGTATAGATTAAATTAAAAAGAAATATAGTCTATATCAAACCTCCAGAGCTCCCAAAATGATTTCCAGCTGGTCCTCTCTGAGTATTATGTGGTGTGAGATGCGTGTCAGACTGTCTATGGCTCTCAAACGGACGTCTTCTATTTCATCATTGAACATATCAACCAGAAAGTCCAAGGACGTGGTCGCGAACACCGGGTTCACTAGCGACAACTGACAAACAGCATCTACAGCTGCTGTTCGCACCTCTGAAATATATTCATAGAATATTCATTATTATCAGCCTATCAAAGCCCACTGCTGAGCAAAGGCCTCGTTTCACATGGAGAAGATTTGAGCATTCATCACCAATCATACTCAAGATAGGTTGGCGATTTAAAACTTATAATTTGAAATTAAAGTCCAGGTATGATATTTTACTTCACCGTCTGTCAGTGGTGTCTAAATACTAAAAAGTACATATGGCTCAGAAAAATCCGATGGTACATACCAGGTTTCGAACCCGCGCCCTCATGCTTGTGAGGCCTTTAACTACTAGGCCACCACGACGTATACAAAATGAATACTAGTATGTATTAGTCATTACTTACCCATGAGTTCGTCTTCTAAGCCATGTACGAAGGCTCCCGCTGCGCCTCCTGGCAGTAGTTGTACAGCGCTTTGTTCCAGCAGTTGACCGGGAGCGTCATCAGCCCAACGACGACCACTCGCCCATGCTCCGGAACGAACCAACTCAGAACTACGTTCATGGAGGGTGCGTTTTTTCTGCAAAACAAATGGTACTTATATCATCTGATAAACCATGGTATGGAAGACATAGATACTAACAGATTTACATTTGCAATTTACGCTTTTTCTGCAGAACAATTGGTCATAGGACAAACAATATTATGGAAGATATAGATACTAATAGATTAACATGTGCAATGTACGCTTTTTCTGCAGAACAATCGGTCATAGGACAAACAATATTATGGAAGATATAGATACTAATAGATTAACATGTGCAATGTATGCTTTTTCTGCAGAACAATTGGTCATAGGACAAACAATATTATGGAAGATATAGATACTAATAGATTAACATGTGCAATGTACGCTTTTTCTGCAGAACAATTGGTCATATGACAAACAATATTATGGAAGACATAGATAAAAATAGATTTACATGCAATTAAACAGAATAAATTAAGAAATACGGATGATGAATCCGTTATTATAATGAGTTATAACGAAAATTAACCACTGTTTTAACTCCATATAAATTTTGGAAGTTATATTAGAAATCTAATTAAGGTATACAACTTAATAGAATAATGTACAAACCTTCATGTTACTCATGAGTTGTTTATCCAACGTTTGCAAGAGGAAGCGATCGGAGACAGCTCTCGTTGTGCCCAGCAATGAACAAGACAGAGCTCTTACTTGCATACACAGATCATTCACAGCCGAACAAATACGAATAAACGCATCATCTACAAGACGAATTGTTGTTTCACCATCTTGTAATGTTACTGAACTGAAATTATGAATAAAATTATATGATTAATTTTGTAAATATAATTTCCAAAAAATATATAATAAACATTGGAATTTTTATGAAAAATACTAGCTTTCCGCCCGCAGCTTCGCCCGCGTGGAGTTCGTTTATATCGCGTTTCCAAGAGAACCTTTCAAAAGTCTGGGATAAAAACTATCCAATGTTCTTTCTCGAGGTCAACTCTATCTCTGTACCAAATTTCATTACAATCAGTTCAGTGGTTTAGGCGTGAAAGCGTAACAGACATACAGACTGATTTACTTTCGCATTTATAATATTAGTTTTTTTTGCTGAAGATTGTAAATATATATCCTTACTTTTCCGGGTACTTATTTCCCAGTAGCCACACTAGTTTGAGCGCCACTTCTCTTACTATCTCATAGTCGTCGGAGAGTGCTGCACATACCGGTTCATATAGATTAGCACTTAATGTTTGGCCTCTCTCATGCAATGTCAAGAGGGATTGAAATGCTTCACATCTTACCCTCGCATCCTGGAAATAAATAATAAAAACAATTATATTCATAAGAATATATTTATTTAAGTTTCTTAACAAATATACGAGTTTGGAAAGGCTGTAAAATAGACCTTAAATTATTTAAAATAAAATGATTTAGATATAAATACTTAATAGTCATATTCCTTAAGTCAGGGCTGTCCAAACTGTAGCAGTTTGGATTATTGGAGCTAGTCGAATCTTTTTTATCTTCTTTATTTAAATACCTTAATGAGCAAATACTGCTTTTAATAACGATATTAGTATTTTTATAAATATTTTGCAACCCATCAATGTATTTAGTCAGTTTTATTGGCCCTGAGTCCCGTCAAGTTGGACACCCCTGCCTTATGTGATATCTTATATAACAAGTATAAATTTCACAAACCTCAGCATTACTGTAGTCTCCAAGCAACTTGACAATAGTATCAGCCTCTGCTGTCATTTCTACAGTTCTATCAGACTCGGGATATATCGGGTAGAGTTCACTTATCAACTGCAGACATTTACATTTCACTTGATGGCTGGTATCTTTAAGATTGTCTCTAGCGACACCGACAAGCCTCATCATGAGAATCTTATCGTCACTAAGCTTAGTGCCAAGTTTAAGTAGTGTTGCTATGCCTTGTGCTATCACCTGGATAAATGGAAATAAAATGAATATCTTCAATATATCCTTGGTGCATTTAACATATATGGTACAATGAGATTAATAATATTAATTATCAAGATGATATAGGATATTTTTGTAATACAAATAGAGCATTTGCTAAGTAGAACTCAGTAAAACCTTATATTATGGTTTCCAGTTTATTTATCAATTGAAATTTTTAAAAAAGAATTGAAACAAAAGATACAAAAGTAGAAAAACATTACCTTATGTGATGTTTCATTTTTAATTAAATGTATGGTCTCATCAATCAAGTTATTCAAATTCGCTCCGGGGCATTCTAGACCTATGTCACAGAAGAGCCAGAGTATTTTAACCCTGACCACTGACTCCTCTTCGGATTGAAAATGTTCTGATAGCTTCTTAATGGCTTCCTCTACATCTGATTCTTGGAACTGCAGGCAATCTGAGATGCGTAACAGTAACTGTAATGCCTCATCACTAGATTTACATTTCTCTAGCAGTCCCACGAATGCTGCAGCTGAACTGCCTATGAGCGGTTTTTTTGCTAGATGCAACTTTTTGGACGATGGACCATCCTGCTAAAATAAGAATTTTGTAAAACAAACTGTTATTAACTAGTAAATAAATTTACACAGTCGAAGTCGTAAGTACGATACCTGGAATGATTTATTGTATTCCGCTAAGGCTCTCTTTTTGAGAACTGCAGCCATTTTAATTCAAAAATTAAGAAATAAGCCTTTATAACTCTGGCTGTTAATTGATAACAGCAATCAGTAATGTTTACAATCTTAATTTAAGCTTGAAGTAGGATAACAGCACATCTTTACAATGTGTCAAATACTTCGATTCCGACAGTTAAAAAGCATTTGTTAGATGGTCACACTCCATTATGTCAATTGATGTGAAGTATATAAATTTAATTGATATTATCTTGTTTCGGTACAAACATTAGGAATATCAAATATCATATTATTACATTTTAAGATATTATATATTTATCTTGGAAATTTTTAAATCTTTAATTACCATTAATCTGAAAATCAAAGATTACTTACAACTTCAAAATAACTGCGTGAATGGTAATTGCAAAATTATTTTGGATGTCAGACGTCACTTGAATTGTGACGTTTGTTAATTCTAATGTCCAATTTTAATTTTTTGAACCTTGAAAGACTATTTTTCCAAATATTTTATCCGAAATTAAGCTAACAAATTTCGTCAAATATTACAATTTATGAGTTACACTTACATAACAATTGACTTTTAGTCTAAAAACTAAGTTATAATGAAGTGTTACGAACTCTATGGCTGATTATAGAATATGTGAATAGCTTAAAACACTGATAATAATTTAAGGTAAGAAATATAATACGCCGCTTAAAGAAAGCACATATTATTTGCATCATTCTTATACTTGTTTTTTAAAAAAGCTTTCTTTATTATTGAATATTAAAACGGTAATGGATGTCGTCTTAGATCTTGTATTTTTATAAAATACATGGAATTTATAACTTAAAAATATGTCATTAATCTACTTTTCTAATAATTTGCATACTTATACTATTATATAAATACCTCATTAAATATTTTATATTATTTTCGTCCTTCATGTCTCTCATAAATAATTAGGGACCCACCCTGGGTAAAATATTAATAAATTCAGCAATAAGATATTTACATAATTATATCTCACTATCTTAATATTTACTTTCCAGATATGGCTCTAAGTAAATAGTATGAATGAATTAAAAATGTCAGATTTTAAGGGCAATGAGAGTAAGGCAGCCCTTGTGGTATCAAATAATCTCCAACACCAGCATTGGAAAGAGTTTGTCTGCGGTGGAGGATCTGCCTTCTGCAACATTCTCATTAGCTATCCATTAAATAAAGTCATATTTAGACAGGTGAGGATATTTTTCAGTACTATAGAAATTTAATACACTGTCCACTTAATAAGAATTTAATGATAAAATTGTCTCTGGCTTTTGGTTGCAAATTATACATACAAAGATTAATATAACTGTTTTAATTGGCATCAAAAGTATACAGTATACATAATATATGAATGACTAGAAGATAATCTTCATGAGCTAAAAAAGTGGACATATGTCAAGTCTAACATATTTAGTCAAATAATTTCAATAGATTACTGTTTAATGAATGATTTTGATGTGAGGCAATGTCATTTAGCAGTTGCTTAAATATCTTAAAAAAAGATCAGTTTTGAAACAAGTTTTCCTGCATTCTTGATCTTGCAGCAGGTAGTCAAAAAATCACATAATATGATCTTAAATAAAAAATTGTCTTGCAACTTTATACCTATTTTTTTAATACATATGCAAAAATTTTAAGTGAATTTAAGTGATACTTCAGCTATTCATGAAATTAGGGAATTTTTGATGTATTAAATGATAAAGTAATTATTTAGTAAATTAGTAATAATGATATCATAGTTTATTAGAATCAAAGTCAAAAATAGATTTGAATGAAATAACATATCAGAGCAAAAAATACTTTGTGCAAATTAAAATGTTAAACTGAAGTTTAAAGAAAATCATTTAAATTGATTAACAAATAGAAGTGAAAATAAGTACTATTATATTCAGTAGAAAAGTAATATAAATTTTATTTTCAATACAGTTGTGAGGCTAAAGTCTTATTAATTAACTGCTTCTTATTAGAGGCATTTAATAATTTATTCCTGCAAAATATAAATGTTATTCACTTATGAATTACAGTATGAGCTATTCATATTTTTAATAGTCTGAAACTATGAATCCATTACTGGCAATTTTACTATTTATTTTATCATTTATTATTTAATACATATTAAATAATGGAAATTATTTAATTTGTTCCAGATGATGCATGGAGTTGAAGCTACATTTGCTCTCAATCAACTCCAAAAGGAAGGCTTGGGTTATTTATACCGTGGAATGTTGCCGCCTCTGTTACAAAGATCAATGTCTATGTCTCTCATGTTCGGTATATACGATGAATGTCTTCAGCCATTGTTACATTACGACATAAACCCTCATCTCTCCAAGATGATAGCCGGAGTGGTCGCTGGCTGTTTTGAAGCCACCCTCATGCCGTTTGAACGTCTCCAAACATTACTGATCCATCCAAAGTATCATCAAAAGTTCAAGAACACTGCAGACGCAGCTAGTAATATATATAAGCACTATGGAATCAAAGAGTTTTATAGAGGGCTCATACCAATTTTATTAAGAAACGGTCCATCGAATGCCCTGTTTTTTGTCATCAGAGATGAAGTGCGCTTGAGATTGCCTCGTCAGGAGAAATTAGTTTATGATAGCTTGCAGAATTTTCTAGCGGGTGCTTCGATAGGTGCTTTTCTTAGCACGCTCTTTTATCCATTGAATGTTATAAAAATTGGCATGCAATGTGAGCTTGGTGGTCCTCATAGGAAGTTGTTGTATGAATTCAATTATATTCTACGCAAGCGGGGTTCGAAGTTCGGTAACTTCTATCATGGTGCACTATTAAATATATCTCGAGCGTTCCTAAGCTGGGGTATAATTAACGCTTCTTATGAAGTTTTTAGAAAAATTTTATATCCCTAGTCATATTATGTGTTGTTTGTTTTTTAATTTTATTATGATGTATATCTCGTTGAACGTGTATATGGGGTTTTTATTGTAAATGTTTATACTAAAATTTAAGTTCAACTTTGTTACAGCATTTTTAATGTGGTGTGCCTATATTGAATATTATTTAAAAATTAATTTATGAAAATATATTTCTTAGTGTACAGAATAATGGAATACATTTTTGTCTTTAAAATATGTATAATTATACAGCTTACAAGTAGTTTTATGATAGTTTTCTCAATGTCAGCACTTATGTATATATATACACTTACATATTATATGGCATGGCGACAAATCAAAGTTGTGCAATGAACTGTTTAGTTATTTATTCTGTAGGATATAAAAAGAAATAAAATTTCTTAAAATTACAACGACTTTTGCTTTTCATGTAATGAAAATAATTTTCCGGTTGTTGAATTCACACTAATTTATAATCTGTGCGATAAAACATGTGATTTTGTTACAATGAAAAGTAATTTTTTAACGAAACGTGTTTTCGTATTTTTCTTAGTATTCATAACAATTGGTATGATTGTTTAATTTGTTTTGGTACTTTTCTTTCTTTTTTTATATAATTATTATTACGTATACGACGACTATTTAACAGACTACACCTAATAATCATTACTATCTTTTGCATTACCACCTGTAATAACAATAACTTTTGTTTTATTTAATCAAAAAGTTGTTGGTTTTTCATTTGATTTTAAATAATTAACGTGATAGAGCAACTCAGTGAACTTATCACAGACTGTGAGCGGCCTAAATTCCGGGTGGACTACAGATATGAGAAGGCTTTCAACACGTTTTATAAGTTGCACCCCGAAGGCGTTAGTTGGCATCATTCACGTATACGTTGTGAGGCCGAGGGGACGGAGTTGATGGTTCCAGATAATCTGGACGAAGCTGACAGCATACCACTTCTAGTCGCTCCTATTCTTACCAAATATCAAGGCGTCTACGTCGGTATACACGATTTGTATTCAGAAAGAACATTCGTCACAATTAAAGGCGAGTTATGGTTTGTCATTTCAAACGGAATTTCTATGATTGTACCATTTATATACAATGAGATTGTAGTTAAATTATGGTTTCTTGTGCAATTTAACTTTATTATATTTTTATAAAAATATAGCAAATTAGTTTCTGCGTGTTTTAAAGCAACAAAAAATACCGAGAGCAATTTGTTGTTAAGAACCTAATTTATTTACTGTTTTCTTATTATGAATATGGTTGAATTGTGTTTTTGCTTTTGTAGGATATGAATTACAAAATACTATTCTGGATTTATTGTGGGAATTGAGTCAGCCGGAGCATAACGGAGGCCGATGTGTCGCTGCTCGTCGTAACGGCCGATTATTTGTCCATCCTTGTTCAGAACCGATGCCATTCGTTTGTAAAATAAAAGCCTCTAACGTCACATACTATCCTGAATGTGACACTTTTCATTCGAGTGAGAATTACAATATGTCAATTTGTTATATAATTAATGTTATTGAAGTGAGTTGGCTATAAAACTTTTGCGTAGGCTGGAAATTAGGACCGAATGGGACGTGTTACATAACACACACGGAGCCTCAGACGTGGTATGAGGCGTATTCGACCTGTTACGCCGCGGGCGGCCATCTTGCCATCATAGACACCAAAGAAGAAGGTGAATACATCCGTGACGTGTTCAAACAATCAGAACAATCCATAACTCCTAACGAATTCGCTTTCATCGGCTTTAGCGACTTGTTTCAGAGATACCATTACCGAACTGTTCTAGGTAGGATTTAAATTTCACCTACACGTGTTTGCTTTGATTTTTTGAATTGCTAGTATTAAATCAACGACACAATAAAGTTTATGACTCATATACCTCGGGGTAATTGTAATTTGTAATTCTTACAACAGGAAATCCATTAAACGAGGGTCAGATAGATTGGGACTTCAAATGTCCCGGAAATCATTCAAAAAATGACGAACGTTGCGGAAGTTTGCGACGAAGCGGTCTCATAGCGACGACCAGTTGTAATGTGCCGGCCATGTTCTTTTGTGAGAAGCCAGCGGTCGGCTCGTTTAGTATACGAACTGGGCTCCATTTAGAAATAGAAAAGGAGCTGAGACGTAGAAATAATTTTGACATTTATGACGTTTGATGTGACATCTTTTAGTTTTTTAAACGGTCACCGATAGAGCAAGATCCAAGACCGTACTTATTTTCTGATTGGAAAAAACATAATACATAAACAATTTGAAATTAATTCTGTCAGACACATTTTCATATCGACATCAACAAATCACAAAAGTTCGTGCGTAGGTATACGTTTACTGTACATACTAAAACTGACTTATCATGTGTTTTGTTGATCTGAAAATAAGTAAGGTCTATGGACCCTGGAAATTTGGACTGCAATTGTTTTCGCTAAACAGTAAACACTAATAATAAGTATTTCACAATAACTTGTCAATCTATGAGGAAAAAATCTAATATGTAGTAGAAAACCCCATAAATAATAAATTCCTATTATACAAGGAAATTCTTCACAAACAAACACGATGTATCTAAATTCAATACTTACACGAAACCTTAGTCATGTCTGTTAAAAGTTTATAATAAATATAGAGAATTTTTTACGGTATAATATTGTTTTTTTGTTTTCATTTAACATAACAATCCCTACTAATATTATAAATGCGAAAGTAACTCTGTCTGTCTGTCTGTTACGCTTTCAGGCCTAAACCACTGAACTGATTTTAATGAAATTTGGTACAGAGATAGAGAGGACCTTGAGAAAGAACATAGGATTTATATCAGACTTTTGAAAGGTGGTCTTGGAAACGCGATATAACCGAACTCCACGCGGGTGGAAAGCTAGTAATAAAACGTAAGGATTAAGTCATATGAGACAAGGTCATTTTAAATACGCTTCAGTACAATTTGTAATACCATTCATGAATATTTTAATCTACATACCTATATTATATGACGAGATATTTTATTTGTCATATATAAAACTCGATACGGTTTGCTAGTTATCGTTTTGTATAAGTCGATTATTTCTTGTGTCAATCTCTATAACAATATTGTTAAGTAAAACTATTTTACTACACACATTTTATGACTATACCGCAACATATTATAAGGTTCTTGAAAGTAAAACTTTTTTGGTTGTTCCTAAATTAACTTTGATAGTTTCTTCCTGCGAACTTCGCATTTAATTACTTAAAGACTTAAGACATTCACTGTCTTTAAGTAATTAACTACGAGATCAGTTTTTCCCGAGGTACTAAAAGTTTTGCATCAAGAGAAAAATGAGCTCATCTTAAAAATACCGGTAACAGTCATATAAATTACTTGTACCCTTACTAAAATATTCTCAAATTGAAGACGGCGACGTTTGTTTTGCAAAAGAAATGACCGTAGACATTTATTACTCTTAAATAAATCATCTTCTATACCAACTCATATTAAAAATTATCTTAAAATTATATTGTTCATAGCGTGTCTAGTAACATTAACTTGAGTTGTATAATCGAACCCAACACAGTTTGTTGAAGGATTTACTTGTAGGCAAAAGAATTTTGATAGACAATGATTTAGCAATTAAAAAATAATAACTTTAAATTGAAGATTCAAACTTCTAACGACCGTATTGCAATAACGTACTCACTTGAAAATTCATACGTTAAATCTATTTACATTACATTTTCAAAACTGCCAATTATCTTTATTGTTGACATTGCTCTAAAGTCGCAACATAGGTATAAATATAAACTATTTTTGAATAATCGAATTACTGGATTTTGTTCCGCCTCGCTACGATAAACGGAATACACATAATATATTACTTAATATTTAATAACAAGCAATTTTATATCAAAGTTGACATAATCAGGTGACAAGTTTTATGACTTGTTAAAAAAAATTTATAAAGCACATGCCATACTGAATCGAATATAACTATGACTTTATATCATAAAGCAATATGATAATTATATTAATATTTTTTATTAAAATTTTATTTAATAGTTATTTATATTTTGAAATAGTAACCAATGTTCTCATTTATATACAAATATATTGGAACTATTGAAAGTCAAAGAAAAATCAACAAGGAAATACTTACGTATCCGAGTTATATTCGGATTTTAGGTTGAATTAAAAAACGGTTTTGCGAAGAGTCAATTTCGCAGCCCAAATATAAAAATCGAGTTGAAAATAAAACTTCTTTGTCATAACCGAAATCTCCTTCTACATCTATGGTATAAGAAAGGTGTATAAATGTAATATCATCGTACTTAAAAGTACTGCAATGTTACCAACTCACTGGACTGTAAATTTTTACCGATATAACGCGTTCCTAACTACACTAGTGCTGAGTTGAGTTTTACAAAACAATAAGCTAATAACAATGTACGAGTATAACTGTACTATGCATAACGTATATCTTTAAATTTAAACGTGAACATATTCATGAAAATCTTATAAAATATTCAAATATAAATAAAAAAATTATTTAATTTTTAAAGTATTTTTATTTAAACTCGGTTTTGTGTTTGTCATTGATAATTTCAAAATAACCGTCAAATTACTGACACACTACCATATCTGGGCTTAATTAAGATTTCTTCAGTTTGAAAATGGAATACATTTAGCATTTCATCGACATTTAAACAGTATCATTCTTCGAGTTTTTGTTAATGTTTAAAAACCTTGGTGGCGTATTATTTGTCAATAATAATATTTTCGTTTTGTTAAAAGAGCTAAAATCTGTTGTCACAACTGCCATGTATGGTTAAAGTCCTTCTACAGCGACCACTCACCGTTGTCAATGAAGTTATTCTTTTATTACTTCCGTTTTTGTAAATCTGTTTAAACTCGTTCTAAGACAAAAAAAAAACTATACTTCTTATTATAAGACACTCTCGGCCTTTTGTAACATTTATTATTGAATATATCTCAAGAATATAAGAGTAATTTATGTATTAAACATATGTACAGACAGGGTTCGGTGAAATGATTATTATGTACTAACAATGACTTATAAAAGATTTAATATAAAATTTATTAACAAATAAGGAAATAATTTGTTAATATGAGATTCATTTTATGTATTATATTTACCAATAAAAATAAAAGTATCGTAGTACCCTTAAAAATGAAAGTAACCTTAAAAATCTGTCCTTATGGTTCCACGTGAAGGATGCATTCAAGAGGTCAGAATTACCTTTGGAGTGTGTGAAAACATTATACCTTCCAACGGCAGAACGTCAAAGCAGATTTTACAGTAAATGATGTTAAAATGGTAGTTAATTAGCTAAGTAAAAGTAAGTTTTGGAGTAAATAATATTAAAATGGCAGTTAATTATAGCTATTATATATACATAATAACATTTTTCTTTTGATTAGTGTAAACTAGTTTTGTTTGAAGTCCATTTCGGTCGATAATATTGACAAACAGTTCGATAACAAGTCTTAACTGCTTAGGTATGCTATATATTTATTTGAGATAAACTTTGGCGGCTTTATTTAAGACCTGTCTTTTATTACGGGATTTATTGAATGAATAAAATAAGATAATGATTGATAAGTTTGATAACTATTGCATACTCTTTAGTAACATATATACACACATACTGGCTTTAAAGTTATCGTTAATTTAAAAAAAATCATCTACCATGGGTTGGTTTAGTGGAAGATGTTATAGTGATGCAAAATTAAACGGTAAAACAATAATTGTCACCGGATGCAATACTGGAATCGGCAAAGTTACCGTGGAGGATTTTTATAAAAGAGGTAGGATAAAAAGTATCACAGCTTTTTAATCGTTTCTTCATAAGTCTGTAGCTTAAAAGTAAAGTAGTTTAGAAGATAAATAATTGTACTACGTTTTATGTACGTTATTACTTAATATCTTATAGAATATCATAGAGCAAAATATATCATAGACAACTTAAAGGATTCGTTTAAAAAACGTCGACGTACTTAGTTACCTACATGATTTCTTTGGAGTATATTTTCAAAGCATTCTCTTTCTTGTATCGATTTGAACAGCTATTATACAGGGTGACTGGTGAATTACTATCGATACTTGAGGACGTGATATTTGACGATCATATATGACAGAATAAAAATTAATATAACATAAATATTAATAAACTTCTAAGTAAAGTTAACCCAAAGTTATGTAATTAATTACTCTTCGTGTGAACACCCTACAGATTAGGTATACACACACACACACACACACGCGTGCGGCGGCGTAGTGTTGTATCAGCACGCCGCCGCACGCGTCCACACTTGGAACACTTGGAACGTGTCTACACTTTATTTATTTATACGGAAATTTGGTAAAAAATTAAGTACCTATTTTTTTTACATAATTCGAATGAGAATCATCTACAGAGTATTCTCCTTAAATATTGATAGTAATTCACCAGTCACCCTGTATATGTATAATAATATGCAATAGCACCTATAGTATGAATTTGTGGTCCAAGGAAAGTAACTTAGATCTCATAAATTTGGCTTTAGCACTGCCATCTTCCTGTTCCATAGTATAATTAATCAGTACGCTAAGGTCTGTGAAAATTTCAGACCTTCCATTAAATAAATCTTCCATATTAACGAACTTAGACTTTGACAGCATTGGAAATCCATTTGGTATTCTATAGCAACATTATCCACAAAGCCAATTCGTATTAATATTCTGTTTTAGGAGCAAAAGTTATCATGGCTTGTCGAGACATTAAAAAGGCCGAGGAAGCTAAGATCGATATAAAAGAAACTTGTAAAAATTCACCCAACAAAGGCAAACTCATCGTTGAAGAATGCAACTTATCCTCTTTTAAATCGATCAGAAAATTTTGTCAAAAAATTCTCAGCACTAAAACCAAAATTAACGTTCTGGTAAACAACGCTGGAGTGATGATGGCCCCTCGAGGAGAGACGGAAGATGGTTTTGAAACTCACTTTGGTACAAATCACCTCGGACATTTCCTCCTTACAATGCTTTTACTGCCCAGGATAATTGACAACACCCCAGCAAGAATAGTTACTGTATCCTCTAAAGCGCATTCATGTAAGTATACACATTTTTGTGAAATCTATAATATTTTTCTCTCTATCATGAACACAGTACAGTAATTAAATTTTCTTAGAATATGTCTTTTAGATTTTTAGACACGCTTTTAAGAGTATAATTCAATTTAGTACATCACTGATAAATAATCTCAGGGAACCTAGTGAAGAATCTCTAACGAAATTTACTCCGATGACAATTATTACAATTTATATAAAATTAAATCAGCGCCATCTAGCGACCATGAAAGAATACCCATAAATTTTATAAAATACATTATTTTTGATATAATTAAAAAAAAACAATATAAATAAGATACGTCATAGTTCCTTTAGTCAATACACGTATGTGCTACAATTCATTAACTGTTAAAATTTCTATCTCTTTGGATTTACTCTAAATTGTATGTAATTGCATAGTCAATCATTTTTAAATAATCGATTACATTACATAGCTGTAAGAAATTGCTTTCGATAGAATCATTTTTTAAGTAATCGCGACATAGGTATAAATGTGATTCTCAAGGTGTAGTAAAACTTATTTATGACCTCGAAAAAAGTAGCTATTAAGGTATATTAAATTTCTAAGTAGCTATATTAAATTTCTAAAATATTTTAGTACACATTTCTTTCAGTGTTTAATTTACATTTGGAAGACCTAAACTATACAGTAAGACCATATAATTCTGCTGAGGCATATGCACAAAGTAAAATAGCAAATATTTTATTTTCGAGAGAATTGGCCAAAAGACTCAAGGTAGTTATATAACATAGCAAATAAAACAATAAAAAAAAATTGATTTATATTTCAATTCCACAAACAAGCCAATTTTTTTTTCAGAGTAACAATATTAAAGGCATAAACACTTACAGCCTCCATCCGGGTTTAATTAAAACCGATTTATATAGACATTTGAATAGCCCCTTTAGAAGTTTATTAAGAACCATTGTCGTGGATTACGTTTTCTATCCATTTTCAAAAACTGTAGAAATGGGAGCTCAAACTACTATTTACTGCGCTATAAATGAAAAATGTTCCAATGAGACTGGTCTTTATTACACGTAAGTTTATTTAATAACATATATTATAATAAATTATGGCCAAGTGACAAAAATAGAAAGGACAAGCAAATTAATTAATGCATATCCGCGATATTTGTGTGGTTCAATATCAGGTTTGTAAATTGTAATCATGTAACGCGAGTGTCAAAGTCATTATTAATATTTTAGTTTAAATCTTTTTTCCGTACCTACTCTTTGATTTTAACAATGATATAAAATAATCAAACAGTTATCATCATAACCAAAAATCTACAACCATTTTATCAATTGTCAATTAAATGCTCAAATGCAATACTGTATATATATACTTATTATTTGTATATACTGTTATAAAATAGAAAATATATATTTTCTAGAGAATATTAATAAAAAATCTTTTACGTTCTCGGAGATTTAAGCATAATTATATTTATTTTTTTATGAATAACTTTTTAGTGACTGCTCAGTGACGTCACCAAGTTCACATGCTCTAAATGACGAGACCGCAGAAAAATTGTGGAATATGTCGATGGAAATGGTTGGTTTGAAGGACTTTAATCCATTTAGGTCGCTTTATTGACAAGTTACTACCAAGATAAATTCTCAAGGATTAGCTTTATGTACACAAAATAAAAACGTGCCACAATTAATCTAAATAATAATTAACCTACTTTTAATAATGAAGATAAATATTATTTATAAAAAAACAAATAAATATAAATATAAGATAATAATCAAAATTAACAAGTACGTATTATTATTTTATCTAAAGTGGGATTCCTGGTTTGAAACATAAAAATCCTAAGTTAGGATAATGCTGTTTAAAAACGTTATTTAAAACAGGATCTAATTATTTTTATTTACCAATTTACCTTATATTAAAACATATTTCCAGCTAAAAGGGAAAAAAGTTTATTTTAAAGTTAAAAATAACATGGTGACAAATAATTGTAAATTTTGTTTGTATTAACATCCATAATTTAATATTCATCAATCCTACGTTAAAAAGAACGGTATTTGGAATTCTTATTTCCTAACCAGTTTTGCTTTAAAGCTTATAATAAACTTCGCTGAAGTTGTTTTCATATTTCACTTATTAAGTGTCAGCTGTCAATTCTTCATTCAAACTAAACTTTTCGAGGTATCAGCAAGTGTTACAGTTTTAAACTTTTAATTAGTGTAGAACTAAATAAGTTTTAAAACAATTAATTATTAAAACGTTCGATACTAATAGCCGCTGCAAAAAATTAAAAAAATGCCTTTATTTTCTGGTCGCTGTTATAGTAATGCAAAATTATTAGGAAAAACCGCAATAATAACGGGATGCAATACCGGGATCGGAAAAGAAACTGTACGGGACTTCTACAAAAGAGGTATTTATTTTAATTAGGATTTTCCTATCAGCTTCAAATGTCACGTTCAGTATAAAATAAAACTTTGTTACACAATGTTTTTTTCCGTTTGTAGGTGCTAAAGTAATAATGGCCTGCAGGAACATAAATAAAGCAGAAGAAGCCAAAGAAGATATTGTGAAAACCTGTAAAGATTTACCTGATAAAGGTGATATTGTGATCGAAAAGTGCGATTTATCTTCTCTTAAATCTGTGAGAGAATTTTCAAAGAAGATATTGGAGTCGGAACCCCAGATTAATATCTTGGTTAACAATGCTGGTGTCATGATGTGCCCTAAAGAATTGACGGAGGATGGTTTTGAATTGCAGTTTGGAACGAATCACCTCGCTCACTTTCTACTCACTATGCTCCTTCTACCAAAAATTAAAGAGAGTGCCCCGGCAAGGATAATAAATGTATCATCAAGAGCACATACAAGTATTTATATCATGATAGATTACTATATAATATATTTAACATATTTAACTAATAGAATTATTACCAAACAATTTTATTTATACCAGAATCTTATTTTCAGGATTTAATATGAATCTAGATGATATTAATTTCGAAAAAAGACCATACAGTTCTTTTGAAGCTTATGCACAAAGCAAACTGGCAAATGTATTATTTGCAAGGGAATTAGCAAATAGACTCAAGGTAATGTTTACTTTTGTATTTAAATATTATTATTATTTTATTTGTTTATTATATTATAGTTTTTTCAGGATCACAATATACAGGGTGTTAACACGTACAGCCTACATCCCGGTGTTATAAAGACTGAGCTTGGACGTCACTTGGATAAAATTTTATTTAGAGGAGCAAGAAGACTCATTGGTATTCTTACTTATCCGTTCATGAAGTCACCGGAATTGGGAGCACAAACAACTATATATTGCGCTGTGGATGAGAAATGTGCAAATGAAACTGGACTATATTATAGGTAAGATAAGATGTTTGAGCAGAAAAAATAGTACAAGTTTTGCTATTAAATATAATTAATATGCATATTATATAAATTCAAAAAGTCTGAGTCATGTAATTATCTGCTTTTTTTAAATTAACAATAAAACTCTTTTCAGTGACTGTGTTGCCGTAAATCCTGATCCCAAAGCACTTAATGATGAAACAGCTAAGAAACTTTGGGAAAAGTCTGTGGAATTAGTTGGCTTGGATTTTGATCCATTCACTGTGAATACAGATTCAGTAAAAATTAATATTTAATTATTGCACCAATAATATTGTATAGGACAATTCTATAGAAATCTATAAAATAAGTTAAAAATGTATATTTACTTGTTTTCATAAATTTATACACATTTTGTTACCTATTAAAGTTTTTACCTTGTTTTTCGTAATTACTGCAGTGTTTATTTATAGACATAATATATATAAGTGTAGTTATATAATGTTTTGTATTCATAGTTTTGTAAGTTTTTATGGGTTGGTAATAATAAATATATATAGTATATATATAAATTATTAAAATACATTTTAATGAAGCCTTTCAACTAGATTTATATGCAGTGATGAGTGAGTCTATATTTGCATAATATGCATCATGCTATATACGCATTTGTTATAAAGCTATTAAAAAAATATATTCATATTCCATCAGCGTTCCTTATATCCCGCTAATAGCATTACTTTAGAACCAATGGCAATTCGATACCACCTCAAATGAACATTTCTATCCTATTGTCCTAGCTTAGTTGTATAGAGTACTAGCTTTCCGCCCGCGTGGAGTTCGGTTATATCGCGTTTCCAAGAGAACCTTTCAAAAGTCTGGGATAAAAACTATCCTATGTTCTATCTCAAGGTCAACTCTATCTCTGTACCAAATTTCAATGAAATCAGTTCAGTGGTTTAGGCGTGAAAGCGTAACAGACAGACAGATAGATAGACAGAGTTACTTTCGCATTTATAATATTAGTAGGGATACTTTAATGCAATAAAGGACCAATCAATAATGTCTGTAATTGGACATAGAGCTCTCACAAAATTAATCTACTGTCAGGATACTAGGCACCAAGCACCCAGCTCATACCCGCCACATTTGTCAAATCTTAGGTCCATATAGTGCATTAGGGCGTCCGATACCGCGGTAATCTAATGGCGGTCTCGGCTCTTACACGCTTTAATGCCATGAATTGTCTTAATCTTAACTGAATTGATTGTTTACGTGATTTTCCTCCCGTAGTTCTCAACATGGCTAGTCCATTCTTGAGCTTCATCCTGTGGGCGGTATTCGGTAACGACCGCCGGAGCGGACTTTCTTAGTTTCACTATTTTTATGATACATAAATGACAATGGATGGATAAGGTGCCCTATCCAAACTTTTGCAGACCTCTTCAACATTATCTAGCTGCTATAAGCTTCATCTAGAAATAAAATCTTTTGCTTTCAGTCAGGATTTATTCGATTTATTTCCTTTATCGCTTTTAATCGTCTGTTTCGTACAGACATCACCTGGAGGGCCGGATCTTTTTCTCCAACAAACAAAAGAGGTTTCATTGTACTTATCAATAGCCCGGTACAGAAACATTCAACTAAAGCTAAGGTAAGGAGGACCTTAAAAATTGTAACATTTATTTAACTCCGTACCTATTTACTTTAAAGTGCAATCAAAGCGAATCGTTTTGGACAAAATATTTTACAATACATTGATACATTGTAAATGAGAAAATTTAACGAAGAATCGTATAAAAATGAGAGATTCCAATTCAAAATATAATATAAGAGTTATTTTGCTTATTATTTATTGTAATAGTATTTATGGTGAGACTTTTTTTTTTTTGATGTCGCAGGGAAACTCTTTTTACGAGCCGTCCAACCGGCCTTAGTGGGGCCGTAAAGGATGTGTGATCCTCGGCCTGGGCAGGCCCCTACTCACTAAAACCACTGCGAAAACCATCGGCCGCTATGTCGGTGTACTCCGGATTTGTCAGCGACAGGGTACTTCAGCGACTGGCCGGTCTTGGCAAATACCGGACTTGCTCCCTCGGAGAATGGAGACGATCCCGGCAATTAGGACCGCCCCGACGACACCGGGCTTTCATTAGAGCCGGGTTACCAAGCCGACACCAGCCCGGAACACAGGGGTGCTATTGGAGGCGTTGGAATTGCCTCCGTCGCACCCCCGTAATTTATGGTGAGACTAAGTAAACATATGTAATATGAATATTTTAGCATAATAGCCAGAAACCCTCCTGGTTACATAGCTAAAGAGATATAAACATTGTTTCATTTATATATTGAGATAAACATACATGTGACTATATATTTAGAAGCCACATGAGACATTTTAGTACGGTATTGCTATCGAAACATCGCAGTAAACCCCTCTAGGTATGTATTACAATCGAAATTCAAAATATTCGTGCATTTTGAAACAAAATTAAAATTTCTATCACCAAAAAAATATTTCAAGATGTATGGAGGTAACTTAAATGCGTTCACTCTCTTTTCAACTCTTCGTTTTTTTCCTACTCACTCTACAAATAATTTATATTTCTATTATCAATCCTATTATACAAAAATATACAATAATGAATGACTGGTTACTGTACCTATGTAGGCAAGCAATGAAGATATTAGCGACTTAATATGCATTTTGCCGATTGACGTTCCGCTTTATAGACGAGTAAAAGAAAAAATATGTATACTGTTGATCTTGAATCATATTATACTTCTTCTAATATTCTGGCTGAGTATAAGAACAATTTACAACCGCCACTAGCAGAAATCTATCCTTTACGACATTATTTCATGCATTCGTGTTATTTTCACGGATAATTGTTAAATAAAAAGTAATTAATTTAGTACAGGGCTGGATTTACCTTTTTGTTCTGAATAAAGTAGAATATTTGGAAGGAAACATTTGGGACACTCATATAATACTTTATAAAAATATTTCTTTGTTATAAAATAATTTCAAACCTTTACACTTTACCCATAAAAAAAACTTCATTTTACGCCAATTTAAATAGGATAACATAAATTGTGTCTTTAATGTTATTAGTAGATATTTGTAACTGAAAAATAATAGTTACCTATACATACTACATAGATCAAACAACAAAATGTTTAACGTAAAAGTGATAAATTGTTGAAATGTTACTAAAACATTTTTTCTTAGTGACAATTAACATACAAAAGGATTTATATTTACAAAAAAAAAGACTTCGATTGAATTGTATTTCGATATTTCTTAGGTTTTAGTATTAATTTCTTTATATTTACATAGCATTATAAAAGTAAATGAACTTTAAATGCAAAAGTTTCACTTTAATATAAAATAATACGTGATATATTTTTAAATTACCGTAAAATCGATATGTGTTAACCACGGACATCTCTGCTAATGTCATGTGTCAAGAGATAACATGCCATCAATGAAAGATAATAATGTAAACTGCGGAGCGCTGTTTTGTGTTATTATACTGAAAGTATCGGTTGTGCAATATTGTTTATAATTTTTAACCATCTGTAAATCCATGAATATTTTATAGTAGAAGAATAGTAAGAATGGAGTATGAAAACGATGATACATGGAAAAGATCGAGTTCCCCAAAACAGAAAACAGGATGTCACCCTGTACCTCGGCAATCAACAACAGCTGCGGTGATTGTACTAGGACTCGCGGTGTTAAGCTGCTTGCTTGGTTACTGCGTTCTCAGTGAAACCCTGCCGTATGAATCCAAAACCTTGCGGCTTGTTATTATCGTAAGTAAACACACTAATACTACATTTTTTATTTTATTTATCATTCAACATATTGACATTTTAAACAGATGTACACGAGAGAGATAATTTTTTTCAATATGAATAATTTCAGTGCATGCATTGACCAATATAACAGATTTAATTATTAAAATAAAGTCTTTTCTTCTCATAACATATGTATGACATTTTTATATCAATTAATATATAAAAGAAATATATTTTTATCATTTTTTCAGTATGATGCAAATATATACAGGGTGACTGGTGAATTACTATCGATATTTGAGGACGTGATATTTGACGATCATATATGACAAAATAAAAATTAATATAACATAAATATTAATAAACTTCTAAGTAAAGTTAACCAAAAGTTATGTAATTAATTACGCATCGTATGAACACCCTACAGATTAGGTATACACACACACACACACTCGCGCGCGGCGGCGTGTTGTTGTATCAGTACGCCGCCGCACGCGTCCACACTAGGAACACTTGGAACGTGTCAACACTTTATTTATTTATACGGAAATTTGGTCAAAAATTAAGTACCTATTTTTTTTACATAATTCGAATGAGAATCATGTACCGAGTATGCTCCTTAAATATTGATAGTAATTCACCAGTCACCCTGTATACATAGTTCTCCAAACTTTTACTTTACACATTACATGTTAACATTAAAATTTAGAATATTGCTTGAAAATTCTATTAATAATACTATGCCCTCCTGTTCATTTATTTTAAAGACTAAGAACTTTGCTCTGATAAAATATACAGCGTTATATTCATAACAAAAAATCAAACTCTTATCTTGACCTTGTGTGGTTCAGTGAATATCTCTAGTCAATATTAAAACTAAATAAAAGCATAAACATATACTGAACAATTTATTAAGAATCCTATACACACAGTTGTCTTCAAGACAAAACATTTTACAAAAGATTTGAGGCCATTTGCTTAAAATTAACCAACATTGAATGAATGTTTTTCGAAATATGTATGATAAACAAAATAATAGTTCCGTAATACTTGTAAAGTAGAGCTAGCTAGAGAACTACATTAATTTAAATCAAAGAAGGAAAAAGGTAAACTTTCTTAAAGCACAAAACCTTAGTTTAATGCAAAGGTCCCAAACGAAAATAAAGATTACGTATCACATACAATAACAGAAGTTATAGGAAATATTAACATTTTGATCCCATCAAAGTAATGTATTTAAAGACTCATGTCTTTCTAGAACAGACATTTTAGCCTTCTAAATATATGGACACAAATAATTTTGCTCTCAATAAAAGATGGATAAAAGTTATTGTACGTATTAAATCATCATGAATAAAAATATTATTAAATTGATGTCAATGAATAATTGAAGTATTTATAGGTCAATATTTAGTTTCATATTTCATAAAATAAAAGCAGTTTGAAACTTATTTTACTTGTTATATGTTGGTAAAATGAAAAATTAATTCCACAAGTGTATACTTATTCTTTTAGCCAAAATTATGTATGCTAAAATCTTAAAAATATATGTAAATGATAATTTATTTTTCATAAAAACTTGTTATTTCTAAATCATGACTTTAACATCCAGCCAAGATTTAAGATACAGAAACGGTTTTATTTCATCCTAAACATGAATATTTGTATAACTTGCTTGATCTGAATAGAATGCAAAATTGTTTTAATCATACTCTTAGGAGCATTTAGTATTTTATTAAAAAAATAACGCAATATGTAGCATAGACTAACTCGATTGTGCAAATAATGTTTAAGTTAATAAAAGATCTCAACTAATTAACACATAGCTATTAGAGCATTAATTTCGTTAAAGAACGCTTACAGCTGTCACGATGGATATATGAGATAGATTATGTAATACGTCAAAGATAAAGCAGATAATGAAATCTTTGGTAGTCTTAGCCGAGATACATATATGAAATTTTGTTAAAACATGTTTATGAAGTCTAAATTAAGAGATTGTTAATTATTTGAATAAAATGCTCGATATATTATAAATTACGTTATAAAGGGTGTCCCAACTAGAACGCAATTTTTAAATTTTAAATAAAACACAGATATTAAAAAAATATATCGTGAAACTTTATTATATCGTAAAGTAGATAGAATGAGGTTATGTATGGAACAAGATATCGTGCAGATGGCCGCCGCGGCTTTGCAGGCATACGCGCGAACTTTGAATGAAATTTTCTAGGACCGTTTTGCATAAATACTGCGGTATTTCATTAATACAGCGTCCAATTTCCTCTTTTAAGGCTTGAGTCGTCGTCGGCTTATACGCGTAAACCATCGACTTCAAAAAACCCCAAAGAAAATAATCTAAAGGTGTTAAATCGCACGATCTCGGCGGCCTATTCTGGTCTCCAAAACGCGAAATAACACGACCGGGAAATGACTGATGCAGAGATTGAATTGTTTCTCTGGCTGTATGACGCCGACTTGTTGAAACCACATGCAGTCCATATTCATTTCTTCGATTCTAGGCAAGAAAAAACTGGTAATCATTTCACGATATCGAACACCATTGACTGTTTGCGTAGTTGTTGTCTTTACATCACTAACAGACCAAGTTTCGGCAATTTATTCATTAATCTCTTTACAGTTGACTCTTTTTGAGTGACTCCAAAATGATCGTAATTTGCGAACTGTAGCCGCAAAACTTTCACCATTTTGGTAAAACAATTTTACAATGAGAATGCGTTGTTCATTCGTGTAGCGCTCCATTTTAACAAACCTTGTACCTTCTACAAGCAAATAATAACAATTGTTCAAATGTCAAACAATCACGCTTAAAATGGCGCCAAAGTTAAAAATTGCGTTCTAGTTGGGACACCCGTTATATTCCAAAAATCTGACATTTTGTGTAAGTTACTGATAATTAGAAAAAATTCAGGTCGTGAAACTTATGTTATTTGTATTGAAAATATTACGACCATTTTAAGATTAATTGTACAACAAAAGTGTTTTCTATTACATATTGAGAATCTTAGTATTATTTAGACTGTAGCAATTTAAATGTAATGTTTAATTTCTCTAATCTTAAAACCTATTTTCAATGTTCAATAGTTTGAAATTTTAAAATCTATCAGCGGGCACAAAAAAAGCCTCTTCGTACAATCCCAATAAGGGATAAAAATTCTAGATGATAAAGAGCTGTAAATAAAATAAGATTATAAGCCTTACGTCATGTGGAGGTGAAATTTAGTGAGTGGTATGATTTCACTTACCATAAACGCAGCAGTTTACAGAATTTTATTAAAAATACGATATTTTTAATGTAAAAAATTTGCAGACTGTTGTCTTTAAAATAAAAAGACTTCATTTAAAAATACATACAAATCATTATACAGATTATCTAAATCGTTCAACCCACCAATATATTTTTTTACTCCTGATTATCTATCTATTCCTAATAAAGTTTTATTCCTAACTAGTTTTTGCAGGCGACTTCGTCCGCGTTAGTTTCGTCATTAGTAATATATGTATAGCTGACCGGGCGAACTCTATTCCGTTTTAGAGGCCATTAATAATCAGGTTTCTCCTGTTTCAATCGAACAGAATGATTGACATATTAGTTAGTTGTCAAATCTAATGTCAAAGAAAACGTTTGTATGGGAAATAGAAAAGGGCTTTTTTAGGGTTTTCCCGGAAATGAATCAATTTTTTCCAGCTTTCAAACCTTCCCTGAACCTCCACGAACATTTCAAGACTAAGATAAGATAAATCCGTTCAGCCGTACTCCAGTTTTAGTGAGACTAAGGAACAGCAATTCATTTTTATATATATAGATTTTGACATTGTTGAATTCCAAATATAAATATTAACTTTAAAAAAATTTAACGCACAACATTGTTGGAAAATATTTCTTATCTATATTTGTATTCAAGTCGTATATTTGGACGTGAATTTATCTATACATTCTTTAATACATATTAAACATACTATAAAAGTAAGTAATTTAAAAAATCTTGGGTCATTCTGTAATATTGACAGAGTAAAGAATATTGATTGAAATCCGTATCCTAAGGAACTATTATTCAAGTCATTTGAAGGAAAACAATGATTGTAAACTTATTTATAGTACGTACATTATGAGGTATATAATAAAAATCGCAAAGAAATAAATATTTATGATCAATAAAAATAATTATACGGTCTTGTAGTATATTTCATATTTTTCAATCAAGTCTATTCTTTATTTATAAGTTATAACTAACTAACTTTCCGCCCGCAGCTTCGCTCGCGTGGAATTCGGTTATATCGCGTTTCCAAGAGAACCTTTCAAAAATCTGGGATAAAAACTATCCTATGTTCTTACTCAAGGTTAACTCTATCTCTGTACCAAATTTTATTAAAATCAGTTCAGTGGTTTAGGCCTGAAAGCGTAACAGACAGACAGAGTTACTTTCGCATTTATAATATTAGTAGGGATATAAAGTTTTGTTATTAAAACCGCTTGTTCTAAGTTTATTATTATTATGAATAACTTCTTACTTATGTGTTTTGCTTTTGAAATATCTACCTTACGGTTAAATGTTTAAAGCGTTAATTTAACGAGCGTTTAATGGCAGTTACTGTCAAACATTATATTTATGCCTAGATGAAAATACATAATGTGATGCATTATAATTTAATATCTATACTAATATTATAAAGCTGAAGAGTTTGTTTGTTTGTTTGTTTGTTTGTTTGTTTGTTTGTTTGTTTGAAAGCGCTAATCTCCGAAACTACTGGTTCGAATTGAATAATTCTTTTTGTGTTGGATAGTCCAGTTATCGAGGAAGGCTGTGGGCTATATAACATCACGCTACGATGAATAGGAGCAAAGATATAGTGGTAAATGTGTAAAAAACGGGAGAAATTATTTCATCTTTGAAGCCTTCCGTTGCGTGCGCCGTGAAAACGGTTCAAGATACACAAAAAATATGTATTAAAGAATAATAGCTCTTTTAATGATCTAAAAAACAGTCCGCGACAGTATATGTCTATCTTTTAAGATTAACTCACAAAAACCGTTTTTATGGTACCTAATTTGATCGAAATAATCTGTTTAAGTTGTATCAACATAATAATATTAATCTTTTTTCAAATAAACAAATAAATATGTAGTTGGTTAAGAGTACTTCATTGTGAATAAAAAAAAATATAGGTTTTATCCTGAAATTCTACGGGAACTCGACCATTCCGAAAACCCCGCAAGAACGGGAACTATGTGGGAAGAACCAAAAATCTGCCGGAAGTCACTATTCCACGCGGACGGAGTCGCGGCAAAAGCTAGTCTTCTATAAAAGGTGTTTTGATTTGCCAAACGAACAGTTACAAATTACAATCCATTTTCTGCTTATTGTTTCACTGACTGATTAGAGACGCTTCTTTAGAACATGTCGTGACTCGTGGCTCTGTGCAATTATTATTATACATAGTAAATGTAACAATGAAAATGACATGTGTATGTAGTATACATAAAATTTTTCATTTTTATATAACTTATATAACTGTCAAATGTAATCAACAAGTGGTCTTTGCACCAAATCCTGATTTCATTTTGCCGCCAAAATATACGATGGAGGTGGAGTTCAGATTTCAGAAAGATATGGAGTGGTATGAAAACAAAAATTCAAACGTTTTATTGGTATTATTTGAAAGAGGTTTTATATATTCTAACTAAACATACGCTTTTTCAACTTGGCATCATGATTGTATGAAACAAAAGATAATGATTTTGTATTTAATGACAATTAATTGCTTAAAAAAAAGTTGTTTCCAGAGAAACACTCGATCGATGTCCCATTAACAGATAAAAAATAAATTTTATCACAAATATTTGAAATTGAAAGACTTTAATGAAAACTTTTTTGAAATATGTTTTTGAGTTTTGAAAGCTTTGAAAAACGAATTGCAAAAATTGATACTTTTGGAAAAAAAGGTTCATTTACACGAGAAAAATTCGAATCCCAACCTCATGAATATCTAATATCTATTACAGTTGGTTTGCTACACCTGATATTATAGAATTTTAACCAAACACTATTTTATAGACAAAAAATACAACCATAAGTTCACGTTCATATAAAATAGGCAAATAATAGTATAATAAATAAAAGTAATGCATCAAACCGTATTGAATTAGAGTAATCGGATATTTTAACAGCTATTCCTTGTAATTTATAATGTTTTGATAAAACTTGACTCTTATTTGAAATCAAATACATATACGGGATTGTGAACTTTGTCTTTGCGTTTTTTTTTTTTCTTCTTGCAGATACAAGATCAATAAGGACTTTTCACATTTGAAAGACGTATAATTAATATTAGTTTAATTTTAATTTAAAATTCTTTAAATTCATTTATACTGCTCGGAATCTTAATTACTTTTATAGAGGAAAACTATCAAGGGAGCTTTTTCTTTTAGTATATTTATTATTTATTCTTTAATTATGTATTATAATTTGTTTACAAATGATTTAAAGTTTTAATATTTATGTATAACGAACTTTTCATAACATTAAATTCCTCAAATTGTTTATAAAATATACACATTTTTAGCAGGGTATTAATTTACTTGTATATATTAATAAAAAAGTCATCTTCACAGGCATGTTGTCAGTTTATACCATAGATTTATACGTTTTTCAAAACTGCATGGGTGTTAATATTTTCTAAACATTACTTGCAGGTTTTCCGCCATGGAGCCCGTACACCAATATCTTCATACAAGAGCGATCCATTCAAAAATTATCAGTGGCCGGATGGACTGGGGAGCCTTACAAACGTAAGTCTTTTGATTAGTCATTTTCTAATTTTAGAAGAAGACCAAGAAGATATTTTTTTTATGTTAATTGGTATTTCTCTCAAAGGAACTTTATTTTTAAGATCTAATACTTTCGCGATTATTCATTTAAATTAAACTAATATTTTGCGTATTATACCAGGCATAGTTTTAATATTTTAAAAATTACATACTTCTATCGTTTCGGTTACCTTACACGTCTCATATGCCCGTAATCACTATTACTGAAAAGTAACCGAAACGTTGGGAGTATGTAATTTTTAAAATAATACGTATAGTAATCCGAAAAAATTATAGTTTCATTTAGGACTATATTTTTGTATGTGGTAACATCAATATAATATATTTTTTAGGTTGGCAAGTTGCAGTTATACGAACTAGGAAAGAAATACCGCAGTTACTACGCGAATTTCATTCCCGAGGAATATTACGAGAAGGACGTGTTTGTACGGAGTAGTGACAGGTCTAGGTGTATGATGAGCGCGTACACCTTCCTCGCTGGACTTTATCCACCATCGGAGAGACAGATGTGGCATCCGGAGATACCCTGGCAGCCAATACCAGTACATTCATTACCAACACAAATTGATAATGTAAGTCCTACTAAAATATTCACATATATAATTCTTCTGTGAGTGTGTATGTCATTGAACGTTTCACAAACGACTGGACAGATTTTGATGAAATTTTTTGTGTGTGTTCAAGGGGATCTGGGAATGGTTTAGATTCACAATTTTGTCCGCTGGACAATGTTTTTTTAATTAATTTTTAATTTATTAGTAGTTACTGATACAAATGGTTTTTTTTTGACATTAGATTTGACAACTAACTAATATGTCAATCATTTTGTCGCACTTCAAAATACGGAGATTTATGGCTTTTATAGGTAAACTCCAAAAATATAAATAAAAAAACGTAACAGATATTTCTTGTTTAGGTATAGGGCGATATGAAGTTCGCCGGGTCTTCTAGTATTCGTATAGTCCGTTAGACTTAAGCAGAGCTTTGCATGTGTGAGTGAAAGTAGAGTTAGACAAAAAAGTTTCAGAATTAAATTTTATTATATTTCAAATAAATACATAACATAAATGTGAGACTTATTCTGGATTAAAAATAAAATAAGCAAAACTTGTAAACGGCCAGATGGAAATATGTATTATGGAAAAAAAAGTAAGTTATTAATAAAAATGTTGAAAAAAACGATACAGATTATACTTCACTTGACATTGCGTTTTCAATATTTGAAGTTGCTATCAGTACAAAGGGTGAAGTGAGGAATGTGCGGGGCGGAGTAAAAGCAGAATAAACCGGTTCAAAACTAGAAAAGCAAACACAAATGCAAAGCTCAGCTTAAATCAAACGCACTATACACTCATTATACATATATATGTATTAAAAATCTATATTATCGTAAATATTCCAGATAGTAGCAGCGACTAAACCATGTAAAGTATGGAAGGCTATGTACAACGAACTGTTAGCTGAGCAGAATTCCAATACAAAATTCACAGAATTGTTCGATAATTTGAGCAAATATACCAATCAAAGTATGCGTAGTGTGCTAGATGTTGATTTTTTGTACAGTACATTGCTGGCGCAACAAGACGCCGGTTTAAAACTACCGGAGTGGACAAGAAATGTATTCCCAAATAAAATGCGCTACCCATTCATGCTCAGTCTAGCTTTGCTTTCCTATAATCAAACGTTACAGAGATTTCACACTGGTAAGAATTATTATTATTGAAGACTCGCATGTAGTGTTTAAATAAATTTTCTATTATTTTAACTACATAGGTTACGACGTTTTGGTTACTTTGCAGCAACCGTGTTCACGAGCAGACGATATAATAATACATTCATAAATCCAAAAACTTTAGTTTTATTTAAGATTTTTTTTCTAATGTAAACTTAAAATATAAACAAAATTCTCTCTAGATATTACTTTGAATATGTATATTTTTTATCGAACACAAAGAATGTTGTTACTTAATTTTTTATAATATATATATATATATATATATATATATATATATATATATATATATATATATATATATATATATATATCTAACACTCGCTTCACAGTGTTGCCAGTCATCGCTAAAACAATATTAAACAAAATACATAATAAATGTCTTAATTTATTTCATCATTATACTTATTTATGCTTTTAATTTTTCCAGGTCCAATACTATCAGAAATCCGTCAACATCTAAAAGATAATGTAGACAACTTGAATGTTGACCGATCCCTATATTTGTATTCAGCGCATGATGTTAATTTAGTATCTCTGTGGCGTGCTATGGGCTTCAAAGAGCTCGTGGAACCGGAGTACGGAGCTAGTATAGCGATTGAGTTGCATCAAGAGGTCGAACAAGACACGTATTTCATACGGGTATGTATTGTATGACTGCCGCCTTATATATTTTGATAGTAATAAGTCCTCTAAAGATAAATTACCAGCGAACACACAGATCAAAAGTTATGATAATTATTTTTTAACTGGTTTTTGCCATTGACTTCGTCTGCGTATTTTTTTTTTTCTTTTTCGATTGTCAGAATTAAAGGGGCCATTCAAGTATAACGTAAGCAGATTTATTACAATTATTTAGCCCTCTATCCTCCAATATCAGCAAAAGTAAGCAAAGCTCTTACCCCTTCCCCCCATGCTTACGTAAACATTTTCGATTAGTTTAATGTTTTTTTTATATTATAATAGTTATAATTTTAAAAATAAGAAATATTGAATCATTATTCAATCAATCTATATCAATCTAGATGTTCTACCGCAACAACACAAAAGTTGAAGTTCCGATGGAATTGAAGCTTCCATTCTGTGATGATCCGTGCACATACACCAGGTTCCAAGAGTACATCAACACCTTGTTACCAGATGATTGGGAAAAAGAATGTCAGAACACATAAGAATGAAGATATAATATATTACCGTTAATTATACAATGTTATGACGTATATTTTTAACTTTATTTTTATATACACAAATCCTTAATAATTTTTATAATTCCCTGACAAAGATTTAACCTAACTTAGGTTGTTTTTTTTTTTTCTGTATAAACGTAATTTATTTGAAATATTACTTTGTCTATGTACTACAAAGTCTACTAAAATTATTTCCTGGTATACAGTTGATGAAATTAATATGTTATATAATCTGTACTACATAGTTACGTCTTAAACTGTCAAATGTTGTCGTTTAAAACAAATATTAATATATTATATACTAAATATTTTTCTGAAGCACTATTGTTAGTACTGTTACCATTTAAAAGATATTACTATTCTTAATATCGCTTTTTATGTCTGTTATAAAACAAAATAAATGTACCATTAAATGTGCCATATGTATAATACAGGTATTCCAATTGTTTTAATATTATATTTATTATAAAGACTATTTACATAAACCTTTATTTATTTAATACATTAAAGTACTGTAATGAGTATCCATTTTTTATTGTATTAAATGTATGTATATGCCTTTTATAAAAAAAACATTCCATGCCAATTGTTACTTAATTCTTATGTTAAAAATGTGAAAGTGAGAACTAGAACTACTATTTTTACTCTATACTTCATATACACGTATTAAAATCTTTCTATGTACTAGTTTATAAGATGTGCTATTCTTACTGCTTTTATAACTATGCACCTTTTGTACACGAAATTGTAAATACGTAATAATTTATTTGGTTAATTTTTATTTTGTGCTTGATCTATCTAAAGCTTCTTTTTCTCGAAATACTAATATAAAATAATGACTAATTGTAGCTATATAAGAATATTTTGGTGTTTTTTGACGTTGTTCGATGTGTATTTTGTATTTAAACAAATAAATGTATCGAATATGGTATTATATTGATGTTGTTGATAATATGTTGTGTTAAATTATTTTTACCTGTTACCTTTATTCAACGGGTAAAAATTTCAATAGTTGACATGTGCTGTTTAATAAACATTTTTGTCATTAATGGCTGTATAGATATTTACTCGATGTTGTTTGAGAATTTGAATATAGAACATATTTATGTCAAAAAGTGTTTTTTTTTATGTTCGACATAATGCCACCGAACGTAACTGCCTCGTAACGTAACGCGTAACGGCACCAGTGAGTCTGGACTCTGGTTTCTCATTCTCTCAAGTATACGACATCAGTGTTATGTAAGTGTGGCAGATACATTTAATTTATAACCAGATTTTCAATGAAATGCATATCAAATTTAAGTTATAACCTAAATTTTATAAGTTACACAATTTCTATATTAAATAGTTGAAGTTATATCTGTCGAGTGTCCCGAGACGCACAATTTTTTTTAAATAGGTATAATAAAAATCTATACTTTTCCATTATCTCATAAGGAAGCGTTCAAGTCTGTATTGCATAACGCAATTTGGGGGGGTAGGTCTCTTAAAACGTTACGGTGTGTTACAAGGGTGGGAAGGAGGGTCAAAAATCTTGGAAAATCGCGTTACGTAATACTTAAACGCTTCCTTATGAGATAATGGAAAAGTATATATTTTTATTACTTTTTAGTCTGATTACTGTATAAAATCTGTATTAGTTTTCTGTATCTTTACTCTATACAGGTAATTAAAATTATATAAGAACCTTTTTACCGTTAACCAAAATTCAGCTCAGAATTAAGAATATCCATTTTAACTAACACACCGATAAATTTAAAACCAATTTTTGTTAAAACTCTAAGAATATTATTTTACAATATTTTTTTATATTTCTTATATATTCTTTGTTAATATAGTTCCGGAAACATTTACTTTAATTTCAATAGTATATAGGGGGAAGTCCCTTAACACCAGATAACACCTAGTACCGGACACTTGTACTATTTCGATAATAATTAATGACACGAGCGATTCAAAAACAAGTGAAAGGGGTACGTAGGGACTTCGTATTAATAAGTGACGAAACGTTATGAATCAGTGACGCACGTGGCAACAGTGGGAGCTGTTGGTTGCGGTTTTTGGCGAGAAGACACTAAGTCACATAACATTCAGGTAAGTGATATATCATATAACAATGTATATATGATCAGTTGCTTGTGTTTATTCTAATATAAGGTTGTGCTCCATTCTTGTTTACAATCAACGAATGCTTTTGAAGATTCATATTATAGTTTTAAAATCCAATCTAATAATTTTGATGATTAGCTGTCCCCTGATACCAGACACAAAGTTGTCCCTTAGCACCGGACAGTGAACATGTAACTTTTTCTTGTCAGTATTTATGCTTTTTATTATATTTGCCTTATTTTTTTCCAGACGACAAAAGAACGAAATGAATAAAAATGGAAGAGAAGAAAAAAGGAATCAGTTACGAAACAACTGCAATTACTAAGGTTTGATCAAAGAAATTTCTTTAAGAGAAGCTTCGTTACGATACACTATACCAAAAAGTACTTTGCAAGATAGAACGTCAGCATTGATCCGTGGGGAAGAAGCGATGTTGCGACCACAAATCGGTAAATTCAATCAACCAATTTCACCAGAGTACGAAACTGGAGTAAATTGTGTGCAGAAGCATCAAAAAGTTCTTGCTGCAAAGGCTGTCCGGTACCAGGCGCCACTTGCAGAGGCTGCGATTATTCTCACCAAAGTTTAAATTAAGATTTAAAATATGTTCAACCACAAGTTGCAAATTTGTTCTTATATTTTGATTTTAATGTTTATTGAAGTAGTTAAATTAAAAATAAAGATACGTTTTTAAAACAGTATTGTAAATTTTTACGAAAAACCTTAAGTTTCCGCCACTAGGGAACTTTCCCCTACATAAATGTAATAAAATCGGTACAGGAATAATTAAAGACTTTTCTATTCATTATTAAATATATTTAATATAAAATGGACGGCACAATTACACAATATAGACAAGTAAAAACATCTATAAAAACGGTCACAAAATGTGGCACAATAACGTTGTACGTATTAAAAGTTCCTAATACACAAGAATATATAAATAAAAAAAATAAAATTACTCAAATTATTGACATTGCAAACATGAACACATTTCTTCAACTTAAAGCTATTGGTCCTGGCACTATTACAAATAAAATGTCAGTCTCATATATTCTATGTATGTTAATATGAAATACAAAAAGCACAGATAACATTTAATTCTAATATATCAATAAATAGATTATAACTTATATTTATGTGTAAATTATTTCATGAATACAAGTATATATATACTAACTTTGCCTGCTTATTCCTCCCGTTAATTTCTATGTAGTCTTGTAGATCACAATAATCATTACAAAGTTTCTGCAGTGATAAGGTAGCAGACAGACAGATATATAAACTAATGTATTTATAAAAATCAATGTACTTATGTTGACCGGTGGGCTTCAACTATGTATAAAGGCTTTAGTGATGTGTCGAAGTGTTAAAAAGATGTATGCTATGAATGATAGCTGTTTCTCAATCAGTACAAAAACAATATTCACTAACAATTAACAGAATTTGATTTTTCATGTATTGAGAGCGTAGTTGTTCATTTATTTTATAATATATATATAACATTTACATTTATATATGAAAATCAATACAGTAAAAGTTCCAAAACTGATAAAAAATGAATTATTATTTTAGTATTTATATGTATAATATTAAAGAATATTGATATTTCACATATCACCACCATGTATATGAATAATTTGAAATATCTAAACTTATATAAAAATAATTGACTGTGAAGATTTAATTATAAGGAAAAATATATTATTTTCCACAACAAGTTAGAACATGTCTTTCTTTATAGGCTCTTAAAGCTGTGAATGCGGTGACTACAAACCATATGAAGACAGCCACCCATGTGGTAATTAGAGCAATTTGTAAAGAAATACCAGTATTAATGAAGTCTCCTCGACGACTATTGGGAGCATCCTTCAGGATGTAGTCCATGAAATCAAAGATAGCTTGACAACCGAGCCGGAAATGTATAGCGGTTGCATGATCACCAGTTGCTTTGAGTTCCTAAAACAAATTGAATAATTATTCCTAAGACAAAAACTGAAATAAGTAAGCAGAATTTTAAAATATTTTTTGAATAAAATATGCTTATATGTTAATACAAATTTATTGCAAACAATTATAAAATATGTATAGAGAAATAATTATATTTTAACAAGCCAATACAACAAGGAGTATACTATATAGCATTTCATAAAACTTTAAAAATACATCTTTATATAAATAGATACAAAATGAAACGAAACCTCTAAGAATTTAATGACTTTGCCAGGTTTCAATGGATTCACCTGGTGCCTGGTCCATTGTGACCATATATATATTTCAAAATCATGATTTAATACACATCAATTACCCGAACTAGATATCCCCTGTATTGGTGACAGGTTTTCAAATAGCCGCTCGTCATAATAGCAGCATGTACAAGATTATAAACACCTAGCACAGCGCCCACACTAGATGTAGGAATCCAGCAATATATAACAGAATCATTCTTCTGTGACATCCTAGAACGTGTGGTCACTATAATTGTTTCTCCTTCACTGAAATAAGAACAAAAATATTATGTTTTATTGTTTTTTGATTATATAAATATATTATTTAATTATCTTACATTTCTTCCACTTCTGTTGATTTATCACTTTCATATTGGCCGATATTGTTTATACAAACTCTGTACATGTGGAATAATGCCATGACCACAGCATACCCTAATAATGGTATAGGCGCGAAGATAGTGTACAGGCAATATGCGTTATGGCCACCATTGAAGTATTGACTTGCGCTAAGACCAAACAATATACAGCCGCAGTTAGCGTTTTCAAGCCAACTGCTGGGACAGACATCGAGAGTAGCTCTCCAATGGTTATATGGTATTGCGATACATATTACCGATACTCCGAGTAATACTGCTAACAGTCCATAACACCAGCAAAGACGCCGTTCAGTTTCGTATTGATTCATGATTTAAGGTTTAAAAAAATCCAATAAGTTATTGTGATTCATAAACAATGATAAGAAAGTAACACAGATCACAATAATCTGATTTTGATAAGAATTATACTCAAGTATAAAGACTTTCTTATCTTTTGTCATAAATGTACTTTGCTAGAAAATACCCAAGTTATCTTATACTGACCAAAAATTAATATTAAACTTGTATAAAGCTTAGTTCTTCTATTGTGTATTTCGTACGTGTAAAACTTGTTTAAAAACTAATGTTTTATTAAAATTCGAAGTTGACAGTTTATATACGACATATATGTCAAATTGTTTATTAACCGATAAAAAATACATTTCCAAATAAATAATTTTCTAAATGTAAATTTTAAAAAATTTAAACTTAATTCTAAACTAAATTCTACTCTTCCCTATATCTTAAAAAATATTCCATAAGTTGGTAATAACAGATGTACTTAAAATTCTTTAATCACAAAAAAAAAAAAGCAATTGCTTGGGCTTAAAAAGAACAGTAAACATAAAATGGTTAATAAATGAATAGATATTTTATACGTATTTAACAGCTTTTAGTGATAATGTTTACCTAAGTTGTCAATTATTTAATTATAGGTGATGTAAACCACGGTAAAATATAAAAATAATTATCAAATGTATATTTTTTAAAGTTATATGATGATAAAGACAATAGCTTAGTTTGTCTGAAAATAAGAAATTTTCATTTAATTTAATATTTTTCGAAAATTTAAGTTTTTACACTATAGGCCTACAGGCTACCACTACAATATTGTAGATAGGAACTAGGGACTTACTTTTGACAAATCACTTTAGTCAACATTATTTGAAGTAAAGTGTTTTGTTTTCCATTATTTTGAAATATTTGTATTCTTAGGTGTTAATATTTTTAGTAAACTAACAAAATGAAAATAAATGCAGCAACAAAAATTATAGGACGCAAGGTTATCTTAGTGCCTTACAGTAAACACCATGTAGAAAAGTATGAAAAAAGTTCGAAATAAAATACGAACGATATTAAGTATGTATGTAATTATAAATAAAATATTTGTTAAGGTATCATTATTGGATGAAATCTGAAGAGCTACAGAAACTAACAGCTTCTGAACCTTTAACATTAGAAGAAGAATATGAAATGCAAAAATCTTGGAGAGAAGATGAAGATAGTAAATATAAATTATGTTGATTAAAAAACAATGTATATAATTTATTATTTGGTACACCATTTAATATTGAATTTTCAGAATGTACTTTTATAGTGCTAGACAAAACAAGGTTTGAGAGAGATGAAAACGAAGTAGGTAATAAATAAAACTCTTATCAATTATATTTATAATGTTTATTAAATATAATGCAAAATTTATTATCGTTTTAGAATCCATGATTGGGGATACAAATATATTTATTGTTGACCAACATGACAATATAGGTGAAATTGAAATAATGATTGCTGAAAAGTCAGCGAGGGGCAAAAGGTTTGGTTGGGAAGCAGTCATACTCATGATGTTGTATGGAATCAATTATATAAATTTAAAAACTTATGAAGCTAAAATATCATTTTCAAATAAAGCGAGCATTGAAATGTTTAAGAAGTTAATGTTTGAAGAACATTCTAGAAGTGAAACATTTCAGGAAGTAACATTCAGAAAACATGTCTCGGACACTTGGATTGAATGGTTAAACTCACAAGTTAAATATAATATACAAAGCTATTAACATTACATACATTTGTTATGTTTTATAAGTACATAACATATTTTTGTGTTTTCAATAATACTAACAAGTCAAAATACATGCTCCATAAAGATAACTGTTAAGTTAATGCTTTTTATTACAAAATCTCTCAGACTAGTAATTACACATTTCCACTAGTGCTAACATTTGATATGTATCTATTGATGGAAGAAAGATTAAGCTTTTCTCTGCAGTAGTTGCCCATCTAAAGAGTTGTCCACCTACTAGCATAGAATGAAAAAAAGACCCTCCTTTTTGTTTTGTTTTTATTATAACTTTGTACCCTTAATTTAAATGTTTTATGCAGTAGGATTAGAGTTTACAACTGTTGGTATGCATTTACTTGTATACTGTTGTTATAGAGATTTAGAGGTTTTCTGTTAGAAAAAACATCTATGTTGTACTTTATTGCCAATCTTTATTCTTGATTATTGCAAAATGAATACTCAAAATCGTGTTGCTAGAAGAGTGTTACTAGAAATCTTCTCGCGGGGTAAAATATGGGCCATTTAAAAGCCAAATGTACAATTGCCGCCAAAACCGTAAAGTCCCACGTCCATTTGCGGAGGTATTTATCATTAGATGAATTAATTGCTCTTTGTACTCTTGAGTTATATAAGAAACCTGAATTGTTTGAGTGAAGGCAGCAGAACGCTATACTCTATACTGGTGACTGAAATGGTCTTGGCAAACGAATGACCGAACAAGTCGAGGTTTTTTTGTTCCGATCCCAGTTATCTGGCATGGTTATTATAATAAAATTAGGACGAACCACCAAATTTAGTTCGGTCTGAAACGCTGAGGTGAATTCCCCCAACTTGCAACGGAGGCTATTTTTCGAGTGAACCGAGAATCGCCTACTTTAAATTCTTTTTTAATTAGTATTCTACATAATATGTAGTGATACTGGGATACTTCTTAAACATTTTTTTCATGGTCTCTGATATATAACATTACTACATTATGGTAGGTATTTAAAGTTTTAACATCTAGACATATGTAAATCTTTGGAATTTATTATTCCAATGAAAACGCACGACGTAAACTTCTGAGTATTCCATTCATTGGGACTGGGACTAGCGACTCAAGTGTAGATCTTAAGCTTCTTTCTCTAACTAATCAAATCAAAAACGACCTGGTAGGGCTCCGTTCGAAGTACGTTTTAAGAATGAATTGATGTTAGTTCTGAACAGGCCAAAGTCTTTTAGTAGGTTTTACTTGTACCGCGTACAATTTTGTTTTTATTCGTAGTGAGCTCGTAATACCCATTGACATGTATGGCATGGTTTTTTGGATATTGGTTACCCAAGATGAGTAAGCGCTATTGACAGAGTGGGATTTAAAATTCTCAAATCCAGAAAAAAACGTTTGGTGTGACGCACAAACATCCTCTGGGCTATTATATTGCTTCTCATATGTATCCATCATAAGCAAACAATTTCTGAAACAACTTCTTACCTATAAGAAAAAAATGTTTGTTACAAAGTATAAATTGACGAATAGCAAGCATCCAAGTCAGAACTTTAAATTTGACATCCTTGTATTTTATGAATGACAGCTTAGTGTTCAATGATCTTTCATTCGTTTGTGTAAAACGATTTTTTGAAAAAATATTCTCTACAATGGCTTTTCGTATATGTGCTTACTTATTCTGCGTTTTTATAAGCCTTGTTTTATGTAGCCGTGATGTTGAAGTAAAAACTGAAGAAGATTTAGGTGTTAAATTTGCGAATCGATGCGAAGTATGTAAAATATTAGCGACTGAATTGCAAGGTAGGCTTGAAGAAACCGGCAAAGTTCATGACGTGATTGAAATTGGATATTCCTTAGACGATGTGAAACCTAAAAAGAAGACAAAGTATGAGAAGTCGGAATTACGTTTGATAGAATCTATAGAAGGTGTTTGTGAGAAAATACTAGAGTATAATATACACAAAGAGCGCGAAGACAGCACTAGATTTGCGAAAGGCATGAGTCAAACATTTAAAACTTTACATGGACTTGTTGATAAGGGTGTGAAGGTTGATCTTGGCATACCACTTGAATTGTGGGATAAACCCTCCGCTGAAATTACGCAAATGAAATCACAATGTGAGAGTCTGTTGGAAGAAAATGAAGGTGCCATAGAAGACTGGTACTGGAATCACCAAGGTGAAGTGGATTTAAAGCATCACTTGTGTACCGAACATGCCTTGAAGAACACAGACAACTCCTGCCTTTTTGATGATATTAAAACCAAAGGAGATAAAACAGAAAGAGAGGATTTGTGATCTTAAATGAATACTATTGACTTGTATCCCTGTGATTATAGTTTTATAAGTGCTATGATTGTTTTAGTTCTAAGTACAAGTGTTACAAGTGTTGTAGTCGAAACAACATTTTATATTATATCATGAAACATTCTGAACAAGCTTCCTGTTGTATTATCTTATCTCATTTGTAGGCATTTATTTATTTTACAATAAACTATTTTAGTCTTTCTGTTCTTTTCTTTTCAAATTTAATTAGTAATAATATAGTAATCTATATGAAAACATTAATCAGTGAGGGTTTTTTGGAATAGTAAAACATTTTAATAATATATTGGATAAAAATGTTTGTTTGAAAAACCCCATTTTTTTATGAGATCTTAGACTTCCATGAGTATTTATTTAAATTAAACTAATATTTTTAGATAACTTTGGATAAACACAGTTGCTTCAAAGTAACAGAAACATGGAGGATGTAGTTTTTTAAATAATAAAATACACAGTAATCTCGAAACATAAGTTTAATTTTTTTATTATTTACTCTGAGTATACAAATTATTTTATTCCTGTAAGTCCTCTTTTTAGATGTATATTCTACATGTTAGTTCATTCAGAATAATAGTTTTTTTTCTTTGGAGTTGCATTATTATTTAAAACCAATATTAGTCATTGCATATTCTACTTATACAAATCCACTAGATTAATTCAATTATTCAGTAAAAATGCATCACCAAATTTTATGGAAACATTTGTATGTCAAATGTAGTGCATTTTTAAGTTGTCTTATTTGCCATAGATTCTCAAGTTTGATTTGATTTTACCATTTCTTTTAAATTCTAATATTTTAGGAAATGGTTAAAGATTAATAAGTAAATTAAAATTTTAGAATGTATTTAATTTCACAGATTCTTCATGAACACAGATGAAGCAAAATTTTTTATACAGACCAATTTTAAGTTTTATATAAAAAGTTAATATAGAATGGAACATTGTTTAGAACTTTATGTTCATAATATAAAATGTTTACAATCGGCAACTTTCTTTCCAGAAAGTGTCACAAAAAATACTTTCTATTATCAATTACCCTTTCCCTGTAATAAATATGACTTATGATCAAGTTTGTTTTTGTATCGATTTTATATCTAATTATAATCACTATAATAAAAAACTTTCATTCATACATTATTAGGAATATGGTTAAATAAAATGACAAGATAATATAAGCACCTCTTTAATCAACCGTCAAAAAGTACTATACAAATAATATCTGCCAAGATTTCATATCCACGACGTGTGGTGTGAACGACACAGGCATCCAGCGATACATTAATGTGAAAAATATTAAACTAAACATATATAAATAAAATTATCATTAAAAACTAATAGGATTAAATAACATTCACTCAATCAGCGGGCGACTCACGACCTGACACTTAACATAATTTGACAAACGCGACTGTCATCCAAATGTCGAGACGACACTTCGATGGGACGCCGTTTAAAAATACTATAATATATCTATGATACATCCGTGTCATAATGATATGATGAACGAATTTACTAATATCATAATATCACGATCGGCTCGCCATTCATGAAACGACTTCAAAACAATAAACTACGTATTCGATCACAACATCCGCGAATTCAACAAAAACATGTTTCATTCATCATCATTATGTAAGCATAATTTATAATATTTCGGTTTATAATAACACAATGCATATTTTTATAAATATAAATCTCCGGGCATAGACAATACTATCTACAATAGATAATTTTGTTTGAAGTCTGTTATAAATCCATCGATGTGTATATATGTATATACAGGGTGTGTTACCACCGATCGTTGTAAGTCTATCTATGCTCTAGTTGGTATATCTATACTATATCTATATAATGTATGTTATAGATAAGGGCTGGTGTCCTGGTAGTCGTCGTCGCTGTCCGAGCCGTCGTCCGTCAACTGGCGCTGTGCGGCCTCTTCCGAGAACTCAGCACGGTCAAAGCTCGATGCATCTACATACATACAATTCTTAACTACATTTATGTTTCTATACATATCATATTTAGTGTTATGTTACTACATACATATACTAAACAATTATTAAGACTACATTCTGATGCTACGGTATATATAAAATCTACTCAATTATACTACAAACAATGTTAGTGCACAAACTCAGCGTCAGCGTGTGTTCTAGTGTCATGTGTTAGCTAAGACAAGCTACTAATAATTACCCAGTTACCTGCTTGCTCCTCCCACAACAGATCACACCGACGAGATTTAGGTGGTGGGGGCGAGGCCGACCCTCTGGAACAAATATGTACATTTATATACTTATTTATTTATACAAAAATAAACTAATAAAAAATACTATGGTTGATATTTGTACTATAGTATTCAATTTGTGTTTCAAGTTATCCATTATTATGTATAATACAGAACTTCATCTAAATGGGTTCATACAAGTAGACACTTTCCCACATAAACAAACTATTTCTACAAAATGAAATTTTTTTCAAGAGAAGCTAAATAATACAGACAAATAGGATTATGAGCATCAGTAACTATCTACAAACAAATAGTCTTTTTGCTACTGTCTCTTTTTGATATACATATATATCTGTGTACAGTGGCGGCTGTACCTTAAGTGCACTCGTGCGCTGAACCACCAATTCAAAAGATTTAAAAATTACAAAATATTTTCTTACAAAAGATTTAAAAATTACAAAATATCTTTATTTTTAAATTACCATTTTAATATTTATTTTTTAAACATACAAAAAACGTATAAAACATTAAATTTCCCAATTATGGTCAAAAAGTTTGAGCGCTTTACTAAACTAATATCTCGTGCGCTTCGGTGAGTGCACGAGGACTGCTAATACATCTTGTATGAGACACGAATTAATACGCCTGACGCGTGAAACAAAAGATAGTTCATAGAAATGTACCGAGTAACGAGTCGGTTCTCGAGCGCCGCACGAACGGCCGAAGATTACCGAGAGCACCCGATGTATGACGAATTGAGCCGTGATTGACATCTCGTTATGTTTTGTTACATTTTCTAATTTTAATATTTTAGTAAAGTGCACCACCGGTTCGATTACCCACCGGCCGCCACTGTCTGTGTATATACATACAAACATAGACCTCTGTACTTATTCACAATCTAACTCATCTCTATATCTCTCATTATTCGACTAGCTACAGAATTAGCTTTACAGAAGTTTGTGAGTGTGTGTATGTTTGTTACTTCTTCACGCTCAAACGGCAGAACCGATTTTTGATAAAATTTTGTATACAGGAAGCTGACGTCCAGGAATAACACATAGGCTACTTTACATCCGGGAAATCCGCGGGTAACACCGCCGGGCGCAGCTAGTATAGTTTAATGTTCCACACTAACCTGTGTTCAGGTTCAGGAGATGGTGAGTGTGAGTGGTCTCCGTTCTCGCTGGGCGGTGATGAGGAGTGCGGTGAGGGTGGTTGTGACAGAGCCTGCATCAGACGGCCCTTGGACTCGTTCCAGATACTGGACAACCTGCCATCTGGTCCGAACAACAGGAGGAAAGCATCAATCAGCTCCCGAGACTTCTCCTCCCACTTGGTTAAGATATCCACACGTTTTTCACCTATATTCGTCATCACCTGGATGAAAATGATATATATTATTAGTAGGGAATAATATTTTAGCCATTTATATCATAGGCTTCCAGTATTTAGTATTATTTGGGTTAAATGTATTGAATTGGAGCAGTTTCAATTTTATTTCAACAAGTTGATAAAAAGCAAAAATAAAACTTTGTTTACAAATAACACTAGGCTTGGATTGATTACAAGTATAAAAGCATTTTTCAAATGATATTTCAATTTTCAAGTATGTAAAATAAGTAAATTAATAACTGAGGGATTGATGAAAGTTTCTTTCAAAAAATTGTTTGAATTACAAGGGGTGATCAACCTTTTCTTACAATTTTTTTTTTGAATAGTACGGGGTAACCAACCCTTTCCTTCAAAAATTTTTTTGAATCAGAAGGGGTGATTAGGGAATGCAATCTCGATCTCACGAGATCTCGCCTTATTTTTCGAGATTAATCTCGAAGCATAAATGACGAGATCTCGGCCGATATTGAATATACACAAGGTGTCGTATGTCTGAAAGCACATTAAGCGCTCTCTGTATTATAAGGAGTTATTTCCAAAACCATTCATAAGACTTGTTTCTTTTATATTTACTATTATTTTTGTACTCTAATATAGGTTCAACTTAAGTCTATAGATAAGTAGTTACTGTAACTGTTTACTACATTTATGATCCATGTTCTTATATGAAAAATAAAAACGGTTTACTGCGCAATAAAGAGTCTATTTGTTGTTAAAATTCTTTACCGTTAGAGATATTGTTAATTTTTATATCTTTATAAACCAAAGACTGGTAATTTTAATTTGTAAAACTTAATTGTGATTCTTATGTTCATTAACGGCTTAATTATTATTATTAATAGTAAATGATTACTAAATAAATGAGGGTTTTATTTTCCAATTCGTTCTGTATCTGTACTCTCGTAATAAAGAAAACTAAATGGTTTTCTTTGCGTTTTACTTACTTAAGAAAAACGATAATTTTTTAGGATTCCAGCTGAGATCTCGAAATTCCCGAGATCTCGCTTCGAGATTGCATTCCCTAGAGGTGATCAACATTCTCTTTCATACCATTATTTGAAAAACAAGGGGTAGCCCACCCTATTCCTCTAACACCCGATTATATAACAACACCAACCTTTTTCCCCTTGTCCTTGAGTTCGTCCATCTTATTCTGTAAGCGGAACTTCTTCTCATTGAGGAAGGACACGTTCAGCTCCTTTGCGGAATATCCGCGTGCCAGGTTCCGTCTCACGTAGATGTCGTAGTCGCGGACTATGCGGGCTACTATGTCTGATGTCGACACGCCTGTGGTTGACAACAATAAATGAATAAATAAATAAATGAATAAATATAGTTGTTGTGGTTGACAAAAATAAATGAATAAAACGAGAACTGTTTTAACTAGAGTCCATATATTTTTTTTAAATAGCTTTCCTTCCTTTTATATAATAGTTTTATATTATGATGCGGAAAATGAGATTAGATTTAAAGCTTCGATAGTAGACAAATATAAATGAGATATTTGTAATAGATTTTTTTATCTTACTCGTGATCGAATGTCGAGTTTGATATTAAAATAAAGCATAAAAACATTAAGATTATACAAATATTTTTTTTTATCCCGATCGTTAGATTTTTTGTATCATTGAGGTAAATGATATAAAAAACCTCAAGGAGGTAATGTTTCCATCCTATTCTATACACAAAAAAAAACTAAGCAAATGCTTTTACGAGTTATAAAAACCATTAATTAAATATTAAAATAGAAGCCAAAGGCCAAACAAACGATAACTTAATAATTTATATTTTATACATTAGATGAAGATTATTTATCCTCTATTTCTATATATGTCTATAAAATAATCTTATCCAATACTTTGTATAATGTATGTAAATACAAAATCAGTTCACGTATCCAAACGTCCTTTGTCTATAGATTATACGTTCAGAAATAATATAAAAATAAAGAAAGAAAGACACAATTTACAATCACCTTAAAAAAACAGATATCTTAAACACTAATAAAATAGCCAAAACTATTCACAGCATGTAAGACAGACCCTGGCTATAGCTGGGATATTGCCAGATAGAATAAAATTAATAATATTGACCTTCTGTCCTTTCCGTGGCCACGAACATGTCCTTTGCCTTGATCATGGCGTACGTGTCTTCACAGTCCTCGGTGGTGTAAGGGATGTCGTCGTGCGCCAGGAAATCTATCTTGTGCTTCTCCAGAAACGCCTCGTCGTACTCCCAGGGGGCGTCGCAAACCACCTGGAAATAAAAAAAATACATATATACATTCTTCATACATGCATATAACTTCTTCTATCTTCATTTAAAACTTGAAAATTTAAAATACTTTAAACGATTTTACCTAGCAATTACTACAAATGTTACAAAAAGGTAAGAGACTATTAATGTTTTAACAAAATCGTTACCAAAACCAAGATATTTATTTCTACTTCTTATATATGGCAACAGACTTAACAACTGTCACATCTTGAATGGATGTCACGATGACAGTTCATTAGTGATGTGACCATGTCTTTAATGTACAGATACAATATACAACGTGTAACGTAATTAACGCACACCCTCAAATACCCCAATGCGTATATAATGATATAAACGCAATGCATACACCAAATATTATTTATATGTGAGTTTGAATTTTTTATTTGTGAAATTAGTTATCCCAATTTCGTGCAAATAATATGGTCCGCTATTCAGCGACACTCTGTACTCGCCGCGCCCGCGAACCTCTCTCCGAGTGCCGTCCGACAATAATAAGAAGTAGGTAATAATAAGTACACGAAATAACAACATACATTATGATACTTCTTTCCATCACACTTTTCAAGCTTTAGATTGTTGACATTGAATTTTCTTTTTAATGTGAAGCCAATATTTTATAATTACTGATTTGTTAAATTAAATTTGTAAATAAGAATTATTAAACAGCTGATAACGCGTGATTTGAATAGACACCACAATACCTACGACAAAGTTAAACACAGTCGGCCTGTTTAAATGGTGTGTATCAAAATATTTACAATAATTTAAAGATCATAAACAAACTTACAGTTTAATTTGCACTCGCACAGCGTTGTCGTTTTAAAACATTTTCAAAATGTCCACCGCCTTGTTTAATGCACTTTAATGACCGTTTTCGCAATTGTGGTTTTATTTTAGATAATACTGCAATGTCACTTTTCACTTTTACAAAGGCGGTTATTATCTTATTTTTTAGTTCCTCGGCACTTGTTATCTCTGTGTTATAAACTAGCGATTTAATTCGCCCCCACAAAAAAAAGTCGAGTCGCGTCAAATCAGCTGATCTAGGAGGTCAATGGACATGTGCGTAGGTACTTGATGTATTGAATGTTAGTGTACCGAAACGACACAGCGAAATGCGCGACTAAGATTTTATTTGCACTTTACACTTGACCTCTTTTCGATAAGGTGGACGCGGCGTAACTAACTTACCCAAAACACATTTTGTTGACTTCGATGTTTAGTTATTATTACTCTGATTCCCGGAATTATGCCTGCCGTCTCGCTCTATTGTAATGTTATTAAGCCGAAGAAAGAAGGAGAAAGTAATAATTTTTGTATTACGCGGCTTTCTTTTATGCACTGTAGTGACCTTGCTGTGTGCCGGTTGTCGCTATGGTGTTGCGTGCGTAGTTATTATTAAATACTATTTTAGCCTTGAAATAAGTATCAGTTTTCTTTAATTGAATGATGATTACTAATTAAATATTTCATTTTAAAAATCTTAATACCCTGACTTACGATCCATTTTCGTTTCCATTAATTTTCGTTTCTATGAAGTGTTTAGATAACTGTGTGTAGGGTGACTATAATTTAATTAGTTCTATCTAAATTTGAGAAAAAAAATGACCTACATAAAAAACTATCAAAATCGATCCAGTATCCGATTCTGATCAAACTACTTTCAGGGTGTGCGTTAATTATGTTACACGTTGTATATAATACATATATATATATGTCATAGTATATTTGTGTACCTCATCAACATATCTGCAGTGTCTCACAGCCTCGTACCTCTCCTCCTCAGTCATTACTGTCCGACCCTTGCGGCTGTGTGTTAGTTTGTCGTTGCACACTAAAAAAAGAAAAAAATTAATCAAAAAAGGTGTAATTACATTTAAAACCATTTAAATGTTATACACTATGCAAGTTCCTATTACATCATATTAAATATTATGTTGAAGTATTCTATTAGCCGTTTAAATATTAATCAGTATTTTTTTATTCATCACCAAATAAAGCACAGTTTATGAATAATGGAATTAAATTGAACAATTTTACATTCACATCAGTTATTACAAGTTCAAAAGCTAAATTACTATGAATCCTTTGAATTCGTCCCAAGATTTATTAAACCATGACATTAATATGTTTCAATTGATAAAATTATATAATTATATGTATATGTATATATTTTAAGACAGTTTTAGACTTTGGTAATAAATTTGTTTCAAACGAAATAAAGTTAAGATTAAATTAATTAAAGAGTTAAATTCAATATATATAGTTCAATATATACAAGAAGTATAAATTACTTCTAATACATAACATGTATAATAGAAACGAATTTCTTAAGCTACTTGTAGTAGATAAGATTCATTGTTGAAGATTTTTGTCCACAAAGAATTACATAAGAGATATATTAATAGTATATATACCTATATATGTAGTACATAATTAAACCAATGGATATATACTTGTATGTAATAATAATAAAATTATATCATTATAATCTGGCTTTAGTCATAATATCTTTATCAGTTACTTTAACACAAGTTTCCTACGAATTATATTTAAATGATAATAACAATGGACTCAATAAACTGGAAAGTATCTATTCACTTTGAAGATGCACACTTGTGGTAAATCCACTTACAAGCATACCAATTATTATATTTATATACTAAAATCACATATATTATAATCACATATTTATATTTAGACTAGTTTAAAACATTGGAAGAAATTCATACATATGAATGTACATACATATGAAAAGTTTGACATTTAACGCGAAGTTTATAGTTTGAGTTATCATAACTTAGTTATTATGGTTTCTATCGTAAAATACTTTCATAAATATATATAAATACGACCCAGTATATAATGAAGGATGCGGAAGGCGGAGGACCGGGTATTGTGACGCGAATTGGGAGAGGCCATGTCCAGCAGTAGACCAAGATTGGCTAAATGATGATGATGAGTATATTTCTACTCTCATATAATCTTCAAACCTATCTCTATATATCCAGACATATTCTTAATCCAAGTATTTCATCTACCTGCATCAAACAAAGTGTTTCTATTCAATTATGAATAATCATCGCTGATTACTGTTCTAACAGTATAAAAACGTGAAACGCTATGTAAAATTGAAATGCAAACACGTAGTAAGCGTATGGCTTAAGAAAAAGATATATTTAAATTAAGTATCATAAATAATGATTATGTATTAACTATATTATCTCAAACTGCGCAGAAAGTTTTATATAGACAGAGATATATTAAAATAATTTATTTAAATTTATGCATATACATATGTAATGATCTTATGTAGGTTATATATAAGCTTCATTAATTAATCATGGAATTAATTAATGGACACGTCTTCACTCCTTAACGAGAGCAGTCCTTGAAGATCAGTATGAATAATACTTATAGAATGAGATATATGTATATATAAAGTTTAAAAAATATGTCACTAAATTAAACGGCAACCCTTAATAAGCATGCTATATGCGTAGTGAAAGTTTCCATTATCATACTGCATACGAATATTTTGACGTATCACATACATATTTTAATAACGTGTCAAGATTAATGAATGAAGAACTATTGACGTATCGTACGTAACCATGAAAACTACTTACGCTATAAATATTAAGTCTCCACTTTTGCTATCTAAAATTTCTTTAGTACAAGGTCGTAATTACATTATCACACGTTTTAATTAAAATCGTACGATACATGATAAAAATATACTTTATAAGATAAGATGACACGATGCGAGGCATCTGTGATCACTCATATTTTGTTTACTAATTACTTCTACATAATATATAATATACATAACTACATACATACTACACAATATTCTAAATATATAACTATATATACATATATGTTCTTAAATGTTTACATTTTTGTATAACATTAATACATATATGAATAATAAATTATTTAAGCCAGTTCACGATAGTTTATTTTGATAAGTGTTTGAAATGCTACATTAAATAGTGAAGGTTCGAATCCAGTTCGGTCAATATTTTTTTCGTTCTCTATTTTCTTTTAAACTTTTAATATTATTATATTGTATATAAAAAAAACGTCTTAATTGCTATATAACATATAATATAAAAATCACCTTCGATAATGATTATTAATTTAAAGAAAAATATATAAGTCTTTATAAGATCAGATAACCATTTTAAAGAAACAAGGTCCTGTCCTCGCTTCTTATATATCATTATATAATAAAAATAAAACCCATCTTTATTTCGTCGAACGAAATGTCACGCAAATTAATGAGTTATTTTTATATAAAAAAAACGCTTCAAAAAACGATCGTTCAATGATCGCGGCGATTAAAAAAACTTTCTTCAAAATATAACTGAAAATATGTGATTTAATTTAATAATTTACTAACAATAATCGTATTTTTTGTATCGAAATGTTTAATCCTTGATAATTTGCATTTGATAAACAATAATTTATGGCATCGACAAGAAAATAAATTCTCATATCATATAGTTACATAATATAATATATGAGATGTATTATAATCATAAAAAGCGTAATTTAATATAAAAATTATAATAAAAATTTTATGCTTCATAAATCTTGGTCTATCGAATTTATATCTACGGATTTTAATCGTATATTAAATAAGACATTATCTAAATTAACAAGCTTGAAACGAGCAGAGATGAGATTAGGTCAAATATTACATTAACTAAATCCAATTACTAATCCCTACTAATATTATAAATGCGAAAGTAACTCTGTCTGTCTGTTACGCTTTCACGCCTTAACCACTGCACTGATTTTAATGACATTTGGTACAGAGATAGAGTTGACCTTGAGAAAGAACATAGGATAGTTTTTATCCTAGACTTTTGAAAGGTTCTTTTGGAAACGCGATATAACCGAACATCACGCGTGCGTAGTATCAAAACAATGTTTTTTTTTAAATTCTCGGCAATGATCACTCATCTAACATTCATACATACATTCATCCTTCCCTCCATTCATACATTCAATCAGTTCGCTGTGAATCACTCACCTCCAACAATGAGATACACATTAGGGAAGACAGTCTTCGCCTGCTGCAGTTGCCTCGCATGTCCCTGGTGGAACATATCGTAGATTCCATCAGAGTACACCCTGACCTTCCTAGGAGCTGTACCGGCCACAGCCTGAGCCCTCGGTATCCTGCCGTACGAACATCTTTCGCGTTCAGCAACAGCTATCGGATCTGTGCTGAAGGGCGCCGCGTGTCTAAGTGACTGAAATAAATTAAAAAAAATTATAATAACACACTAATCTATAAAAAAGAAACTTGTGTTAGTTATACTATTTATAACTCAAGAAGGGTTTAGGTATATATTTGAAAAATAGTGGGGAGATAGCTTAGAATCAGGAGACGGACATCAATCGAAAAAGAAAAAATACTTAAGAAATTCCAAAATTTTGTTATTTCTAGCTTATAACGCGAAATATTGTTCGTCCGGTCAGCTATAAATATATTACTAATGCCGAAATTAACTTAGACGAAGTGGCGGGCAAAAACTAGTATCATATACATAAGAAACATTTTGTTTTATTTGAATACTTCCGATATCATTGTGGTAAAAATTTGATTACTATGTCTTACATCTATTTCTATTAAAGCTACACTTATATTTGATCACGAAACTATCTAGAATTATCGGAAACTATTGCATTTAAACGTGTCTGAGATCTAACACGTACACGAGAAAAGAGTTATTTAAATTTAATGAAACAAAATGTAATAAAAAACAAACAAATAAGACAATTAAGTATGCAAATTATAAGATCAAGACTTTAGCGAGTATTCATTGAAATAAAACAAAATTTTCGGAATTAATATGCAATTTTTCTTATATTAACTCCAGACTCCTGACGTTTCGGTTACTTTGCAGCAACCGTGATTGCGGACTCGTATGTCGGTTTTATTCCTCTCAATATGAAAGTTCCTCATATTTTAGTTAAAAACAAAATCTGATATAAAGTTCCCTCTGTGTTATTTTAAATTAAAAGTTTCTTTCGTCATTTATTTCTTACGAGATAATGTATCGATGAATCTTCCCCCAAACGTCCTAAATCCATTAATCCTGATATGTATTCCCCTATTTTTAGTTACGTAACAGGAGATTTCAAATAAATAATGCATGTCGCGGAATGCAAGATAAGAGTAGGTAAGAAAAATGTTCCACAGACATCACGTCTCCCGCTCGTAAACTTGGCGCGGTGCCAGGCACGTCTATACAGTTACTTATATGACGCAATACCATTAATTGTCCAATATCATTTACTTTTACTGACGACGGAAATTTACTATAATCAGAGTATCAATTATATGAGAAATTATCAACTTGAGTAAGAAAATTACTATAAAAAAGTAAAAGTATAATTATATTATAATTTTTATTTAATACTAGACCATAATAATTGATTAATTATTTCAAGTTGAATGGCAGAATAGTAATGTCATTGTTTGACGTTTCATGACACGTACATTGAAACAAAAGCGAATCTACGAATTATGTGTATCAGTCTTATAAGTATATAATAGAAAATACAATCTATGTATTTCTTATACAATTTATATACTTAAAAAAAGATATATATATATATGTACATATATATGATAAATTTTTTTCAATCACCAATATTATGTTCGACGAAAAAATTACCGATTGACTAATCGTATGTATGAATGTACATACATAATAAAAATAACAATTACTCATCGTCGGCCGCTATGACACAATGTTGAGGTTCAAATGTGATTACTTGATAACGGAGTGGCGTGATGTACTATCATATCAGCATCCACTATGACCGGACGACTATATTTAGTATACATTAATGTATACCAATTAATTCCTAATACTAAATAATTTAGGTATAAAATATATAGCGATTTTTTTTATAGCTGAACTAAGTTTTTTTTTTGCATAAATTTCTGAACGAACAGTTACTTCCGATTTTAGATTTGATTAATTCTGATAACGGTTATTTTGTTAATGGATATGTTCTGATAGTATGTATCAACTTGAATAATATAAATATATTATTAAATTTTCATTGAATTATATGTATATAAAATTTATCTTAACGAAGCTTTTATTATGAAAGTTATAGAGGCGAAAACTCTTAAGTCTTAGCATTCCATGGATTCACCGTGCGGGTGCCGGGTCCATCGCGTTGCAGGGAGAGGAGCTTCAACAGTGCCTGGGACTTGCGGCCCAAGTGTAGGTTTAAGGGTCCCCTTAACTAACGCACATTATACGCTCACCTCCACCGTCCAAGCTCCTCTCTGCACTTTACTAAATTTGAAAAGAACCTATTAGGTCTGCCTTCGAAGTACGTTCCAAGAATGAATTGATATGAGCTCTTGACATGCCCAAGATATTAATTAATTACAGTTTTATAAATATACTTATTAAACACGTTATAAGCTTTATATTTAAAAAAATAAAAAATAAAATAGCTACATATAATTTCGTACAAAATAATACTGATTCATTTGCCTTGAACACACGAGTTAGATAAACCGCTGTGTACATAGACTTTCTAAACATACTTTGTAAGCAAATGCTTCACCTACATATTTGAGACCTACGTATTTGAGTAACAAATAACTACATTGGCTGTATACGTTTCAATTTCCGCAATTAATATCTCATTAAATATAATCTGTTTTTTTTTAATAATCTGTGATATTATTATGATGACATGTTTATCTGTGCTAATTAATAGTGTAGTCATTAAACGTTTTTCTATCTAGCCCTTAGTCACGTTCGTAAACACTTTTTTTCCACACTTCACGCTTCCTAGCTCAGCACTACACGAACAATGGACCTTTTCGTGTTAGATGATTTATCAAGTACTTTAGCAGCTATGAATATAATAATAAATCATTAAAACTTAATTATTTAGTAACGTTTTTCATATATTTATAAATTAGAAGACACTTATAAAAGTTCCGAAAATTCTTGTTATGAATGAAATGATCAACTTATCATAGTTAATAGAAAAATTGTTGTAATGGTCTGAAATATTAGTTTTTTTTAATTCTTTATAAATAATTCGTTTATGCTTTGATTTAATTAAAAAGCAAATCATATTAAATAGTGAACAAGTGATATACATTTATTTTTATTTAGCAGATTGATACGAGTATTTTCACTGCTGCAATGGATAGTTGACCCGAGAATTTATTTATTCTTTCTTTCTTTTTATTTTTCTTTCATCTCGTCTGACCGTGATCACTGTTATATAAAAAGTGCTATAAAAAACCGGAACGTCGAGATTATGTTGACATAAAATAATAAAAAAAACTCCTAGTATATAAGAAACCTTGGTTTCATTTATTTTTAATTACTCGATACTTCCATGTCTTAATAATAAAATAACTAAGAAAATGACAAAATGACGATAAATAGTTTTTTTGTCAATTCAACTATGAATACATGCTAAAAAATATTACAAAAATAATTAATTATTATCTGTATTAAACTACCTGCTGACAGATAATAAAACATTTTAATAATCTGTAGCATTACATTTCCTTCTTTCAAAATTTATATCAAAGATTATATTTTTTTTTATCAACGTCTTATTGTTTTATAATCACACCAACTTATTATCATTGTTTCCCAAAAACAACACGTTTTTCTTATCAACAAACGGCATATCGATTAATCTTTCAAATCTGATGAAACAAAACGCTGCATATTGCCACATGACAAAAATAAACATTACGAAAACGACCCGCTCAAAGAATTGTCAACTTTTGTTACATTATTCATTTTTTCCATCATTAAATAATTTAATACACATATTACAAATCCTAATTACCGTTCACATATATTCATTATTGGTATGAAGCGTGAAACATAAAATAAACTATAAAAATTTCCTTATTAAATAATCGTTTACTGTTTTTCCCGCTTTATTTTTCTGTGACGTCACTCACGTGTTCAATGCCACTGAGAGTGTAATTTGTTTTTTTCTCTACTGCCAGATATTTACCGCGTACTTAATCGTCTTTTCTTGCTAAATAAAATAAAATATTTCGTCTGCTATTAACATATATGACGTACATGTACATGTTTTTAACAAAAATATCTAATAATTATGAAACATTTGAATAAATATTCTATGAGTGTTAATAATAATATATTTGAAAACATTTTTCAATACGAAACTATATAGATAATAAAGAGGCGGCTATTCAACGCAAAATTATGTAAATTTTGTTCAAGAAACTTCAAGCGCATGACTATTCAAATGTTATGGGTTTAAATCACACAATGAATATTTAAATAAATACACTGTGTTAATAAATGTTACAAAATAATTATTAAAATAGTAGCTAAATAATCTCAAGTTTAAAATATGTATTACAGAGTCAAATGATGAAACGAAATAAGCAAAAGTATCCATTATGTCATTTAGACGTCTTACGTAAATAAACCAGCTTTTTTCCCACAATTATAGTAATTTTATTCGTATAGGTGCTATGGAAACGAATTATCATCTAGTTTATTTTTAAACGTCAATGTCAAAAAAAAAATCTACGTCAATGAGTAAAATAAACCAGCGCCTAAGGTCGGGGCCTTTGTTCTGTAATAATAAAACGCCATACACATTCATTTATTACACGCTGTAGAGATTTTAAATTGCAAGCCAAACATGAAATTCGTTTCGACGATAAAAAGAAAACGATAATTTTGTTGTTTTCGATTATAATTAAAAAAAAAATCAAATATGTTCACTATGACTTTCTTACGTGAACGCTTTTAGCTCGCGTTCTATAAATATATTATCTATGGCATAATTAAAGATACAAAATACAAAAGACATGGCTGTATGGGCTTTGTTCTCTTTGCCTGTTCTGAACGGAACGAACATAACCAAAAAAAAAAAAAACCTATGGCATAATTGTCATTCCCAATTTCAAATTTAGAACGCCGCGTTCGTTCCCTTGACTCCCGCGCGTGACACGGGGTTATCTGGCCGCGTTTTTTCCAGAAGCCTATCAGCTGTGCGGGTCAAGAGCCGGCTTTAGGATCCGGTTCGATAAGCCAGATAGAAGTTCATAGCTTGCGGTCTAACTGTATATTTTATTACAATGTCCGTACAATGACTGTAAAAGATATTGTGTGGTTTAAAATAATAATCTCCGTTCAGAAATGTTAAGACGTTTTTATTTTTGAGTGAACAAAAATGAAATAAAAAGCAAAAACCTCCAAAG